CCAGGTCCCCTGACTCAGTTTCCCCTCCGGAATGCATGACAGTAGGATTGAGGCGCTCCTCAAAGTATTCCTTCCACCGCTGGAGAATTGCCCTAGGTGACGTCAGCAACTCCCCACCCCGATCCAGAACGGTGTGGGCGAGTCGCCGTCTGCCGCCCCTGAGGCGCTGGACAGTTTGCCAGAACCTATTTGGAGCTGACCGAAAGTCTTCCTCCATGGCCTCACCAAACTCCTCCCACGCCCGAGTTTTTGCCTTTGCAACTGCCCCGGCTGCGGACCGCTTAGCCAACCGGTACCGTTCAGCTGATTCCGGAGACCCACAGGCCAACCATGACCTGTAGGCCTCCTTCTTCAGCCTGACAGCTCCCCTCACCTCTGGTGTCCACCACCGAGTTTGGGGATTACTGCCATGACCGGCACCAGCGACCTTGCGGCTGCAGCTTGCAACAGCTGCTTTGACAATGGCCGAGCGGAACAAAGACCATTCGGACTCAATGTCCCCCTCCGTCCCCGGAACGCAGTTGAAGCCTTGTCAGAGGTGGGAGTTGAAAGCCAACCTGATGGATTCTTCCACCAGGTGTTCCCAACAGACCCTCACTATATGCTTGGGCCCGCCAGGTCTCCGCGTAGGCTTCTCCCACCACCTGACACAACTCACCACCAGGTAGTGATCAGTTGACAGCTCTGCACCTCTCTTCACCCGAGTGTCCAAAACATGCGGCCACAGGTCAGCTGATACGACTACAAAGTTGATCATTGACCTACGGCCTAGGCCGTCAAGGTGCCAGGAGCACCGATGAACAACCTTATGCTCATACATGGTGTTAGTTATGGACAAACTGCAACTTGCACAGAAGCCCAACAACTGAACACCACTTGAGTTCAGATCAGGCAGACTGTTCCTCCCAATCACGCCCCTCCAGGTCTTGCTGTCATTACCCATGTGAGCGTTGAAGTCTCCCAGCAGTACAATGGAGTCCCCAGTCGGGGCGCTGTCAAGCGTCCATCCTAAGGTCTCCAAAAAGGGTGGGTACTCTGAACTGTTATTTGGTGCATACGCACAGACAACAGTCAGGACCCGTTCCCCAACCCGGAGGTGCAGGGAAGCAACTCATTCATCCAGCCGAGAAAACCCCAGCGTCTCTGCAGCAAGCTTTGGGGCAAGCAAGAAACCCACCCCCACTCTCCGCCTCTCACCCTGAGCAACTCCAGCGTGGAAGAGTGTCCAACCCCTCTCAAGGACTTGGGTTCCAGAACCAACGCTGTGCACAGAGGTGAGCCCCACTATATCTAGTCAGTAGCGCTCAACCTCCCTCACAAGCTCCAGCTCCTTCCCCGCCAGAGAGGTGATGTTCCATGTTCCAAGAGCCAGTTTCCACAACCGAGGATCAGACCGCCAAGGCCCCCACCTTGGTCCGCCGCTCAATCTGTCAAGCACCGGACCCTTCAAGTTCCTCCTGCAGGTGGTGGGTCCACAGGAGGCGGTGCCCATGTGGCTAGTTTGGGCTGAGCCCAGCCAGGCCCCATGGGTGCAGGCCCGGCCACCAGGCGCTCGCCAGCAGGCCCCAACCCTGGAGCCAGGCCCGGGGTTGGGGCCCGCTGGCGTAGCCCCTAGGTTCATTAGAGTATGCAAACTCCTCCACCACGATAAGGTGACGGTTCTTGGAGGAACCACGGGCCTGGCTCCAGGGTTGGGGCCCTGGTGTCCCTTCGGGCCGGGTACACTGTTTTCCTTTGTTGTTTTCCATGAGGGTCTTCTGAACTGTTCTTAGTCTGACTCTTCGCCTAGGACCAATCTGCCTTGGGAGACCCTACCAGGGGCAAAAAGCCCCGTACAGCATAGCCCCTAGGTTCATTAGAGCACGCATACTCCTCCACTACGATAAGGTGACGGTTCTTGGAGGAGGTGTTACTATTCTTAATACCATAAATATTTTGTTTGCTGTTACTCTTTCTTGCAGACAGAGAAGATAAGAACCAGAAAATTAAAGGAAAAAAAATTGTATGCATATGGTTTGACACTGAGGAGACCGACAAGCCTGCCACACTACTGTACACTTTGGGCCTAATCTACTCAAGGTTAGCATGTGCAAAAACACGTGCAAACTGGATAGTGCACGCAAACCTGATCTACTAACCGGGTGCACCACGGATTGTGTCTGTCAAATGAGCAAAACAGTGCGCGCAATAGATTTAGCGTGTTTGCCTTCATGAATATGCTGTATCATTTAGCACCTGCAGCGTGATCTATCAAACCCGGAAACTGATTGCGGTCGCTGTTTTGCTTCTATATTTAGCATGTTTGAAAGGCATGTGCAAACTGACACAGCATTACGCATGGTCATTGTAAGGAGAAGGAGGCAGCGATACCATAATACACACCATGATCCTTGTCCAAAAGCTTTATTTCATTTTTCTAGTCAATGATGATTTTCATGACTAATAAGGTCAAACACAGAACAGACGAAAAAGATTATCTGTTTGTCTTATTGATTTAAAATCATTTTAATCCCTTTTTTAATTCTGCGCTCACAAACTGTCCATGGTGACTGCAGATAGGGCACGCAAAATCCTTGTGTCAAGAGGATGGTCTGCACCACTTTTGCACCCACTATCAATTGCGCATGCAATGATACTAGATCACCCGCAACACGCCCACTAATAGCACGTGCAATTCTTTAGTTTGCACATGCAATTTAGCGCTGGCTATTTGGGATCTTAGTAGATCAGGGGTCCGTTTCACGTAGGTGGTTCAACAAACTCTGAGTTAAATCCTTAAGCTCCTCTGCCTCCGTTAAAGGTAGGGCTGCTGGACCACCACCCGTTTTTGTGTTAGTTTAATATTCCTAATCATTTAACGGAACATAATAAGAGAGTAAAATTCAGTTTTGAGTGTGAAAAGAGCATTTTTTTAAGGGATCAAACTGCCACTTAATACTTACTTGACAATGTAAAACATGATCAAAATGAGAAAATGCCGATGTCTCACCTGAAACTCTGGGTTTACTGAGTTAAACCTGCTCCCGAGCAGGTTAGGTTCACGGAGTCTGTTACTGTGGTAACTGACCGCGAGGTTGAGTTACCTCTCTTTGTGAAACAGGTTAGAGTTACCCCTCTCTCCCTGGTTTAACTAACCCTCCTTTGTGAAACGGAAAACTCAGAGTTTCCCTGATTTCAGGGTTAACAAACTCAGAGTTTCCACTAAACCTGCTACGTGAAACGGACCCCAGGCCCTTGGGGTTTTATTTATTTCTGTATGCACTTATTTACTTAATTTTCTTTTCCTTTCCCTTTTTCTGCTTTGTCCTGAATCTGCATGTAAACAAAAAGTTGGCTTAGTGTTGTAAATGCCTCAGAGGAAAACTTTAAGCAAGTTTTTTAGCTTGTGTGATATACAATGAATAGGAGAAATGGTTTCAACTAAACTCCTGCAGTTGAGAGGTCTGACAGACTATGACTTCTGGTGTTGCTCTTTTTGGGGAGCAGATAAGTGACATAATCATTCAGTTGGTGACACAAGCATGAAAATTATTTATAATTTTAAGATAGCAGCCATTTTGAAAAATGGCTGCCACCTAAGTGGATCAATTAGGTGATGTACTTCATAAATTGGTGATATAGCCATGAAAAGTGGTATGAACAGTCTTCATGAGTCACTTAACAAGAAAATGCTCCAAGCTGCTTGAAATTTTAAGATGGTGGCCGTTTTAAAGATGGCCGCCATCTAATTAGAGCAGTAAAATGATGTAAAGTTGGTAATATAATCATAAAAAACACTAAGACCATTCTCCATGAGTGACTTAACCAGAAAATGCCTCAAGCTGCTTAAAAATTTTAAGGTGGCGACCATTTAAAAGATGGCCGCCATCTTATTACAGCATATCATAATATCATGTGAAGTTGGAGATATTAACATGAAAACATTCTCCATAAGTCACTTCACAAGAAAATAATTGACTGTGTTTTGTCCAACTCCTCACCCTAAACCTGTCCAATTTGGAAAAACCTGCCAGGAGTTGCCTCCCAATGGCATAACTCTCAGGGTTTACAGAGGTATGCAAGCTCCCTTACCACAACAAGGTCACAGTAACAAGGTAGGTTTTTTATTTTTTCTTTAAGCATTTTAAAAACTTTTTTGTCAAGTGACCCATGGAGAATGTTTGTGACAATTTTCATGCTTGTATCACCAACTGAATGATTCTGACTAAAATTTGTACTTGGCTGCTGCACTATTTGGTTTGTGTTTGTGCGTCAGACAAAAATGAAGTGTATACACTCTATCCTTGTTAGTTTAAAAAATACAATACCGTTTGGTTATTATGTTTCTGTAAGCACTTCCAAAACTTTTAATTTCAGTTAAGAAAAAATGTTTATGAGATTAAGGTTTTTTTTTAACAATAATTACCTTATTGAACAGATGTAATTTTTAAGCAAATGGAGCGAGTTATTGTGCTGATGAAGCAAGTTAATAGCTTTATTTTTGTCCAGTGATAAAACCTGCTTTATATAAGAAATTGAAAACCAGGTTTATATTTTTATAACCACACCCACTTCACCATCTGTCATTATCTAAAACAATAATGTATTCATACATTTATATCACTGTCAAGTATAGACTTCTCTGTCCGTGTGTGTCATAAAAACAGCTGTGGGTTTCTTAATCTGAAGGATGAAGCATAAAGTTTAAATAATAATGTTATTATTTGAAACTGCTTCAACTTGACAAAAAGGATCAAATTCACTATATGGCTCAATGGTTTTAGCTTTCTGTCTTTCTTTTTATGTGTATCTTTCTTTGTATGTGTATGTGTTCAAAAAAAATAAAGTAAATAAATAAGTTGACTTTCTTTCTTTCTTTCTTTCTTTCTTTCTTTCTTTCTTTCTTTCTGTCTTTCTTTCAGTTTTTAGATTTTTATTGGCTGTGGTATTTAAGTTAATTTGAATTGATTTGATAGAGAACGGGGGGGGGGGGTGAGAGGAGTAGAAATAGGGGAAGGAGCTGGGGGATGGGAGGATGTTGCCATGACAACTGCCATAATAATCATCCTAATGATTGATGTGCTGCACTCCGTTTCTCTCCATTTGGACTCTCTCTCTCTCTCTCTCTCGCTCTCGCTCTCTGTCTCTCTCTCTCTCTCTCTAAATCTAAATCTGTCTGTAGGAGATGATATTCTGTGTTCATTACATTATAACAAGGAAGACTGTGATAAACATGAAGACAAACATACACACAAATGTTTAATGATATCTTAATAGGACACTGAAATATTGTTTATTATGACAAATTACTCGTTTATTTGAAACATTTCTCAGCTGTGTTTGGTAGTAAAAGATTGATTATGAAAAGAAGAGGGGAGAAGAAAAAAGAGGTGCTGCTATGTCTCCTGTGTAGGAGTCTGAGTCATTCTAATGTCATTGCATTAGACCATTCGTTTTGTGTGTAAAATTGTGAGGTGTGTGTACGCGTGTGTGTGTACGGGCTCATACATACATATCTAATTTCCTCTTGGGGATAAATGAAGTTCTTCTTATCATATCTTATACAAACCCCAAATAGTTCTGTAATTAAATAATTGCTCTACAAACTTTAAACTAAGCGACCTTTTGCGCTTGTCCTGTCAGAAATAGCTTCCACTCACAGATTTTTAAAAAAAGTTTAGATGAATCAACAATCTGCCTCTTTTCTATTCTTAAGTTTGTTTAATAGCTTATATTTTGTTAATATAAACCTAACTGCCCTCTGCTCTGTGGCAGATGATAGCATATAATTGATGAAATGTCCTGTTTCAGAAATAATTCTCTGTATGATCATTTCTTATATTGCTATGCCATAATATAATGTGGTTCTAATTCTGATTTTCTGCTTCCACATGAGAGAATCTTATTCAGTGTAGGACTCAGGATTAATTTGACATTGATTTGATGCTATAACATATTTTATATTACACAAGTACAGATAGGACTGGCAAAGTATAATGTGATGTTCTTTAAAGTGTCTCAATATTATAAATGACATGTTCAACATTTCTCTTCTATAACATAATCTGACTCTTAAAAGACACATTTTAAAAGCAAGTCCTGAGGAGTTGTGCGCAAAAACTAAGTGAAATATCAATTAAGATGCATTTCACTCATTCTCTTTTAATTAATACCTTTTAAACAGGATAAAAATAAAAAAAATAAACTTAGCATGACTATTAATAATAACAATAATAATGATAATATTGTAATAATATTTTTTTTGATATAATAATAGTAATAATAATAATGAAAATAATTATAGTAATGATGAATAAATATAAATTATTATCATTATTATTATTATTATTATTATTGTTGTTGTTGTTGATGATTTTATTAATATTGCTTATTAAAGTATTATAATACTTTTAGATTTTTTTATTACTTATACTTCTACTACTACTACTACTAATAATAATATCTTAATCTTTTATATTTTTGGCATAATGTAATTATTTTTTTCTTTTTGCTTCATTCTTATTTTAATGAATTAAATTATTTTATTGTTTCACTTTTTCCAGTGACAGATTTGATAATTCAAGCAACATTTAAAAAACCAATTTAATATTAATTTTAAAAATTGCTTTTACAAAAGGACACAAGACACTAAAGCCCAACAGTAGGGTTGGTAATCACGGCAGTGTAGCATGAATTTGAATGTAGCATTTCCTCAGGACTTTGTCTAGTCCTTCCACCCTCCACTTAGAGCTCTTCCAAAACAACGGCCCTGCTCACCTGCACGAGCACTGCTGTCTGCTGATTCAAAACCACAGACTCCAAAATTTGGGACTTTAGATCGGAAAGTCTTTGCACAGCAGGGACAAAGAAGGTAGCATTAGCATCGGGATGACCACATAACCAGCAACATGGCTAAATACTTGATCAAGATTAAAAATCGCCCTGTAACAAATCCTCAACGTTCCTTTCCAACAGAAAATTAGTGACCATAGCATCACTTTTAAAGCCCTTGACCTCTTTCAGTTCTCTCCATCGTTGAAAAGCTGTCCCGATGTTGACTTTCATTTTCACACTTGCTTCTCTGAACTCTGTCTTGCTTCAGCCTTCTCTGCCTCCGTCTTTCTTTTCTTGCTATTTTTGCAGAAGGAGCAGTCACCATTAATCTGGGTGTAGGTAGTTTTTCTGCCATTCTCCTGTGTAGCTGTATCCCTCTCAGCTCGACTATGTGCATTGAATCGGGGCCATGAACCACAAGAAGTGGGCATGGGATATGATTGGTTTTAAAAATGTGGGACCCACACGATGTGATTGTTTGGTGTTTTCCCAGTTTTTCTCCTGCTGCAGATAGTGGCTGTGCTCTTTTTTTAAGAACATATCATGTATTGATTGCCATCGTAACTTAAAGATAATTTTAACCAGAATAACAAAAGTGTATCTTTATCAGATTACCAACCCTACCTTTAACTAAAACCTGACCAGCCACATGACAGGTTTTAAAAAGTTTCTTTTTTTCCAGACAAGTGTACCACAAATACTTTATATGTGTGTAGCTGTTCTGAGTTCTTAGTTTTTTATTTTTAAGTGACTTTTTTATTCTGTTACCTTTATCACCCATGTGATCCAATTCATGTTTTGTTTCTCTTTCTAGTGTGATAACATTGGTGTTTGTGTGTGTGTGTGTGTGTGTAGCGCAGACCTCATCGCTACATAGTCATCTATACAAACTGACAAGCTGTCAGCCATACTATCTTCTTTTGCTGAACTTTCTCCCTCTCTGTTTCTCTCACCCTCTTTATCTCTTATGCATACAAGCAAACACACACTCACAGACTCACTCACGATGCACACACACTCATACACATGCATGCATGCATGCATGCATGCATGCACACACACACAATTACACAATCAATCTATCTCCTCTCTGACACAGTGTCCTTGTGGCCTGCAGTTGTGCTGTGGAGTTTTGTGATTATGCAAACTTATCTGCCTGAAGCTGGTGTCCCCCTCTTTACATATATGTATGACCAGGGGCGGATCTAGAAAAATATTCATGGGGTGGCAAGAGGGGGGCAGGAATTTTTGAGGGGTGGCAACATATGGCAGATATATACTGAGTTTGATCAATACAAAAAGGCATTGCTGCCATTTACAAACATGACAGACATTCTTCGTCCAATACAATCTTTCTTTTATTAGGATTCTCACACCAGTAAGATTAATACGATGAGGCATGTAAAAATAAAAACAACAACCCATTGCAGCTCCATGGATTTAGACCAGTGTCACATTTTAAACGTTTCTCATATGCAAGCATGAAAATGGGTCAGGGGTTGAAAAGGTGAGAAGGGTGCGGAGGAAATACGTTCCGGTACACTGTACAACCCAACAAAATATTGAGCTCTGTTCACCCACATTGTGTTTCAGTGATCTGCAGGAGGCGGCAAAAACACTCCAAGTCACACCTGCTTGCTTTTTTGCAGATGCCTGCTTTTGCTATTTTAGATGGCTCAAAACCAGGGCCGTAGCCAGGATTTTGGAATAGGTGAGGTCCATGATGCGCGCGCTGAAGTTTTTTTTAATGTTTTTTTTTTATTACAATTTTTTAGGCTACAAGTCACACAAGATGTTTATTGTTTAAATATATTTTATTTATTTTAACTTTTTTTTAAATTTTATTCCATTCTCCTCCGTGTGCCTCTGCTCCCCTTCCATCTCTGAATGACTCTCCTCTCTCTGCTACACCTAACTTTCCCTATTCTCTCTTCCATCCTCCTTGGTTTCATGTTTACTATCTTCCTCTTTGTCAATTTCTTTCTTTTTCTTTGCCAGAAATGCATCCAGGGTATTCTGTTTTAATCTCTTGAACATGTTTGCCCTGCTCTCTGTGACTTGTTTTCTGTGGAATGGGTATATTAAAATTAATATGAGCTGCAAACTTGCTAGATAAACTGAACATTAATATCTAAAAGTGCCCCCTCTAACTTTTTAACCCATATGTACTTTCACTTACCAAATGATTTCTTGAAGTTGACATATAAGGTACTCAGAAGGTCTACTATTTTTTACTGTTTTTAAACTGTTGGGTTTATTTTGTAGCGGCTTTAGAAGAGTGCTATGATGCAAACGTGTACAAATAACTAAGACGTCGCCTGAACTGCACTAAACAAAGCAAACGTCACGTAACTCGAGTGCTGCGTCCGAACTGCCCGCTCGGATACTACATGCTACTGCTACGTGCTACTGCTAGATCCTACTCCTACATACTAAACACGTTGGCCCAATTCGGACACACTAGACGAGCGGTGGGGAAAGACGACCCCCGCAGGCAGAGAGTAGGTACTGCGCCCGTGCAGACAGTGGTAACTGAAGCCCCTCATCTGCGGGCCTGGCTGTAGTACTGCAGCTGTGCAGTTTAATGATGGAATAAGTGAGCTTTACCTCCATGATGTCGCCACATATTTGCTCATAAAATGATTACTTGGGCAAATATGACACCATGACATGACAAAGAGATACAACCGCACATTTTTTAGGACAGTGTGTGAAGTTACATGAAACTTACATCTGTACTGCTGCGGTCCCGCGACATGGTGCGCGCTGTTGTGGCCAGCCGGCGTTCGCGATACATTTAAATAGGCAGAGCAGCTGGTGGCGCTAGCATCACATGCGCTTCTACAACTTTTAAGAGGACGAAGAAGAAGCCCGTGGTGCATTTTGGGTCAGTAGCATGCCCGTAGGATGCACCGAGACCAACCTACAATGTGGGCGTGTCTAGTATCTGAAGTAGTATCTGAAGTAGCATGCTACTCGCTCCGGTGGCCAATTCGGACATGCTAGATACTACTTCGACTTCTACTTCGACTACTACTTGGCAATTCGGACGCAGCTAAAGTCCTCGAGTAGTCGCATCATCGTGACGCGTACTCGGCCAGCTGATGAGCCGGGCGCTCATCAAAAAAGAAAATAAGCGCCGGGCGCGCTCTCCGCTGTGGATAAAAGTAAATAAACTGGCTTTGATCAGATGATTTGACTGGCCGAACTAGTGCCGAATTATCTAAAAAATATATATTGTGGTCACCTAGGTGTAGATGGGCGGGGATTTGGTCTATGAAGTGCTAATAATAAAAATACTTTAGTTTTTGAATGGGGTTTCACAGGGCGCAGTCGCGGGTACGTGCATCAGCTGATCAAACAGCTGTTCACCGCAACACGCACAGAGGCACAAACAGAACACAAAGCCCATGGATGTTTACCACAATTTACAAGCACGTTTCACAGAGAGGTTTCAAGTTTTTATAAGTTTATGTTTTATTCAGTTGGGCGTATTTGGCGGAAAAAAACCTCGGAAAAAATAGGGGAGTCAAGGTAAAGAACAATAAACTTTCGGGACAGCAAATATTCTGAATCAGAGGGCTATTGTTTTCGGCTAATCTGTATAACCTGAATGAAATCATTAAAGGCACACGCTTTTGAATCCGTCCAACGGTAAGGAAAACTTCGATTATTTCGCCTTGTTACGTACTTTCAACCGCGCTCTCGTCAGGGGGGCATTCTACGGCAGGGGTGCATTCTACGGCACAACACCGGCGTGGATAAGTCCTGCTTCTCGTTCTCGCAGCTTTGCAATGCTACCACAGGCTCTCCAAGTACTCCAAGTACACGTGAAGAGTGTGCGCATGATTGGTTCTCGTCAGCGAAGCAGCCAGGAGGATTTGCTGACCGTCCAAGTGTCATTTAAAGGGCCGATTTCTGAAGTGTTCAGTTTACGTATTAAGTCAATCACATGATAATTAAAAAATAAATAAATAAATCTCCCGACCCCGACCCCCCCCTAAAAAAAATTCTCCTCGGATCTACAGGATTCATGTAAGTCACCTTTTTTGACTTCAAAACGGCGAATTTCGCCGAACGGTGAGAGATTTTCATGCCTGAAATGGCTTTTACCTCTTTCCTCGTGCCTTCTTCCTCGGCTCCCGACTGTCTCTCTCTCGCTTCGAGCCCATAGACTGTAGCTGCGTCCGAATTGCCAAGTAGTAGTCGAAGTAGTAGTCGAAGTAGTATCTAGCATGTCCGAATTGGCCACCGGAGCGAGTAGCATGCTACTTCAGATACTACTTCAGATGCTAGACACGCCCACATTGTAGGTTGGTCTCGGTGCATCCTACGGGCATGCTACTGACCCAAAATGCACCGCGGGCTTCTTCTTCGTCCTCTTAAAAGTTGTAGAAGCGCATGTGATGCTAGCGCCACCAGCTGCTGCCTATTTAGATGCGTCGCGAACGCCGGCTGGCCACAGCAGCGCGCACCATGTTGGAGCAGCAGCAGGCGGGACCGCAGCAGTACAGATGTAAGTTTCATGTAACTTCACACACTGTCCTAAAAAATGTGCGGTTGTATCTCTTTGTCATGTCATGGTGTCATATTTGCCCAAGTAATCATTTTATGAGCAAGTGGCGACATCATGGAGGTAAAGCTCACTTATTCCATCATTTAACTGCACAGCTGCAGTACTACAGCCAGGCCCGCAGATGAGGGGCTTCAGTTACCACTGTCTGCACGGGCGCAGTACCTACTCTCTGCCTGCGGGGGTCGTCTTTCCCCACCGCTCGTCTAGTGTGTCCGAATTGGACCAACGAGTTTAGGATGTAGGAGTAGGATCTAGCAGTAGCACGTAGCAGTAGCATGTAGTATCCGAGCGGGCAGTTCGGACGCAGCATGTATGTTCGCGCCTCTCCCATCAAAGAAGTCTCGTGTCGCTCTCGCGCTCTCTCGTGCTGCATTTACTGTCGTCGGACATCGGAACTTCGCGCTCGTACCTGTTACATTTTTCTATCGGTTCATTGCTGCCGGTTGGGGTGGCAGCAGGGGTGGCAAGGGTTAATTTTAGGGTGGCACCTGCCACCCCATGCCACCCCAGTAGATCCGCCCCTGTGTATGACCTAATACTCCCTACCAACACAGTAGCACATAATTTACATTTAATATCTGTAAAACCCTATACCACTACACTCACAGTCTGCAGGTCAGCCCGTTGTACCAAAAGTCTCTAAAAGTAGTATTGGAGGTAGAGCTTTCAGCTATCCAGCACCTCTCCTCTGGAATCATTGACTGCTTGAGGTTAGGGGGGCAGACACCCTCTCAACTTTCAAGAGTAGACTTAAAAACTTTCTTTAGCTTATAGTTAGGGCTGGCGTGAACGAGCTCTTAGTTATGCTGCTATAGGTTTAGACTGCTGGGGGAACTGGCACACTGAGCTCCTGTCCTGTCTATCCCTTTCTCTCCTTTAGATCCTCACGTCCCATTATACCTACTAAGATCTCTTCTTCTAAGTTCAACAGACTTACTTTGTGTGTAGCCTTTTTTGATGGAATGATCTCTGACCTGTTTTCTTTTTTGTGCTGTAGTGGGTAATATCTTTTTATTATGACCTCACAGTGTGTGATGTGAAAACACAGTTTGATTTTGAGTATAGAGAGAAGAGCATTGGATTATGCCAGTAAAATTACAGGTTATGTTCACAGTTTTGGGTTTGGGTTTGGAAAATTTTTCTTAAACTTTACACGCATGCACACACTTTTATCTTTTATAACAAGATAAAGTTGTTAGGGTTATAATGCGCAATCAGACCCACAATTCAAAAAGTTAGCTTTGCTTGAAGGTATATTATGAATTATACTTTTATGCATTACAGTATGTTCACTACTTAAAGACATCATTAAAATTGCAGTAAGTTGTAAACAATGCTTGTAATTGTTTATAAGGACTTTTTTTTAATATAAGCTTTGTTAGAGCCCAAAATGTAACAATGACCCAAAATGTTATAAAAAATGTAATAAAGCCTGAAATGTGAAAATTTGTCAATAATGTTACAAAAATGTTGAGACCGAAATGTAATAAAATTTTTTTTAAACAACTGAAAATGTAATAACTGACCCAAAATGTAAAACTTGCTACATTTTGGCCAAAAAGTTAATACGTGATGGGGTGCAGCATCTTTTTACATAATTAACAAGTTATTATATATTGTGTTTTATAAAAAAAAATTTAAATTACATTTGGGGTCATTGTTACATATTGGGCTCCAACAAGTCTTGTAAATGCATTTATAAGGCTTTATAAATGTACTTATAACACACTCGGAGTTCTAGGTTCATATGAAGTGTTGGTGAAATGTCTCTGAATAACTCTTAAACTCTTTTTTTTTCCCAAATTCCTCCACCTTTCTTTGCATTTTCTCTCTCTTATACCAGTGAGCTATTACACCTAAATGATTACGTTCTCTGCTCCATGAGTGGATTGCTGTGCTATGAATCTATAATGTAATCCCCCAACATGGAGAGACACACATCAATCATATGTGACAGAACATTACTGTTTCAACCCACCTGATATGGTGGAAATGCATGGAAATCTGAGAACTGTAAGAGAGAGAGAGAGAGAGAGAGAGAGAGAGAGTGCATGTGTGTTTGTATATGTATGTGTGTATCTGTGTATGTGTTTATGTGCATACTACGCCTGCAGCACAGGCATGACACGTTTGTTTGCAGCTAGATTTTTGTATTCTCTTAAAAGATGCTGTGTAAGTGTTTATGAATGTGTGTGCGTCTATGTGATAGTACATGTAGATCTAAGTATTGCACTCCCCTGTGCATCTGAAATACATGTCTGCATTCTTTAGTGCGTATGTTCATGTGATGCAGTGTGTGTATCCTGTGAGTGTGTAGCAGTAGTAGTAGTTTTATAGAGAGGAGCTGTGTGTGTGGGGGAGGAGAACGTAGAAGTGAATTATGCCTTTTTTCTGAAGGGGAGGGGTGCATATATGTTACGTGGGGGATGGGCAGATTGCATACTGTATGTATGTTCACAAAGTATGTGTGGGCTGGTTTATGGCATGAACGTGTATCTTATATGTGCAAAAGGAAAAAAAAGGGATGTAGTAGAAAACAAAAAGATTCCTCCTTGTCTGAGAATAAACTCTGCATCCTGTATGCACCTCTGTTTTAACTTATATGCACACATGTTAGAAAATTTGTTTGCTATTAGTGTTTCAACAGGTTTTCGATGTGTTGTGTTTTTTTCTATATGATACACATATTTGTAACCAAGTATGCAGTTACGTTATTGAGTATGCAGTACATGTGTGAATCTGTGATGTGCACATAAATAACTTTGTGTGTTTGTGTGTATGTGTGTGTGTGTGAGAGAGAGAGGATCTCCTAACTGAAATGTACTGTTTACTCATTAAGAATCGCCTAAAAAGGCAGCAAAGCTCATTATTGTTCTTTAGTTTGCATTGAGCTGCTTCTGTTTCTATAAACACAGTCTGTTTCAGTAATGTATGTACTTCATCCTTCTCTCTTGGTTAATTCTTGTATCTGATTGTTGTCTAAATAAATTAAATGATTTCACTTGACTTGTGGTAGAAAGCATAACAAACTCAAACTGAAAGAACAGACTGTAGAGTCAGTAAAACTCACAACCATCATCATCGACCTTTATTTTAGCCAGGAAAATCATCAAGGTTTCCCACATTCACAATGACATCAAGAAACATTTAAAACAAACCCAAATTGACCAGTGTTGCTGTGTGAAAACAAAAGCACATAGAAATTATCAACTTTCATCATGATCAGCAGGAAGATTCAATATAATCAGCTGCAATTGTCCTCAAGAAAGAATGTTCATCCTCATTAATGCATAAATTAGCTTTGCATTTTCAAGGATCACACTTGAGTTGATGCAAATGCCCCTTTATGTTTTCAAGAATTAAATATAAGCTTTTCTTTTTTGGCTTTAATACATAGGCTTTAATATGTTTCAATTACATGTAAATCAGTCAAGTACATATTATAAATCAACAAAAGAAAACTATCATTTGAGTGTGAAGCAGATTTAAAGCTATGCAGAGAAGAAAATTTATGCTGATTTTTACAACATGCATTAATCACCTGTAATAACATTGGGACAGCTTTGATACTATAATATGAACAGTTTTTAAGAGGTTTAATGACAGCCTTAGTTCAGAGGCCCAAATCTACACCTGTTAATTTTACTTAGAGAAATCTTTAATTTCTATACCTATTGCCTATGTTCTGTTGATATTCGTAAATTTCATTAATTCATTAACACGGACATACAGTAATGCTAATGCTAATTTGAAACAGCTTTCACGAATGGAGCCATGTGTTTTAACAGTAGGTGGGGCTCTGAATTTGAGAAAGTTATGATCAGTAGAAATCATTATGAGAGTACATCAATCAGTGATGACTGAAAAGTGTTTGAAAACGGAAAATACCAGTTTCCAAAAAAGACTTACGTCCTGAAAAACTCTGGAAAAAATTTTGCACTTAAGTATTAGGACAAGCAAAAAAAAAAAGAGCAATTATTGGAGTTTTTCTAAAGTCTGCTGCCCCAGCTCTGTTTTTTGTTGTACGATCAATACTTGAAATAGGAATGTTTGTTGTAGGTATGCTCTTTGTATATACATAATATTACAATGCTACTAGACTTTACACTCTTAAGAAAATGGCAAATATATATAAGACAAATGAAATCTTTAATGTGACCTTTTTACTCTGTTCTACTACATGGACTCTAGCCACCTGCTGGATGTTTTCACTCAAGCAAACGTGCAATGTCAGGGTTGGTTTTCTCAAAGCTATTTATTGTCAACTTGATTCTGGGGGGCTGTTAAACCACAACTTTATCACATTCAAGCTAAGGCAATCATTGGCTAGAAGTAATATCTGCATTCATAACATCATAATGTTTCCATTCCAGGACAGTGTGATAACCGCACGTTTCATCACTGGAGTTAGAAATATTTGTTGAAAAAAAAAGCATCAGTGAACTGTAGCTCATCCCCATAGATGAGTTTTTAAGAGCAAACCTCTTCAATCCTTCAAAAGATAAGTCTGGTGAGGGCTGAACATTTAAGAAATTTTTTGAATATTGTCAGTATGTCTTAATGAATATTGTCCATGTCTGAAAGAGGGTGCAGAAGACTGTCATGTTTCAACCATCTGACAGTCAGCAGAGCTAAAGAGCCAGCACAAAGAGGAGACTTTGTGTAAATCTGTAGCTCTTGAAGTTAAATTGCATGCAGTTTCAATAGGAGGTTTTCAGTCACGTGATCCTGACTTCGCGCGAGGACCAAATGGAGGAGATGCGCCGTTTTAGAGGCGTGCCGGTATTTAGCCTTAGATAAAGTTTACCACCCGCTTTGGGCTGCATTCCCAAACAACCTGACTCCGAGAAGACCGGACCCCGGTGCGACAGATAGGGGCCGAAAGGACCCCCTTTTTACCTGTCCGCCCCCTCCGGAGCTCTGGGGCGCTCCCGGCGTGTCTGGCCACTCCACACCCCCCTCCCTACACAGTTTGACACGACTCAACTTCGGAATGAAAGAATTTAACTATGGGCTAAAAATGAGTCATTACCTTTGACAAAGTGGTCACTGCACACACGGGCATTATCCGACGCAGCTCCTCCAGACCGTAGGCCAGTGGTTTTTAAGTCCAGTCCTCGAGCCCTAGCCACTAGCATGCTTTTTAATTTTTAAAATATAATTATATATTGTATAAAATTATAAAAATATAAAATTATATAAAATATAATCATATTATATAATCATGGATATCAGCTTTGTTAGGGACCAATACTGACATGTTACTTTTTACGAAAAAATGACATCAATAATCCCAATTTACTGGCATGGCATGGTATAGCATCTACCCCCTCACAGTGGTTACACCCTGTAAAAAATAAACGTGACAGAATTTGTCAGTTTTGTTGCTGACGGTCTTTTCGACTTTAAGCTAGACCAACAGCAGGAAAATGGACCATATCACACCTGTCCTCATGTCCTTGCGCTGGCTCCCTGTGAGTCAAATGATAGAGTTGAAAATCCTGTTACTGGTCGACAAATCACTGAATGGTTTTAAATACATGTCAGAGCTGCTGGTCGGGTATGAAGCATCTAGACCCCTCAGGTCATCAGGGACAGGTCTATTCATTTTTCCTAGGGTCAGAACCAAGCAGGGTGAAGCTGTATTCAGCTTCCATCGTCCTCACCTGTGGAACAAACTAACTGAACACCTTAGGTGTGCATGAACCATCAGCTCATTTAAATCAGGGCTGAAAACATTACTGTTTACTGCAGCTTTTCAATTGCATAATCTTTTTACTTCTACTTTGATATCTGCTGTTCTGTCATTTTAACCATGTAAATTATAGTAAATTACATTTTAATCTTTTGTTGATTTTAAGCTGACAAATGCTTCCTAAATTCTATGTTTCTTAGGGGAATAAAAACCAAATTGGGACTTGACCAATGAAATGGGAAGAACAGGTAAAAGGCTGGGGAGCTCCAGGTCATGGAACCACTGTGCACTGAGGTCTTGGGGCCCTGTCAAGGTTTGGAGACTTGAGTGCTGGCTGAGTGCTGGGCAGCTCTGGGTCCAGAAGCTTACAACTTATTTTGTTTTCTGGGAAACAACAGTTTTCATAAATAATAAGGGTGAGCACAGAACAGACAAAAAATTTATTTGATTGTCCTATTGATTTTAAATGGTTCAAATCTCTTTTTCATTTCCAATATATTTCCTTGCATCTGTAAAGCAAATAAACTTTCCTTAAAGGTCATAGAAAGGCTCTATTGTAAACTTTGGTCTGTTTCATGACCATTTAAAAGTCCTTACAGTAGCTTTAAATTTTTATATTGGTGTAAGGTGAGTCCCTGTTAGCTTCAAGGCTTCAGGTTTTTCTTTTGTTCTACCAGCAAGTTTTCTATTTAATTTATTTATAAGATAAAATCGTGTTTACTTTTCGAGAGTACATCATATCTTTTTTCAATTTCGTTAGATCACATTTTTGGTGTTTTTTGAATGGAAGTGTACATAAATGCCATTGTTTTACTCAACGTTGTTTGCGCTTTTATTTTGTAAGAAAAAGAATATCCGGTATCATCACAGTTAATCGTTGCAGTCTTATCACAGGAGCTCTTTGTATGACTGGTCCGCGAGGTAATACGGCAGCGAGCGCACGCGCTGCAGCAGGGAACGAGTGGGGGAACTTAGAGCAGTCCCATCAAGGGACAGACAGGGTCCGTGAACGTCTCCTGTCATGAACACTTGGACCAATTCAGCGATTTAACGACGTATTTTTTCACGTTCACTTTGCGCGTACAGGATTAGAGAAGTTGTTTAAACTGGGAAGTTTTCCACCCACAGCAGCATTTCTGGAGCCTGAAAGCCGGTTGGCTCAACAGAGGAGAGAACTAACGTAAACTACTGTGAGTTCAGATGCTGGGAACAGGATTTCGTGACTTACCTGCTTAAAAAGGATTTTTTTTTCTCCAACTGAAGTTTGTTTTATTGTATCGTGGTTGTGTCTGTTTGGTATTCGTAAACACGCTGAGAGCCCTCCAACTTTCTGGGAGCAAAAGACAGATTATTTCAGCAAGGTTTCATAAAAAGAGACAAAGATTACTGTGTCGGGCAAACAGAAGTGGATTTATTTTCCGCCATGGATGTAACAGTTTACCCGCCTCCTCCTCAGCCTCTGTCCGCTTCAGACCACACCAGGTTGGGACAGCTCTCCTACTCTGAGCCAGCCTTCGGGACCAACAAGGTGAGCATAAAGAAACTGAATTAGCATAGTCTCACTATGCTTTAAGTGTCAAATTATGATCGCCCGCGGTCTTCTCCTTTGTCTCCATTTTTCCAGCTTTGCCAATTAAGCGGTAGGCTAATTAATTGCTTTATTGGGCTGTAATAATTAAAGCAGTCATCGATGGTAACTTTGTTTTTGTCGATCACATCAATTCGTTTGGTGATATTAAGATTGTAATTTCATCCCCAGCGAACAGTGATGTCATGATACTTTAATTAAAACTTCCACAATGGTGGGCTAATTGAAAAGTTTGGTTCAGTTATAGACGGAAAGGTTGGGTTTTAATGAAGTAAAGAGAGTGAGGAGAACAGAAAAGCTGTTATTTAATGGCATCTTAAGATTTAATTGGCCATATATTTACTGCTTTACAGCACAACTCCTCATTTGTGTCTTGTGATGCTTGCAATAATTGATGCCTGGGAAGGTCAAATGGCTTACTCCCTCCATAGCAGGGTCAAAGGTCAGAGTCAGATACACAAGAGAAAACCTGAAGCTGGTAGAAAGCCTTTTGTTTAGAATAATTTGTAAAATCTATCTATCTATCTATCTATCTATCTATCTATCTATCTATCTATTTATCTATCTATCTATCTATCTGTCCGTCCGTCTGCAGAGTGCATACAGGACACAGCCAGACCATGCTTGTTTGACAGTGATAAATTGCTTAATTATTTGACTGGGTGCAGCTGATTTGTGTGACTCAGGACAGATTATTAACCTCTCCTCATCTTCTAATTATCAGCACAATGACATTAAAATTAGTTTGATTGCAAAATGAAATGTATGATTTTTTTTTAATCCATCAGAATTTTTACTGTACTTTTAAAGGTCACAGGCTGTTCATTTTAAAGAGTGTGGTTTTAGTCATACCACAGAGGGTCCCCATGTGGTCAGTTTTTAGTAACAGTCTACTTGGTTTATCGACACGGGTTTGGGTTATTTTGATCAAGATTTTAGTACAGTCTAATGATAAATATAGTCTTCAAGAAAGTCCTCTGAACTGTTTCCACAGAGCACCACTGACAGCTCTTTCACATGTGCACTCATGAGCATTGATGGAAATGTTCATAAGTTCTGTTTTTGAAATTTTCGTGTTGCATTTCCCTCATTTGGCATTCTTAGGAGGCAGGACGTAAGAAAAAAAGCATGCTTTAAAAGCCACAGTCTGACGTATACAACACAATGATGGTAAGGCAACAGAGACCTTGGCTGGGATGACACCCAGCCTGTTTGCACAATGTTCAAAGTTTAATTGCATCAGTCCAACTGAAACTGGACTTTAAAATACACATCAACACATCAGTCTGACTGAAATGTACCAAATCTGACATCTCGTAGTTAGACTAATACACTTAGACAATGTAGCTGAGGATGAGTTTCTCTTACATATATACACAAGCAAGAGAAACTGATCCTGAAACTGGCCCATGCATTATGTGCATGCTCCACAAGTGGCAGGCCAGGCTTTGAAGTTAAAGTTAAAAAGAAAAAGAAAGGGGAAATTAATTGGTTCTTGTCCCAGTAAACAACTAATTTACAAAGTTTATCCCTCTCCGCTACAGTGGGTGATGATACATCCTCTTTCAGCCAGACAGTATTGGATGCTCTTATCGTTGACCTACCACGTACCAAAACAATTGACAAACAAGTTAACAGAAGACAGACTGCTTGTGCATTGAATGGCCAAAACATGAACGACTCCACAATTATGTACCTTTTACATATGATCTATGCTTCATTTTTGACTCTCTACTTTACAGTTGGCGGCTAATTGAGCTGCATGTGCAAAAAGTTCCCTTCGGGGATTAATAAAGTTATTATTATTCTTAAGAGAAAATTAATCTCTGACTGCATTAGCTAGGTATATTTGTTTGACTTAGAAAACCTAACTTGGTCAAATTAACACATTTACATGTATTTTTCTGTCACAGTCAGACCAACGCAATGAATAGAATTTTTTAACATGTAATATCCTGCAGTCTATTTAAGGCACCTGTGATCTCCTCTCTAAATAACATGACTGTATAGACTAAAGCTACATTTTGTCTCTGTAACTCCTGTTAACTAAGCTCCATACGCCTTTATTAGAGTCATCGCACTTCCAAATCAATCCCTCTGTGAGACCAAAAAGGATTTTAAACATGCTCTGTACAGCTTTAAAAGAGAAATGTACAAACTGAGAGTTCAAGTAAATTAAATCAGGGGAATTTTTTTTAATTTAAATAGTTCTCAAAGACAGTTAACATTTTTAAAAACCTTTTCCAACTAATGCTTCCCAGTCCACAAAGTGAGGGGTGCAGGTTAGTGGTTTTGTGCTGATACTGGAAATACAAATATTTTCATACTCATTTTGTCCTATACTCATATCAGTACCAATAGGTAAACACCTTTCTTGTCATAGTAAAGAATGCAGAGTAGAGTACTCTGGAGTAGCATTTACCTGTTACTCTTTGGGATTGTGTCCAATGGGGCGTTTTTTTTTTTTTTTTAATGCGCTCATGACTTCAGTTTCAGGGCACTTCTCTGAGTTGTTCTGTAGCACTTTTGCTTCCTTTAGCAATAATGGTTTGGTCTGCTCTATTTTCTACATATTCACTTTATATTAACAGCATTCCATATAGATAACTTAAAAACTATTGAGAGCAATTGTTTCATAGCATAAGCAGCGGCTCCAGATCCAGACCAGAAAAAATGAGCATGATCACTTTCTATCCTGTACAAACTACCATTGTTGTTAACAATGATCTCATCAGAGGTTCTTCCCCATACTTGATTCTGATTGGTTAGTGGTCAAGAAATTACATTGATGAGTGTAGCAGTGATTCAAAACTTAAATTCTTCTCAATGAGAGCCCTGAGAAAACAGCAAGAAAAATTGGGTGACTTTGAGCATGTTTTTGCACTGTAGGTGCTTGGTGCTGAGCATGCCACGCTGCAGTCAGTTTGAAAGATAACTGAATGAACTCCTTAGTTTGAGTCTTATTGTTGGAGAAACAGACATAAACAAGACAAAAACTTGATTGGACTATATAGGAGCAAAGTATTCTTTACAAAGATATTCAATAGCAATTCTGCTGTCTGTCTGACACTTCAGAATACTTCTATACATATGGGCAGGTGCAAGCTGTCATCACATACCAACCAATTATATAATGCATTAATTTTTGGCTGATGATACAATCAACAAATGTTTAAGGCCTTTTTTTGCCAGTATGATAGTATGATAAATGATATTATACATCCTTACAAAATGTAGACATAGAAGTAAAGAAAGGCTATGAAAGTACATTTTCTGATGGTAGAGGTGTTTGGTAGGGTTGTTTTCAGCTTTGATTACACAGCCTGGCCAAAAAAGTTGCCACAAAGAAAAGGTCATTCACTCTAATATTTCGTTGAACCACCTTTAGGTTTGATTACGGCACACATTTGCTGCGGCATTGTTTTGAAAATGACAGAAGATGTATTTCCATCCAGTGTTGCATTAATATTTCATCAAGATCTTGTATTGATGATGAGAGAGTCTGACCACTGGGCATAGCCTTCTCCGGCACATCTCAAAGACTTTCAATGGGGTTAAGGTCTGGACTCTGTGGTGGTCAATCCATGAGTGATAATGATGTCTCATGCTCCCTGAACCACTCTTTCACAATTTGAGCCTGATGAATCCTGGCACTGTCATCTTGTAATATACCCATGCCAAGAGGGAAGAAAAAATTAATTGATGGAATAACCTGGTCATTCAGTATATTCAGATAGTCAGCTGACCTCACTCTTTGGGCACATAATGTTACTGAACCTAGACCTAAATGACTGCAGCAACCCCAGATCACAGCACTGCCCCATAGGCGTGTACAATAGACATTAGGCATAATGGGTGCATCACTTCACCTGCCTGTCTTTTTACCCTGAAGTGCCCAATGAGAAGTTACTTATTGCATTAGCTGGGGTTAAATAAGTTGTTACCAGCTGAAAGATAATCACCCATGCAGTAATTATCCAATAGGTGGCTCGTACTTATTTGCTGAGTTAAATCCAGGTGCCAACTTTTTTTTGGCCAGGCAGTGTATTTTTTTGGCTGCATTGCTCCTTATGTTGTATGTATGTATGTATTTGTAGAAAGATTCTTTTGGGATTTTGTCTGTCATTTAGTGAAAAATTGAGAATGCAAGATACTGGATTTTTGCTGATAAAATGATCATTTCAAAACTGTCGTAGCTGGTACTGATACTGATTCCTTTCATAAACATGTTTTATTCACTGTAACAAAACACAAAGACCCAAAATAGAAGTGACAGGTAAACTCTCATACTGGAGAGCATTTAAAAAACAGGCATTAATGAGACAAAAATCCTGATTCTACAGTAGTTTTTTCTTTTTCATACAGTACAGGCCAAAAGTTTGGATACACCTTCTCATTCAATGTCTTTTCTTTATTTTTTATATGACTATTTACATTGTAGATTATCACTGAAGGCATCAAAACTATGAATGAACACATGTGGAATTTTGTACTTATTAAAAAAGTGTGAAATAACTGAAAACACGTTTTATATTCTAGTTTCTTTAAAACAGCCACCCTTTGCTGTTGATGACAGAAGTACTTAGTGACTGACTCTGTCAGTCACAAAGTAACCCTGACAAGGCACACCTGTGAAGTAAAAACCATTTCAGGTGACTCATTGAGTCACCTCATTGAGAGAACAGCAAAAGTTTGCAGCGCTATCAAAAAAGCAAAGGGTGGCTACTTTGAGGAATCTAAAATATAAAACAAGTTTTCAGTTATTTCACACTTTTTTCTTAAGCACATGATTCCACATGTGTTCATTCATAGTTTTGATGCCTTCACTGAAAATCTACAATTTAAATAGTAATGAGAGTAAAGAAAATGCATTAAATGAGATGGTGTGTCCAAACTTTTGGCCTGTACTGTATATCGACAGTCAGTAATGTGTTTGCTCTCTGGTTACGATACTTGATATAAAATATGTGTTAAAAACATTCCAGTTTTTTTGTACTGGTAAAACATACAGAAATATACATAGTGATACTCCTATGGACCCTTTAGCAGCACAACAAAGAGTCAAATAAAGATCAACACATTGAGAACCTTGGAGTGCTTTCCTGAAATTTAACAGCAGCTGATTTATTAGAACATTACATAGTAAATATAGTAATCTAGTGTGTTCAATGTTAGCCTCAGTTACATATGATGACTGAACTAATTGTACTGTACATTGAAATGCCTTCAATGAGCTCAAAATGTAACATCATGTGTAGAGATGTTCAACGCACAGCATCACACTGTTCACACAGCTCTGTATCTGTTTCAGAGAGAGGAGGGAGAGATTAAAGATAGAGGCTGGAGATGTAGAGAAAGCAAGAGAGCTGTGTGGTTGGGGGTAGGGACTGAAAGGAGAGAGAAGGAGGGTAGGGCTGTTGGGGGTAGGGATGTTGTAGATGAAAAAGAGAGAGAGAGTAGCAGCGAGTGAGTGTAGTGGGGGTGGGGCCTCTTTAGGTTTGTGCTATATTTCTCTCTCCCTGTCTTTTGATTCACGGCTCTGTCAGCCTGATAGAAGAGATCATATTACTCTGTGGGGAAACAGAGAGAGAAAGAAAGAGGGGATGAAATAAAAACTGAGAAAGAGAGAAAGAGAGAGAGAAAGGTGGAGGAAAGAGGGAGAGACAGACAGACAGGAAGTAAGGAGGCACAGAAGAAACAAACAAGTGAAAGAAAAAAGAGGAGGAACAGAGCAGAGGATATAAGAAATAGAATGAAGGGAGGCTCTCTGTTGGTGTGTGTGAGAAAGAGACCGCGTGTCCTACAAATGTGTGTAAAGATGGTCAACAAATCAGAGGATTTTTACTGGTGGTTTGATTCTAAAACTTGTGTTCTGACCGCTTTATGCACTGTAACTTTAACATCAGAGTAGCCTTCACTGAAAAATGACTTCCTGATTATTACTAGCTGTAAACAGATCTTCATCCTTGGATAATCATTGAGCTGATATTTAGTATATGGCTGATTTTCTGTGTTAGCCTTTTATTTCATAGATTGCTGATAATATTCATTCACGAAAAACTGCGCCATTGTAACCCCTCTGCTGGTGTGTCTCTCCCTCTGATTTGTTTTCTTGCTCTACTGCCCCCTCCAATGTCCTGCCTACAACATCATCTGATTGGCTAGATGTCACACAATTGTGTGCTGCAGCTGTGCGTGTTAAGCCTGGTTTATACTTCTGTAGCAAACCTAAGCAGTAGCTACAGCACTCTGCATCATTAAAATACTTCACTTTGTGCATCGATCTCAGCACCTGGGCGCGTTTGTGCCTTAGTAGAATGAAATGAAGGGAGTGAACCATCTTGTCAGTCATTCAGGATCTTTGTATCTGTGGGGGGAGGTGGAGCTGCAAGCACACACACACGGACCCAGCAGGTGAGCCTTGTGAGGAGCCTGGAAGAACTTATTGCAAAGCCAAATGCCACTGCTTCAAGCCCAATGAGCCAGGTGGGACCATCAACACAGGCAAGCCAGTATGCTGACTTTGTTGATAAATGGTAGCGACAAAAAAAGCAACACAACCAACTTTGATGCCCACCTCAAACACAATCGCCTGGTTAAGTTTTTCCCGCTGAGGAAAAAAAAATGACCCTGGGATGCCGAGCTGTTGGCCCAACAGTCAAGGCTTACCGAAGCGTTTGGTCGACCAAACAAGAACAGTGCAACAGCGCAAAATGGTGTGTGCTCACAGAAAGTGTAGTTTGCTACGTTGCCAAAGAAATGCTGCCATTTAGTACGGTTGAAAAGCCAGCATTTCGAGAAATGATACAAACTTTTGACCAACAATACGAATTGCCCTCCAGAAAATATATGATATATTAACATTATATTAGTGGTTATTTTCGGTTGTCTGTTAACTTCTGTATATAATGTTGAACTGTTAATCAGTTTGAACCAACACAAGTTTTGAGTTGGAATCTATAATTTTTCAAATTCTAAAATTCTCAGTGTATCCCCTACATTCATTCAAGTGAATAATGAATGAATGATCATTAATATCAATGCACTACCAATGATTTCTACTCGCACTGTGTGTATGGAAACGATTGTGACTCATATCCCAAATTCAAAAGCATTAGCAGAAATGCTTTTTCATTTCAAAGTCATGGCTGCAATATTTGACTCAAAAATAAAAATCAAAAGCAATATTCCAAAATGCTATTTCATTTTCTTCTTCAAGACTGCTCATTTTGTGACTAAATTAAAAAGCAAAAGCAAATCATATTTAACATTTAATTTTCAAAACATTCACCAGCAAAAAGGTAACAAAATTTAATTTGAAATGTCAAATTCGAAAATTCAAAAGCATTAGCAGAAATGCTTTTTCATTTCAGTCATGGCTGCACTATTTGACTCAAAAATAAAAAATCAAAAGCAATATTCCAAAATGCATTTTCATTTTCTTCTTCAAGGCTGCTTATTTTGTGACTAAATTTAAAAGCAAAACCAAACTCAGAAATGCTTTTTCATTTCCGTGCTCGCCCCGCAAAAAGTGTCTCATAATTCAATCTGAGTTCGCAATCTCAAGTGGTGCCGGAAAGTGACGTCACGGACCCCACACGTTCTGGCCCCTTCTGGCTGATAGGGGGCAGTGAATCCGTGTATCATTCGTTCAATTTATATTCAATGTAATTAACACAGCCTGTACACCTCGCTTGTTGGTTGTATTCAGTGTTTGTGTGGACGTCTCCACAACTATGATCCACCGCTGTCACCACTCGTACTGATAGTAGTCAGCGTGGATGAAATCAAACCACAGATCGCGGCAAGACTAATGGACTTTATACTCCTCAATGTTCTCATCACTGATCGATGGATTTGGGATATTTTGCAAATAAAGGGCCATAAACACAGTGAGAAACAGACAAAATGGTCATAGAGATGCCTTAAAAATACATGGCACAGAGGCAGAATCACTGCAGTCTCTGGGCTCTATTTTCGTGCCTCGCCAGAGACGTGTGGCAGGCGCGGCGTAAGTCAGGTCCGTCGCGCCGACAGGGCGTTCCCAAGCACAATTTGGTATTTTGGTGAGCAGCGCAGCCCGGCGTAAGTATCCCCCCTCCCTAACTCAGCTCCTCCCAGCGGCGTAAGTCGTAGCAAGGGAGGAGAGAGGGCGTGGAGTGGATTTAACACAGCTGAGACCTGTTTTCACCAATCACATAAGCTCCTCTCCTTGCCTTTAAATCCGCCAAAGGCGAGGCGTATTACCATTTTCGTGAAGTAGTCAAAGAGATCAAGAGATGTGTGAAGACAGTAATGCCACAAGATGGTGACAGAAGGCAGCTCCTCAACAAGTGTCACCGTAAGCGCTGCATTGGGCGTCCTCCACACTCTCTCATATGAGCACAGATGGATTTGGTGTGTGTAATGTTGGACCCACTGGTAAGACAAACACCCTTTTCCACAAATAAAGACACTCACATAAAGTTGCATATATTCAAAACTCACGTGACAAAGGTGGGTTGTGTGCACAGATCACAACGTAAACTCCAAAAATGGCATTAAAATTGGAACCATCTGTGCGTAAATGACGCATCGCGCTCCGTGGCCTGGCTCTTTCTTTCATAGATGTTGGCATATAAAATAAATTTGGCTCACAAAACTGAATAATATAATATCCGTATGTCGGCTTAAAGTAGATAACGCATCTGAGCACTGAAACAAATCATCTGTTCAGCCGCTACTGCAGCAGGACGGAGAGAGGACACAGAGACGTGTCCAGATCGAGCTGTGCGAGAAAAAAGAGGAAGAGGAAGAAAAAAAGGGAGAGAGACGAATTACATATCTTGTTAACTTCATCGTGTGTCTGTTTACTAGATATTTAATTTAATTTAATGCGGTTTCAGCTGTGTTAATTCGGTCAGGTTGTGTGTCCAAACGCGTGCCAGATGTGCTCATCAGATCAGATATAGATCAGAATATATCGATATAGATCTAAATGTATGTGCTGACTCAGATTATTAGTTGTTGATTATTTATTGCACTGAAATGTGCCTGACACTGTGGAAACTTGCCGGTGAGGCATCGGTGACGTATGCCGATACGCCGCTGGTCTACCAAAATACCACTAGACCAGCTGCTCTCCGCCTGCACCGAAAGCTGACCAGGTTTGAATCGGCGAGCTTTCAGCGCACTTTACATGCAACCGGCAAGCACGAAAATGTCACTGCACCAGCTGATTCTGTCGACACCTCTCCCTGCTGCGCCACCACGCCCAGCTTGGCGGACCTCGGTGTGCCTCAGTCCACGAAAATACCAAACTGGCTGTTTGCCGGGCTCTGCCAGACGAAAATACCACTGCGCGGGGTTCACCAGTGGACATGAAAATAAAGCCCAAGGTCTTTCAGAAAAGACCCAAGTGTCAGAAAGACCAACACAGGTTCTTCCTGGACTCTACAGACATACAACATACACACAGCTACACATACCTCGGACTTAACATCACATCTACAGGAAATTTCAATCTGGCCATTACAGTCCACGAGACAAGGGCAGAAGAGCCTTCTGGTCTAAAGCTTCACATGTTGATATTCCAGTCAGAATCTGGATCAAAATATTCCAGTCTGTAATTCAACCCATTATATTATATTATATGGCAGTGAGGTGTGGGGTCCTCTTGTAAATCAAGACTTTGAGAAATAAGACAAACACCTAATTGAAAGTCTGCACACAGAGATTTGTAAAAGCATCATTTGGGTCAACCCAAACCCAAAGCAAACTTCAATGCTATCTGGCCCTAAACAGACAATAATCCATGACAGATTACCTGAGCTCAGTAACTGACCCCAGACTGAGGAGAACCTTTACTATGCACAGATTCAGCAACCACAGCCTGGCCATAGAGAGGGTCTCTGTCCTCACACACAGCCGGAGACAGAGCAGCACTTCCTGTTACACTGTGACACATATACACACATCAGAACACACACATACACTAAACTTACACACATAACACCCAACTTTACCCAACTCACAGACCAGGAAAAGTTAACTCATCTATTAGGAGAAAAAAGGGCCACTGCTTTAGAGGCAGCAAGATTACTGTTGCTGTTATTGTTGTATTATAATGCTTTGGCAATATTTTTATAACAATCATGCCAATAAACCTTATTGAAATTGAATTGAGTGAGAGAGAGAAAGAAAGAGAGAGAGAGAGAGAAAGAAAGAGAAAGAAAGAGAGAGAGTTATGTAAACATGATGATTGTGAAAGCTGGCTGAGGTATTTCTTAAGCAAATAGAAAGGATGAGAGAGCAAGAGGAGAGAAGTAGAGCTCAGTGACTAACAGAAGGATAGAGACTGAAGGAGAACAAAAAAAAAAATTCCAAGCAGTCAAGGGATAGAGTTTGATTTGGGAAATGTTGTGTCACAGAGAGAAAAAAAAAACTGAAATACAGTTTTTGCAGAGGATGAAAGTTTTCCCCCAGCAAAGTTTTTCTCAGTGTATCACACCATTCTCCTCTAAGGTCAGGAAATGTTTTGAAACCCTTGTGGTGGTGAAGCATTTGTGACGTTTGCTTTACTCTCAGATATCTGCACTGATTTTATGTTAGGATGATAGTAATCAATTAAAACAATATTATGATCTGCTGTCATGTTTTTTTTTACTGAAGACACATAGAAAACAGCATCTGTGAAGCAGTCTCCTTTCTGTAAGTCCTAGTTCCAGACCACATCAGTGAAAGCAGTGCAGCATTTATTTGAACAAATCAAAAGTCAAGATCTTGGCGTAAATGCGGTGAATACAGCACACTACACACATACAGACTCTTTTCAGATGGATTTCCAACTATCAAAACTGGAGATCTCATAAAAACCCTTGTGGTCAAGTGTGACTTTATTTATTTATTGATTCTTACACTCATGCAGATGGCAAGATGCTCTTCTTGTAGCCTGTTCCTCAGGTCAGTCTTCACCTAGAAATTATCGCTGTTACTGCCACTCCCTTGCAGTTCAAGGAGCTAAGCTGTTACAGCCATGTTATGTTACGTCACCTGCGCTACTTGCTATATAGACCATGTATATGCTTGAACGTTACCTTTCACGTTGATGGAAGAGGGCACGACAGGATTTGATGCTCGTTGATGACTCAAAACAAGTTGAACATAATGTCGTGTTGTTGTGCTCACACAGTGCGAGCAGTTTATAAATCATTAGTGGCGCATTGAAAGTAATTATCATGTGAAATTTCAGAAGCGGCGCACCAGTGAATGTAGGGGAAACACTGCAGTCCTATCTTAATCTACACTGTAGAACCCAAAATACTCCCACACCACGCTTCTCCTGTGTTTTTGGTGTCATGATTGTCCGCTCGGTGTGGCTTTGATTGACTTTGTCCTCCATTACTGTGAATCAACATTCCTGTGTACTGAGGTCAAGAGGGCATGGACTGGCCACAGTGGCCTCCCCTGATTCATACAACAAGCTACTTCTGGCAGCCTAAAGCCTGGTTTTTGCCGTACTTATGCCGTACCTACTCTATACCTGTGTCACAGACCTCTGCGTTGGGCACAGAACTACATGGACCTGCAGTATAGGTGATAGTGTGGGGCCAATACAGAAGCATAAACCAGGCTGTGAGCACTGGTATACTGTTTTATACATGTGGAGTTTAAATTATTCCCTCAGAGTTTAAATAAAGGTTTGAATTTTGGATAAAACGTGACAGCCCTAGTGTGTACCCGCTTTTCCAGGTAAACCTTCACTTCAAGACATTGTTTTCCAGATTTAGTCCATTTATAGCCCTCTACACTGCTGTAAACTCTGCTTCTGCTCATGTAGTGTTTTACAAACCTCGAGCTTCATCTCTGATGTTACATCAGTCAGGGTGTCAGTTTTAGTCACCACACTCTGTTATCTTAAGTGTATGGCTGCAGGGTCAAAACTTTGTGCTCATATATATAAAAAAATCTGCTCCATGAGTTAGCTGCTTGATGTTACAGTATTTCATGAGGACTGGCAAAGAGCCATTTCATCAACAGGATGATCCACTCTGTCCCTCAAGGCAACTTTTTCAAGGTATACTGGCTGTCAGTCAGGATAACAGAAATGAATTTGAATGGATTTGTCAGTGTAGTTTAAATTGAAATTGCTTTTTTTCCAGTATCTAATCTAATTTCATGAACTGATCTGCTGGAGCCTTTCTTTGATTTGAGTATTTCAGTCACACTTATCTGAAAAGATAAATTGCATCACTTGCTTACTTACATTACGTCCTATTTTCCTTGTTTCTTACATTTACTTTCATAGTTTTTATAGCTCGAGGTTTCTAACCTGCCAAAGTGTCGGCATCCCATCTAATTATCTATCAGAACAACCAGTCAATCTGTCTGTCCGTCTGTCCATGTTGGCTATAAATCCTATTACTGAACATGTCGCCAGACCCCCCCTCCTCTAAAACAATCTTAGGTGACTGTCAGCACTGTTGCTTGTGTGTCGGTGTTTCTAAAAGCTTTTCAGTTGGTTGAATTATGAGGACATGGCGATAAGGGACTCAGAGTTGGTGGAGGGACGCCAAATGGAACAGATGGGCAGAGATAGAGCGCTGCCAGAAGAGACTAATTATCAGGATTTATTTTCCAAAGCAAACATATTGCATTAAAATCACATACTAAAGTCAATGCTGCATTGTTCTCTCTCTCTCTCTCTCTCTCTCTCTCTCTCTGTGTTTATATGTGTGTGAGAACCATGGTAGTGACAATAAGTTTAACCAGTTCACTGCTGGTGATTGGAAAAAAGTGTAAAAGTGATAGGATCTGCTCCTGAGGAATTGGTGTGGAGTTTCTCTTGTTATTGTTCTGTCTATTTTGTGCTCAGCTTTAATTGACAATCAAGCAATGATAACTGAGGAGGTGTTAAGATAATTACTAAGGACCGATTGATATCAATAAGTAACAAGTCAGTTTTGTTCATTCTTGTCTCAACTCGAATATGTGTTGATACTTTGTATTCATTCACATTCATCAACCAATTAGTCAGACATTGAAAAAAAACAACAATCATGTTATTTCTGAACCAACGAAGGGTGGTCAAGATGTCGGATTTTTACCTCACAAGTACTAAAGATTGACCAATAGTGTTTTTTTCTTTTTAGGGCCGTTACCGATACCGATTATTAGTAATCAAGGAAATCGATATGTAGAACTGATATTCATTTGCAGTGAAAAAGGAAAATTTTGGCCATATCTTGCTTTTATTTTGAAAAGAGAGAAGAACTTGAAGTAGCGCATACTAGCTGGTAGCTTCACAGACACCAAGCAGCACCTCTAGCAGTAGTGTTACCTGCTATTTTGTTTCTTTTGTCTTATTCTCCATGCGTCATGGTGTTTGTTATAACTGTGAGCATGTGGTTGTATGAAAGGTGTTAGTTGAAAGATCTAATTTTTGACTGTAAAGATTGCCTCTGGGGAATGACTACCATTTGTTGAGAAGCTGGCTAAAGTGGTATACTTTGTGTATTCTTTATCTGTATTGGCTACAGTGCTAAACCATGGACTGTATAAAGAAGGGCCAGCTTTTTTCACCAGTTTGTTAAGACGTCTTGCATCTTTGTGTTTTATACTTCCTCCCCAGCAGACTGCAGTGTAGAACAGAACACTGTAGACACAAGGGCTGCACGATATATCGTTTGAACATCATCATTGCGATGTACTTGTGCGAGATAGTCACATTGCAGAGCCTGTGATGTAGGAGGCGAATGAACTCATCTAATTTCAAGGATGGCTGACTGACATACACTGCATGTGACTCTGCATGTGCTGTGCAGTGATCCACCAATCACATTCGTTCTCATTTGCCAAGCAGACTACCCTATCAGCCGTCAATCGAAATCAGATAGGAGGAAACCATGCCCTTGCACATGGCCTGCACATGGAGTGAGTTGCTGGTGATGCTGGTGTTGTGTCGAGAAACGTGTGCCCGCCGACAGTTACTTTTGGAACATTACTCATCATTGTTTAGCCCCACAAATAAGAATGGTATGGGTTTTAAATTGTACTTTTCCACGGACCACTCTACTATAAGCGGTGTGCGTTTCCGCAAGGTGCATACAATCCTGGAGGACATGTGTTTCTCGGCACAACACCAATTAAAAAACAACGATCGCAAAATGAGCAACGAACAAGAGGAAACCACCGAAAATGAAGACTTGTTGCTAAAAAGGAAAGCCAGTTATCTTGAATTATTTAGGTTACAAGAAGGATGATGTCGACCAGACACGTGATCTGTGTCGGCAGTACCGTTTTACCTGTTGCCACAAGGAGAGATAACAAGTCCCAGCACAATAAAAGCATGCTAAAAATATCTCTAAAACAGACAGAAGCCATTCTATTAACTTTAACATAAAGAGGTAAGGTCAGTGCAGGTTAATTCAGCAGTGCAGCATTGCATAAAGTGCAATTCAGGTCATATGGTGAAAATTCATGTCTTTTTTCATCACCTCTTCGGTCCACTCCACAGGTGTTTACTGGCTGAAGAGGGAGTTTGGACTATGGAAGTCTATGATCATTTCTTTTGTCTTTGAGAAGGAGGCAGTTTTTGTGACTCCAGTCATTGTAGGCTTTTATCAGAGCCTTGTGTCCCTGTATTCAGCTTCTTGTTCTTTCTGATACATGCCACAATAGCATGTCATGCCGAACTCGATTCCCTGCAGACTGCGACTCAAGTTTTTACATGTTGATACTGAAAGACAAGCATTCAGCATGAACTGCAGATACCCTAGAATAAAAAAGGTAAAACAGAGAAACATGCTGATTGTTTTTAGATAAAATGTTAGTTTTTGAATGGTTAAAAGCAAATCCATGTGAGCAAGATTGCACCAGACCTTCCTTTCAGCAGATGCTACCGCATCACAGACTTTTTAAAAAATGGCATGAATTAGAGTTATGGTCCTGCAATCTTCAATTTCATCTAAACATCAAGACCTCCTCTGCAACTGAAAGTGATGGCTTAAGCTATTCTATACTTTTAAATTAACATGTGGTATTGTCTGACCGATAAGATTTTGGTCATAATTTACAAACCAATCATAAACTGACTGGAGGCCATCAGCCCTGGTCTATAGTCAGGTGGACATGCAGCGGTCATTCACCAATGATTTCACTGCAGTAGCCTCAGCTGTTGAAGAGCGAAAAGTAACACTTCAGCCTCAGTGTTTCCACCACAACAGTGGCTCATCCCCAGAAATAATACCCCCATGTTTTGAGCTGGTAAACAGAACAAGTTGTTGAGGTCTCCTCTGTGACGACTTTACACACCTACCTGACACTGATGGTCAATTGGCTGACGAGTGGAAACCTGTATGCAAATTTTGCTTTGAGAATGTGCACGTCACTAATGATCCTGACTTGTGCTGGGCGATAGGCAATAGATATCGTGGGCACGATAGAAAATGTCTATCGTGCCATTTCTATTTTTATCGTTTCGAGCGATAGGCTGTATTTTATCCATAGGGCTTGTGCCATCAGATGATTCATAGTAACAACAACAATAATTGCACATTCAGTAAGAGTATTTGGTGTCAAACGGAAGAAAGAAAAGGATGCGTTGACATGTAGGCTCGCATTTCTCTTTCGATTTTGCGACATGACGCCGCTTTACGTGCCCTCTTCGTGTCCAGCGTTTCCCGCCGTTGCGGGTTACTTGGGTTACACACGTGAGGGGATCATTGTAAGCAGTGCTTAATTTGTGCCTTTAGGCATGAAGATGACAACTGTGTTGGATGAAAAATAACAATCAAATGTGCACTGGAGGGCAAAGCGCCGTGAGTTCACGGGTTTTCAAAGGTTTTCAAACTGTCAGAACATTTCATCAAAATAGATTATCAGACTGTAAACATTGCTTCAAAACCTTTTTCCCCGTACGTGATTTGTATATGTTTGGACTGTTAGATTAAAATTTAGCTATTTTTATCCTTACTTTTCTTTCTTTATTTTTTTTGCTCTAGTTTTACATGTGACTTTGGACATAAATCTTTTTTAGATTTGACAGATTTTAGCTGTAAAGTTTTTTTTTATGTTACCATTCCATTGTGTTATATTTGAAAGTTACAAATATACAGTACAGGCCAAAAGTTTGGACACACCTTCTCATTCAGTGCATTTTCTTTATTCTCATTACTATTTAAATTGTAGATTCTTAGTGAAGGCATCAAAACTATGGATGAACACGTGGAATCATGTGCTTAAAAAAAAAGGGTGAAATAACTGAAAACATGTATTATATTTTAGATTCCTCAAAGTAGCCACCCTTTGCTTTTTTGATAGCGCTGCAAACTTTTGCTGTTCTCTCAATGAGCTTCATGAGATGGTCACCTGAAATGGTTTTTACTTCACAAGTGTGCCTTGTCAGGGTTACTTTGTGACTAACAGAGTCAGTCACTAAGTACTTCTGTCATCAAGAGCAAAGGGTGGCTATTTTAAAGAAACTAGAATATAAAACATGTTTTCAGTTATTTCACACTTTTTTAATAAGTACAAAATTCCACATGTGTTCATTCATAGTTTTGATGCCTTCAGTGATAATCTACAATGTAAATAGTCATATAAAAAATAAAGAAAAGACATTGAATGAGAAGGTGTGTTCAAACATTTGGCCTGTACTGTACACAAGTACAGCGGGATGATGTACTGGAAATAGCAGTGTTGATATCCAATTTTTTACCTCCGAATTATTGTTGCAATAAAATATCATGTTGGTGATTTCAGATATTACAATATTTATTGAAAACTTGAAAATAAAAGAACACAGTCAAAGTCAGGACCCATTTTACACATGAATGCAGTGTAATTTACAAAATAACTATCTCTGATGATATTCTTATATCTGTGATTTATCCACATCAACAGCCCTGTGACCCAAAGTCCTTTGGAGAAGACTTTACTTTTGATATTTTTCTCTCTGTCTGTATGTGATTCTTTTTAGTTCTTGCATTGTTTAACAGTGCTCAGATTATCTCCCTTTTTTAATCTTTACCTTCATGAAGATGATCACTTTTTGTGAGTAGTGTTTTTAAAGGTTATCAGCTGTAATTCAGGGACAGAAAATAAAGGTTAAATCTGCCTTTTCACTTATCACTTTTCTCATTTGACTCTAATTTTTCTGTTTTCTCCAATCAATTAATGTTTCCCATGCCCTTCTTTTTTCTGCTGCCCTTTTCCTGCAGGACTCTGTATTTCTCTTTTTCCCTTTGTCCTTGTCTGTCATCCTAATAGTCTCTCTTCCCCTTTCTCCCCCTTCCTCCGACCCTGACCCACTTAGCTGGCTGCTTGTTATTCAAACCTTTGCTTTACTTACACACACACACACACACACACACACACACACACACACACACACACACACACACACACACACACACACACACACACACACACACACATGCACGCACACAAGCATCAAAGATGAGAGAGTAGGAGACAAGGATAAAGAGGAGACAGAGAAAGGGGATAACTTGGTTTGAAAACAAACCCTTTTTATTTTTTTAGATTTACACTGAGACAGTGAACTCAGATACTGTACAATAATTCATTTAAGTGGAGGCAGTACTCTAGATTTTTTTTGTAGAAATAGGTCCTCAGGTCAATGAAAACATTTACTGGATCTATAACTGACTGATATTTTTATAAACACTTCAGCTGTTATTTTTCCACTGTTAATTGATTAAGGAGTAAGTCCTTAAACAGGGTAAAGTGCCATCAGACTCCCCAGCCCTCTTATACTCATTTTGCTAGCAGGATTTCCCCTCCGTGTCACAGATACCAACCCAATCACAACATCCCAATTAAATATGGTCTATAAGTTGATAAGAAAGAAGCAGCGCTTAAGTCCTTTTGTTTCCAACGCTAGATGAGAGGTAGAATCTGTTATGGCAGCTATTTTATGCAAACAAAATGAGGGATTTTCTCTGAAGGGAGAAGAAACAGCTGCACTTGCAGTGTTTACTGGTAGAAAGGTATGTTCCTCTCCTCTGCATGCTGCTGTCTAAGAGAATTTTTGTTTTCCCAGTGTCACAGGCTGTGTTGCTCTGATCAGTTCTGGGTCTGTCCAATCTAAAAAGAAACCTCCAGTTAACGATATACCACACGCTGCGGTATATGTGACGTCATGCTTGCCGGTGTCCATTTTCAGAAAACTGTAACACAGTGGTGTATCAAGCATTGGCACCTAAATATGCATAATGCAACTCTGTAGCTTGCAACACCAGCCTGGGGCACCAGCCCGGGTGCTAACATGCCGCACCGTGTAGTTCAGAGGCCACACCCACTGATTCTGGTATTCTGGCTCATCTCCTGCCTCCCTGTATGACGTATGTCTACGTCATACGCCCCTATTGGCCTTACAAAAAACTCATCAGTCGCCCACTAACATGCACTATATTATCTTTGTACTGACATTGGAGATTTCAGTGTTTTTACAATTTTTATTGTTTTTTTTTTATTGTTTTTACTCAAAGGACTCAGTTTTATATTTCTTAGACCGTTTTTTTTGATAATTTGTTTTAGAAATATTAAGTTAGTACAACACAACATTATTACAAATACTTTACTGTTTTTTCTTTATATTTATGATTATTTAAATTTAGATCACTTACTCTTAAAGGGAAAATCCCCTAAAACATTGGAATATAAATATTTTGTCAATATCATACACCCTTCATGTTATCTCACTGTCAGAGGCTTTTACAAAGCAAGTAAACGGGCTGGACAAACATAAAGCTCTCAGCAGCTGTTCTGATAATTCTGTGTATTGAAAATAAAAAGCTTGTGTGTGTGTGTGTGTGTGTGTGTATGTTTGTGTTTGATTGTGTTTGTTTGTGTATGTGTGTGCGTCCTTTGTCTGTAAAAACACTGTCCTGCCTTTCTGTTGACTCTGTAAACCTTAACCTCATTTGCATAACATGCAACAGCTGGGGAATGGATGAAGCAGTTACGCCTGTCTGTCCACCTGTCCACCTGAGATTGTTTGCGTGTGTGTGTGTGTGTGTGTGTGTGTGTGTGTGTGTGTGTGTGTGTGTAATTATGTGTATGAGACGTTACTTGCTCATATCCAGCTGTTCAAATTTTCCTCTTTGTATGTTTGTCAGTGAAGACTCCGTTTAGGGTTTATGTACACAATGTGTCATAGATTGTTTAAATAGGATTTATGCATTCAAATTTGAAATTTGTTGCTGTTTTTGTTGTTTTTGTGTTTTTAGATCTTTGTCTGAGCCGTAAGGTTACAGTCATGATAACTACATTTAGGTCTACTGTCATTTGATTTCTGGCAGTAAAAATTAGAGCAGGATATTTGATTTGTTAATGAAATAAAGGAAAAGAAGAAATGACAATTTTGAAGAATATTTCTTGAATCATTGTTTATGCTGTTCTTCATGACTGATATATATATATATATGGATATAACAATGAATTTCACCAAAATTAAAAACGTGTCCTGTAGGTATTTAATTCAATGATTTATTCAAGATTCTCTTAAAATCAAACAAAACAAAAAACAGTACAATTCTTTTTCATTTACAAAGCACTTTACATTGCTTTTTAGCTTATCTAAAGTCAACTGTAAGTAACACTCAGCCAAAAGCCTTCACTTAGTGCTAGGCAACAAACTGTCAACGGCAGTATACCAGCCTGATAGGTTATTGTTGCTTAGCAGCCTCCCTTATCAGGTGCATCCTCACCTCACAAGTTACAATGACTGTCAAGTAACAATAAATAACATTCATACCATCTTTTATTAAATAGTGAGAAAGTCAGTGTCACTTAACCAACCTAAAAGCAAATTATGTTGCAATGCATTGTGGGCCGTGGTCAGCATAATGTAGTGTTTGTTTACATTGCTGAGTAAGACGCGGCGCTAGATAACAGGGTTTCCCCTATATGCAATTGATCCTGGCGCACTGCCACGGTTAAATAGAAGCCGCCACACTTTAAACAAGTTTTTTCTTATGTTGATCCACCTTGGACTTATGTGTATCAGTATACATGTGTGCAGCAGAGCTCATGTGCGCTGAGTATTAGCATTAGCGAGATATCGTTGGCGATCACACAACTGATTAATTAGCGAGTTATAGGACAAATGAAAGCACAAAACTGATACCTTTAAATCCGAGCTTACTGCCGAAAGTGAAGGAATTAGATATGGGATGCAGGGCGTATGATGCAGCGTCCACTGTGGCAATTGCTGCACTAGCAGTGGGTTATTTGTTTGACAGGTCACTGCATGTCTCCTTGAATGAAAGCAGTGTGATCTTTGAAAAATGTGAACAAGGAAGCCAGGAAGAACACATCTATTGATTGAGAGGAGCTGCCATAGTCTGTATATACTATGGACAACTTGTTTCCGCCTCCCGTCTGTATATGGATTTGAAGCCAAATAGCTCTTGATATTTCCGGGATTTTTCTTCATTTCCTGAAACCAGTGCTGCGCAGTAGCAATGTGCGCATTTGGGTGTGCAGTCGCCGAGAGTCACTGTGATGACGCTCGGCTCAAACAGCGTATCCCTGGGAGAGCTACGCAATCCCTGAACGCCCATAGGCTGTATCAGGTGTCAATCATAGGAAAAATGAACCCCCTAATAACTTTTAAAAACGGAGCTTTACAGAAAATAGAGGACTTGAGCACAAACCAGTCTTACTGTAACTACATGTCAACATCACAAGCAGGGGGGAGAAAAATGTATGTTCTGTGTAATAAATTTCTAAAGTTTGTCCACAGCTCCATAAGCTTTGCTGGTGGAGGCGGGATTTATGACCTATACTACAGCCCATCAACAGAGGGTGCTGTTTTCGGAGTGGCTTCACCCAGCAAGGAGGCAGACTCTGTCCATTCTTTATACAGTCTATGGGAGCTGCTCATAGATCATGCTAAAGTACGTTTTAAATTGACCCCATTAGGTGGAGCTCGTTTGCCGTCCATGCCTCCACCGTTACCTGAAGTAGCCATTGTTTACGTCATCATGCGACGCGTCCATGCATGTTTTTTGCATGGACCAATTTTTTTGGAGTCGATTACGTCGACTATGTTGACAAAATCGCCCCAGCTCTAATATAGAATGGACGCCATCTGCCTCCTCACTGGGTGAAGCCACCCCAAGAACAGAACCATCGGGTGATGGCTGCAGTATAGGTCATAAATGCCGCCTCCTCCAGCAATCCCTATGGAGCTGTGAACAAACTTTAGAAATTTGTTTACAGTGAATACAAATTTTCCTCCCTCCTGGTTGCGATGTTGACATGTAGTTACCGTCAGACGGTTTGTGCTCAAGTCCTCTTTTTTTCTGTACAGGTCAATTTTTAAAAGTTATTATGGGGCTCATGTTTTCTTTGAGTGACACTTGATACAGCCTATGGGTGTACAAAGATTGCATAGCTCACCCAGGGGATACACTGTTTGAGCCGGATGTCATCACAGCAAGTCCCAGCAACTTTCCCACCAAATGCGTACAACGCTACTGCTCAAGTGGTGCTTCCAGGAAGTAAAAAAAATCCTGGATATACTGAGAGCTTTTTGGCTTTAAATCTGTATAAAGATGGAGGGTGGAGCCAAGTTGTCCATAGTATATGCAATCTATGATATAAATGTACTTGACTTTATCCTGGCTCTAGCAACTATCTCACTCAACAACCCATTAAACAGTGTTTTCTTCACTTAGAGGGAATCAGTCATACAGTGAATTGTTTTTTTTTTTTCCTTAAGTTTGCTGCCTGTCTGTACTAATGGAAATATGAGCTCTTACAGCCACTGGTACTCAAGCAGGAACTCTGCAGGATTTATGATGTCTGAAGGAGATGGCTTACAGGTGGTGACAGATAGTGACAATTTGTTCATGCAGTGTGAGTGACTGAGTTATTGTTCTCTCAGCCTTCACATATGGTGTCCTTAATGGCTGCCGTTCGTTTACTGTGTTTGATCATAGGTTGTTGACATTGTTGCTTTTTGTTCTCTCCAGCTGGAGGGGGACGCCATGTTCCTGGGTGTGCAAGAGGCAGGCCTCGACTTTCCCTCATCCAACCAGGTAAGAGTGTGTTTGTCTTCATATGTGAATATGTGTGTTGGGGGTGGGGGGTGGGGGTCAACATTAGTTAAGTGTCTTATGAAGTTGTTTATCATTTCACTGAGCTGTTTCCTTAATCATAACAGAACTGAATGTCTCTCACTCTAAATTAAACAAACATGTGTAACATCTTATTTCCACATGTAGAGCTCATAAGCATAGTTGCCAAGACAGCTTATTATAAGCGACTTTGGGCTTTTTTTCTCAAAAGTCACTTATAAAACTTGTGAGTCGCGGGTTGCGGTTTTTTGGGCTTGTTTTTAACTAGTCGTTGCTTATTTGGGCTTGCTTATCTTTCTGTGTGAATCCCCACCGGTTATCTCACAGCTCCCCACAAAAGCAAAGCAAAGCACGAGTGCAGTAGTTAGGTAATTTGTCCTTTCCAGACCACTGTTTCCCGAATCACCCCTGCTTGAGTACTCTGCATGTGCCCAAACACACTCACACACAGCGCATCATGTTCATGTACGCCAAAGCTCAGAGAGACAGAGAAACAGTGTTGCGACTTATTTTCGCCTAGCAACTTTTTCCGGAGTTTGGAGACTCTGACATGAAAGCAGGTATCAATGTTACTCTTCTCAACAGGTAGTAGGTGTGTGTCATAAACACACATACACACACACATGCAGACACCCCAGGGAAGACCCCTCCTCCCTAATGGGGGGGGGGGGGGGGGTGTTGAAGTCATTCAAAGAATTTAAGTTATCCAAAGTTTTGATGTTAAATGTGTTTATTCGAATTTTGCGGTTGCTTATGCATAATCTAATAATAATTGTATATTTTTGATCGGGCTTTTGTTGTAAATTTTTTATTTTATATTGGACTTGTTTTTCATAGAGTTGGTTGCTTGTTTCTCTCAGGAGATCGGGCAACACTGCTCATAGGTGTGTACAGTGTGTGAAAATGGGAATACAAAGCAATATGTAGAGGTCAGATTTGAGATTGGAGCAATGTCTTGTTGGTTTCTGTTGGTGCAGACATTTATGAGGGTTGTATTTCAATCAGAATTTCAGACGGCTGTTATGTTGTCTTTAACAACAGTCTGACAAAATCCAAAACTCATTCTTCATACCAAATGGTCAGTGTTGTGATTCTATTTCGGCAAAGCCAAACATTCTGATCAAGTTACAGACACTTGGCAGATCTCTTAAACTCTTTGGGCTCTATTTTCGTGCCTCGCCGCCAACGTGGCGCAGGCGCGGCATAAGTCAGGTCCACCGTGCTGACAAGGCGTGCCCAAGCACACTTTGGTATTTTGGTGACTGGCGCAGCCCGTATCACCCCGATGACACCATGGATGAGAAGATGCTGATTTTAGAAGTCTAGAGGTTGATTTTCTCCTCTGGAAGGACACAGTCTACTACTTTTATGGTTAGCCTCTGTGGCTACGAGACAACTCGTTATAGTGTGATTGCATGTGAATCTGCTGGAATCTTGTGAGGTCTCACAATTACCGCTGTCCATAATCCGCCACAAAATTGGCCTCACCAACGGATCCGGTAGGAATTGGCGGATGGCAAAAATCACAGCCGTTCTGGATGCGGTGAAAATTGGGGGTTATGATTGCTGCAGCCTCTCTCTCTCTCTCTCTCTCTCTCACACACACACACACACACACACACACAAACACAAAAAGTTGGTGATGACGGATTCACAAATGAATTTCATAAAGAATTTAAAACACAAATAGCTCCACTACTTAAGAAAGCATACAATTATGAGCTAGAAACAGGTAAATGGGCTCAAACATGGCAATCTTCAATTGTAACATTAATTTTGAAAGAGGGAAAGGATACTACAAAATGCTCATCGTATCGGCCCATATCACTGCTAAATACTGACCATAGAATAATATCAGCAATACTAGCAAATAGATTAAAGACCACAATTACTGATGTGATTGAGGCAGATCAATGTGGATTCATCCCTGGAAGGTATTTGGCAGACAATATTAGGAGAACAATAAATATAATGCACCATGCACAAAATAAAAACATTGATGCAATATTATTAACATTGGATGCTCAAAAGGCCTTTGATTTAGTGAGCTGGCCCTTTTTGTTTGAGATGCTTGACAGTTTTGGGGTAGATAACAGATTCTGCTCATGGATACAAGCAATATATAGTAGGCCAACCTCAAGAATTAAAACTAATGGCACTTTGTCAAGAAAAATTTGAATACAGAGAGGGACTAGACAGGGAGACCCTCTCTCTCCCCTCATCTTCGCTATAGAAGTATTAGCTGCTGCAGTGAGACAGAACATTGAGATAAAAGGAATACAAATTGGAAAAGAAACTCATAAATTGGCACTTTACGCTGATGATATTATTGTGTACTTGACATCTCCAGAAGAATCAATAAATGCCTTAATGAAAACAATTGCTGAATTTGGTAAGGTCTCTGGGTATACATTGAATAGGAGTAAATGTGAATCTTTGATAATAGGGAGACAACCCAGCCAGGCATTGAAAGATTGTTATAACTTCAAATGGGAGAATAAGAAGGTAAAATACCTAGGCATTAATATTAGTAAAGACTTAAATGAATTGTATGAGAACAACTATTGTGCATTGATTACTAAGATAAGGCAAGACTTGAATAGATGGGGATTAATGCCACATAGTTTGTTTAACAGAGTAGAAATTATTAAAATGATGGTTCTTCCACAATTCCTATTCTTATTTCAGACATTGCCTATTGTTGTACCAGAGAAATACTTTAAAAATTGCAACAGAATTATTTCAGATTTTATCTGGAACAACAAAAAGCAGAGAATTAAACTGAAAAGTCTTTGTCAAGCAAAGGAGGAAGGCGGGTTGGGGCTCCCAAATTTACAGAGTTATTTCTTGGCTACACAACTCCTCACAGTAATGAAATGGATAGAGAGGGAAACAGAAACTAAATGGATTAATATAGAAAAAGAAACGGCAAGAATATCCATTGGGACACTGCCATTTATTGGAAGAACGCAATGGAAAAATTACACAGGGCAGAACTACTGCATTGACAATACATTGGCCAACTTGAAATGTGTTTGTAAAATGTTAAAAATAGACAATGAATGTGTGCTAGTGAGAGAAATGGCAGAGGATCCTGATTTCATTCCTAATAGAACAGATAAAATCTTAGTAGGGTGGGCAAAAAAGGGATTGACAAATTATTCACAATTAATTACAAATCATACAATAAACTCCTATGATATAATATCTAGGAAATATGAATTAGAATCAAAACATTTCTTCAAATACCTGCAGGTTAGAAGTTACATAAGTAGATTTTTAGCAGAGGAAACATCAGAGCATGAACTGATAAGATATATGACACAAAATTGTAATAAAAACAAAGGAAACCTGTCAAAAATCTATAAGATCCTGCAGAAGCACAACAATGTAGAGAGTAACATAAAAGAGAAGTGGGAAAAAGATCTAAAAATTAATATAACAACGGGAGAGTGGAGAAGAACATTAGGTGGAAACTTTACAATATCCCAATCAAAGTATTGGAGGGAGTTCTCATGGAAAGTGAGTATGAGATTCTTCATTACACCTGAGAAAGTTAAGAGGTATTACCCCGGACTGGATAATAGATGTTGGCGAGGATGTGGAGAACAGGAGGCAAATTATATGCAAATGCTCTTTACATGCCCAGTACTAATAATGTACTGGGAAGGAGTCAAAGAAACCTTAAAGCATATATTTGAGTTTAGAGAACCTCTGCAGGTACAGCATTGTTTAGGTATCCATTTAGAGGGGAAGATAAGAGTAAAGGATATCTATTTTTTTAACATATTGCGAACAACTGCTATGAAACAGGTGACCAAAGCATGGAAACAATCAGATCAACCAAAATTAACGGCTTGGGTATTAACAGCAGAACAATGTCTAGAGATGGAAAGGCTAATGTTAATGAATAGGGAAAAAATGCATATTTGGAACAAGCTATACCACAAAGAAAGGTTGACAAAAACAGTAGAAATATTTAATCAAATTAAGGAGATGGATTAAAAGGTCCCCACCCCAACTCTAACATCCATGTACATACACACACAGATACACGAACACACATACATGCACCAACCCCTACCCCTACCAGTTTTCTTTAGTTTATTTAATTATATTTAGTTCACTTTATTATTTATTTATGCATTTATTTTCTGTATTTTGTTTGCTTGTATGTTTTGCCTTATTTTTGGAGATATGTCGATTTGGTTACTTTTTGGTTGTTATTTACTTTCTGTATGTTAAAAAAAAAAAAAAAAAGTTCAGCTCCTCTCCCTGGTCTCCTCTCTCCTTCTTTAGCAGCGTGATCATTTATACCTTACCACTCATGCTGTAGCACAACGTGTTTAAGATACTGGAGTTCTTGATAAACTTTACATTGTCTTAATCCCCCCAACTATGTTGCCTATCCATTTGAGCTCAATGATAAATTTTGAGTTCTGCTGGGAAGGAAGAATTTGGTGCATTTGACCTATGGTATGAGATCGAACAAGAACAGTTCATTTTTGTTAAGACTTCTTAGCAACATTTAACTGCTTTTTATTAAATATATAATTTTGTGTTGTAAACTTTGCATACTAACTATTGTCTCAAAATGACTATTTTTTCCTGGAGTGACCTCAGTGCTGGGATTTCTGTTTTTTGCTGTAGTGTGTGATGCCTTATTCTGACTGCAGTGTGTAGGACAACATGTTTGACTCTCAGCACACAGAAAACTGCATGAAGTGACTGTTTGATTTTGACAGTGAAATCAGAAGTTTTGTGGATGTAGTTTGAACACTGTTTTTCTTGTGTTCACAGTTTAAGGGAAAGGGAGGGAGGTTCTAGGAAATATGTTTTAGCAGTTCTGAAAACTTATAAGTTGTCACAAGATCAGGCTGCAAGCTGGAAGCAAATGTAAAGTAAAAGACATGGCATTCCAGTTTATGTTTGCTGTAAAGTTATTATTCTGAAGTCATTTTTGTTGTCAGTCAACCTCACTTTGCTGCCTTGCACTCACTTTAAAGGAAAGTGATGTGGTGTGTCTAGCTGTTACTGAACCCCAGCTTGATGGCCATCATATTCAAGATTGAGTGTTTTTACATCACTGAGCTCCAGCACTGAAACAGCACTGTGTATCAAACTCTGTTTTTATTTTGGTGTGTGTGAAACTGAATTCACTGAGCTCTTTCCCTGAGGCCCAGGTAAGCCTCCGGAGATTAAGATGTGTGTTTGCAAGAATAGAATTACCTCACTACCAAGCACAGCTCATATTAATAAGAAACTCACCAGAGATACATTATCCCTAGAGCACACTATGGAGAATGTTTTGTAGTATAGGAATTTATGATTTGATGTTTTATTCATGCTGTTGTGCCATAAGAAGATGGGGATTGCTGTGTGGAATAAGAATTTATAGCTTTATTATTGAAGGTGTGTTGCTCCCACAGAAAGTCAGAGGTTGTTGAGATGAATGAGGCCAATTTTACAGCAGTCTGACCCTCGACTTTGTCATTTTTTGAGCTGTAAAATGGAGCAGCACTGTGATGTGACTGTGTTAAAGCTAAAACAGGAGAAATACTTCATTGAAAAGAGGCCTGATGGAAGAGGTAGTACAGTCCAATTATACAGATGTTGACTGTTAGGAAGTCTAAAAAGAGGGTTTCACACCAGGGCTGCACCATATCGAAATTAACCAGTGTCATAATTGTTTTATTCACCCCAATAAGAGATAAAATAATTCTATACTATAGAAATGCAGTATATTTCAAGTGTGCAAGGACATAGAAAAACCAGAAAATAATACTATCAATAATTTGGATGCGTTGAAATTGTAGCTTCCACCAACTTTTACTGCATTGTCCAGCCTTCTGGCAACAGGTCTGACAACTGCTTGAAGAAAAGACATGACAGGAGGAGTACAAGTGACGTAATTTGTGACAGCATAAATTTAGCCACTACCCTTTCTGTTGCTGTTAAATATTATGTTAAACCTGGGTCACAAGCCCCTATTTTCTAGTCCAATGAAACTCTCCTTTTTCTTCTGCATGTGATTTCCACATCACTATGATGGATGTGTGGTGCAGGTGTAGATGCTAAACCAAATGGACTACTCTCTGGTCCTGTTAGTTTAGCAGTCCTCGGACATGCACCATCTGACATAGAAAAGCACCATGATGAGGCAAGAGCCCCTGGCTGCAGACATTCCAGGGCTGTGTAAGCACATGCACAGCTCAACGATGGACCAGTGCTTTGATCTCTGCTAATATTATGAAACAAGGAGACTATCAGAAACTCTAACTGTAAAATAATAATAGACTTTTAGAGTTTGGTCTTTGAAATTGCAAAAGTAACAGTTCATGTAGCTCCTTAATGTGCAGTTACACCTCTGTTCCTGCATGCTGCTTAGTTGGAAGTAGGACTGGGCGATTATATGATCGTGATTAATGATCGTGATAAATTTCAGTTCGATCACGGTGATCAGCTATGAGCTTATTTACTCGATCAAACATGGTGGAAATGTGCATCACAACAGCCAATCAGAGTAGAGCTTTTTCCGCTCACTTCTGTAAGTTGCCTGAGAAGTAAACAGTAGAAGTAAACAGAATGACCGAACGTGGGGCTAAACGCGGAACAGCAAAATAGATGTCAGCCATGACTTTGAGTCATCCTCAGAAGATGAGAAGAAAAGTTATTCAACGTCAGTTGTGTGGTGGTGGTTTGGGTATCTCCAAAGTGACGTTGAGCAATTAGGCTGATGTGCAAGGGATGTCGGCAACACAACAGATCTGTTTAATCATTTGAAGAAGTACTTCCCCAGTGATTAATAAGAATAGGAATAAGAATAAGAAGAACTTTATTAATTCCCGAAGGCAAATTCAATTGTCAGTTGTCTCACATAATATGTTTCTAAAAGTTATCTACTATTTACACAAGAGTTATAAAGTCTGATGGCTATTGGTACAAAAGATCTTCTGAATCTTTTTGTCCTGCAGCAAAGAGAGAGGAGCCGTCCACCACCATTGGTCCTTTGGTCCATCAAGGTGTTGTGAAGTGGGTGATCCATGTTCTTTAGAATAGTCTCCACCTTCCTCAGTGTAGATCTCTCCACCACATCCTCCACTGAGTCCAGCTTGAGTCCTACCACAGAGCCAGCCTTTTTCACCAGTTTGTTAAGACGTCTTGCATCTTTGTGTTTGATGCTTCCTCCCCAGCAAACTGCAGGGTAGAACAGAACACTTGCCACCACAGACTGATAAAACATCTGCAGCGTCTTACTACAGATGTCTATTGATCAGAGTCTTCTCAGGCAAAAGAGGCGGCTCTGCCCCTTCTGTAGATGTAGTCTATATTCTTAGACCAATCCAACTTATTATCCAGATGTACACCTAGGTATTTATATGATGTCACCACTTTGATGTCCACTCCACAGATGTTCACTGGCTGAAGAGGGGGTTTGGATCTACGGAAGTCTATGACCATCTCCTTTGTCTTTGAGGTGTTGAGGAGGAGGCAGTTTTTATGACTCCAGTCACTGAAGGCTCTTACCAGATCTCTATTCAGCTTCTTGTTCATTTCTGATACATGCCACAATAGCGGTGTCATCTGAGTATTTCTGGATGTGGCAGGACTCAGTGCTGTATTTGAAGTCTGACATGTACAGTGTGAACAGCAATGGCGCCAGCACTGTCCCTTGTGGAGCCCCTATACTGCTCATTAATGTCCCAGAAACACAATTCCCCAGCCTGACAAACTTTGGCCTTCCTGTCAGGTAATCTGTGATCCAGGAAACACAGGACGGATCCACTCATCCCCATCTCTGTGAGCTTGTCTTTGAGTATGGTGGGTTGAATGGTGTTATGCGGAAAGCATAAAAATGCGAGCAGAGTCTGCACAGCCTGCCACTGCTGACAGCAAGTAGCATTAGCAGTTTAGCCACAACTGGCAGTAGAGCCATCAGACCAAAGCAGCAACCAATCGTATCATCTAAAGTTTACATCATCTAATGTTTACATTTAAGGCATCTTCATTATCTCTGAGGGGACAATTTTTTATTTTGGATTTTGCATACCTGCAAAACACTCAGGACTGTTAAGTAGGTCACTTTATGATTTATTATTAATCAACATTTGTTGTATTGTTAAGTAAAAATGTTTTTTGTATTTTTCCATGTTTATCTTATTTAATTTGCTTTGTGATTTACTTTTTATGGTAGTAAAATGTTGAACTAATCCCTGGTTTCTTCAGTTTTTAGTTCAGATTCATTAAAACTGGCAGTTTAAAAAGATAAAAAAGAAAAAGTGATAATAATCGAGATTGGACAATATGACAAAATATATCATGATCATTTTTTTGCCAAATCGCCCAGGTCTAGTTGGAAGTTTACATCAGTTTGGGTCATAGCAGTTATCAAGCCATCTCACCAACCTCACATTTGACAGTCTGACATGCAGGTCCTTCTTTTCTCTCTTTGTGCCACTATGTTGATGTGACGTGTTGTATTCGGGCAGAAGTATCAGGTGCTACACTGTGTTTACTTTTGTGCATGCATCAGCAACCATACCGTGCTGAAGTCCACCTCTGCTAGGCATGTCAGGGCTGAGGAAGCAAATGAGGACTATGTCCAGAAACAAGCTAAAACTGTATGCCCACCCTTATTCATACAAGAACATAGAAAAAAAAGCATGGATGTGGCTTGTGGCTGTCATCTCTGTAATATTTGATGTCAGCAGTCTTATGTAACCATTTGTAATCAGGTTTTAGCCGTGTCAGAATTGAACTTGATTTACAGACCTGTTTATATGTGTGTGTCTGTCATTCTGTCTTTTATTTCTTACTCTCTTTCTCTGTTGACTCATTTTAGCTCTAGCTGTCCATAAAACAATAAGAGCGATATTATCTCTGCTGTTTCCACCTGTTTTTGATAGAAAATTTTAACAAAGCCCTGTGTAGAGTTTTACTTTGTCTTCCTGACCCCACCCACAGCCTCATTCAGCTACCCACACACAGACCCTGTCTTTATCCTTGCCTTTTTGCATGACCTTTCTATTTGACCTTTGACCTTTTACTGGCCTCTGGGTTTATTTGAACTTTGTTTGTCTTTGTGGTTCTCCCCACAGTTCCGTGTGCCTCAGCCCCCTCATTCTCTCAGCAAGGTGACGCCAAACCTGCCGTCACAGCACTGGAGGAGAGACGCACACATGGGTGACACACATCGACTGCCCTGGGTGAATACACAAATACTCAAACACGCAACACAGAAGGATGCTCCAGTCCTTCAAATGATGATCATGTAATAAAAAAATAGTGTAACAAAAAAAACTACACTCAGTTTCAGTTATCACAGAACTTTAGCAAACTAAATAACAATTTTTATTATGGCTGTCATTCTCTATCTGCAATCCTATTTCAAACGTCATTCTTTTTTTTTTCATGAGATGCCCAAGACAGAAAAGGGCAAGGTGGAACACTGCCTTGCGGTCTGATGAGTCAAAATTTGACAATTACTTGGGAAATCTTTGATGCTGCATCCCCCTATTAAGAAAAAAGAGGGCACACACAGCTTGTAATCAGCCCAATGCAAGCATTCCTGTTAGTATAGCAATACATTAGTGCACATGACATGAATACTTTACACAACTGGGAAGGCCCCAATATTGCTGATCTCTTCATCATTTTTCTTTAATCATAGGGTTTCAGTGATTTGCAAATCATCAAACTGTGTTTCAACTTATGTTCCTCCCTCTTCATTTTTTTTAGTTTGTATCTCCATATCAAACTGAAACTACAGTATAAACATGTTACAAAGAAAACCCATCTGTAGAATTAAGGTCAAGTTTAAGTGTGTGATTGATTTGTCTAACAAAGTGTTCGAAGATAATCTTTAAAACACTCCCTCACATTTACACATTTACACATTTTTCACATTATATACTGATAAATAGGAAACTGTAGTTTTTTAATGTCTCTACCAAACAGTCATACATAAACTGTACTGTGCCAGCTGTCAAACCCTGTCTGTCACCCAAAACACGTCATGTGTCAGGCTTAAAAAGTAGATTACACCAAACAGGGGCATTCCAACCCATCATTTATCACAGACGGAGTCTTCAACTGAAAAGCCTCTTTATTTGTTGCTCTCCAAACATTCATACTTGTCTACCTCCTCGCCTTATTATCATTAATATACCTAAAATATAAAAGCTCTATGTGATGGATCCCCTTTCAGACAGCCTGTCCAGGGTTAGACTGTTACACCTGGTTCACCCAGGACGCCGATGCTGCGCACGCCGGCGCGCACGTGCTTGGCTGTTCACACATAAAGCGTTTTCTGCTGTGCTCTGACGCGCTGGTCAGACATCGACTGAGCCCAGCAGTGCTCGGCTGTTTCTGTCTGCCCTCAGTTTTCCACACTTACGAGCGCTTTAAACATGGGTAAATCAATATTTATTTGTGTTTTTATTATGTCATATGTAAATTAAATATTGGCAGCATCTTCAAGTATTGTTTTAGATTATTATATAGGGGTAAACAACGAATGATTTGGGGAGTCTGTTGACTCCATTGTATGTGTAGTCTTGTTAGCTCGAGGCTATTGACTCTATCGTAATAAAGTCCCCCTCCTTTGTCTCAATAACATCACTGAATCTCTGCCGCTCTCCCTCCGTGTGTGTGTGTGCGTATGTGTGCGTGTGTGTGCGCATGCATGCGTGTTCATCGGGAAAAAATAGATCGACAAGCAACACCGTAATAGTTTTTTTCTAATTTATTGGAATTTATTTCATTTTGAAAACTGACCAGATTCTCTCGCATCTCCTGTTCCCGACTTCCTGCCTGGTCCGATCTGCTCTGTCCAGCTTTACAATTGGCGCTTGCAGCGCGCGGCTCGCGCAAAAAATAGAGAGAAGCAGAGTGACTGCGCTCCAGAGCGCAACCCATTCCGCGTGCGGCGACTACCTCGCGCGCACTGTGTGAACAGTCACATAGGTTAACACGGGCGCCGTTCCAAAACTCGGTGCGCGGCGCTTCCTGTCTAGGCGTTACACCTCCCCCAGCTCTGTATCCTGTATTTCTGCATAACACTGATTTTGAAAAATGCCTTCATTATTATATTGTTTGAGCATCGTCATCGCGATGTACGTGTGTGCGATAGTCACATCGCAGAGCCTGCGATGTCGGAGGTGAATGAACTCAGTTAATTTCATGGGTAGCTGACTGAGATACACTGCATGTGACTCTGCATGTGCTGTGCACCGATCCACCAATCACCTTTGTCCTTTACTCAGTTGCCAATCAGACTCAGTTCTCAGTTGCCAATCTGACTACCCTGCCAGCTGTCAATCCAAATCAGAGAGGAGGAAACCCACCCCTGCACATGTTCTGCACATGGAGTTACTTGCTGGCTGCTGGTGTTTTGCCGAGAAACGCGTGTCCGCTGAGAATTACTTTCGGAACTTTAATCATGACTGTTAAGCCCAACAAATAAGAACTGTATGGGTTTTAAAATGTATATTTCTGTGGACCACTCTACTATAAGCGGTGCGCGTTTTGCGAGGTGCATGCAATTCTTGGAGGACATGCGTTTCTCAGCACAACACCGCTAACAACAACAACGATTGCAAAATGAGCAACGAACAAGAGAAAACCACCGAAAATGAAGATTTGTCGCCAAAAAGAAAAGGAAAGTCAATTATCTGGAATTATTTCGGTTACGAGATGGATGATGTCGACCAAAACACGTTCTGTGTTCATCTGTTGCCACAATAACGTCCCAGAACAATAAAAGCTAAAAATATCTCTGAGACAGACAGAAGCCATTCTACTAACATTCACAAAAAGAGGAAAGATCAGAGCAGGTTAACTGTCCTCAAGACTTCAGCGGTGCAGCATAACATTAAATGCTATTCAGGTCATCTGGTGAAAATTCCTATATTTTTAATATCGCAACATCGCAGGGTTGAAAAAAATTGCAATGTTAGTTTTTTCCAATATCGTGCAGCCTTGATTCTGCCTGTCATTAGCAAGACTTTCTCTGGAAGATATTTGAACACCATATAAGGTATAAATGGGAATTTTATTTGGGTACATGTTACACTTAGTACAGCGTATCACTACTGATTGCCTGAATGAATTAAATTCTGATTCAAAAGGTACCAGTCCACTGTGGTTGATTCAGGTATATTTATCCAGACCAATTAGCAAGATAAGATCAGATAATCTCCTAATATTCCCATGACAGGGAAATTTGAGTTGTTTCAGCAGTAGGGAAAAAAATTATCTGCTGCTGAGTACACAACATTTCTCATTAGATCACATTTGGTTAATGGAAAGAGTAATAGCTAGAATACTTGATTACTAAAATAACCATTTACTGCAGCCCTTCTACATATTCACAAATTGGTATAAACTGACAACACGAGTGTACAGTGGCCAATCAAATAAGTGTTGAATTAAATATTTTGTTTTATGGACAGTTCCACTCTCAATTATTTGATTTAATTGAATATTGTTTAAGTTGTTCCACCAGTTCCATCCATCAGTTGTGAACCATCTGATTTGAAATGACCAGTGTAATATAAGAAACTGGTGCTCATGGTTCTCTATATTGTATTGAACTGTCATGAACATGGAGATGTAAGGGGTGTGAAATGTGAAAACGTGTGAAAAGACTTAATCCTGACTACATTAGTCTTTCTTGAAACTCGTGGTGCAGAGGGGAAAGGCTATTGTACTGACATGAATGGAGGAGGGGAGAGAGAAAAAGTTATTTATGCAGAACTCTAAGAAATGATGGAGAGAGTGGAAGAGGGAGAGAGACAGACAGACAACAGACAGGCAGAGTAATTTATGCAGAGCTCCAAGCTCCAACCGGAAACTGTTTCTGAGATTTAGACCAGTAAAATACCTGTTGGACTGGTTGTTTTGTCAGGACCTGAAAAATCAGGAAACATACAGCGCTATACCCTGAGTTAAAGGGACTTAATTACCAGGATCATTACAGAACTAGATGAGAAAACTAGTTTTACAGTCTCAGGATGAACAGTATATTGTCATTTGTCAACACATGGGTTGAGTGATCAGTTAGAAAGCAACAGGTAAGAAAAGGTGTACATGGAGGGCAGTGGAGAAAGTTAAATTCTTAAAGCAATTAATCATGATCATATCAGAACCACCTTTTATGGCTTATTTTAAATAACCTTTACAATGACAAGACCTGAGTCTGGACCTTAAACTGCAGAAACAAAGGGATCGTGTGTCAGCTCAGGAAAAACAGGAGTAGAAACTAGAGATAAACCTGATTCATAGCATTTCATGGGCTATTTTTACTAGACCAGTGACTTTTTTTTTTTCATTTATTTCATAGTAGGGACACACGAATTAATCAGTTGAGCAGTTCATGGTGTTTGGTAATAATTGGCACTATATCAGTCCTAACAAGGCTTATCTTACTGCCATCTCAATGGAAACATGGTTTTCATGTCTGAAATGATAGTGTCTTAAATTTAAACAGCCATTGGCTAGTTTGGGATTTGAATTCTGTTATAATGTGTAAAATAATGTAGTTTAGCGTGTCTTCTGACAAAACACAAGTTATGTCCTTGAATTTAAAGGATAAACCCATGTATTTGTTTTTTTTTTTCGTCAATTCATAAAAAATCCATCTAAATAATAATAATATTAATAATAATAACTTTATTTATATAGCACCTTTAAAAACAGAAGTTTAAAAAGTGCTTTGACAACAGTTGCAAGCACAGAACATCAGCACATGGAAATAAAAACAAATAAAAACAAAAGCTCAGTTAAAAACAAGGTCTCTGAATTGTAGGCCAATTTCATTTTTCATAAGAAACCCAGGCAATACAAGAACCCTACAAGATAAATGGGACCATGAGGACCAAAATAAAAACATAAAATGAAATAAAAAAGGAGGGCAGAAAGCAGGAAACAGGCTAGAAGTATAAAAGAGGATATTAATAATAATAATAAAATCATAATAAAATAATAATGATGGTAATATAAATGATAAAATGGAATAATAAAAAAACATTAAAATCAATGAAGGACCTAAGAGATAAAATAAGAAAAGATTATAAGTAAAACAAAGGCTAAAAGGATAGCAAGTTGAAATAAGAGGTAAAAGAGATAAAAGAAAGAGGAGAAAAAAGGTAAAAGACAGCACCACATAAATGCAAGTCTGTAAAAGTGATTTTTAAAATTTGACTTAAAAGAAGCAACTGTCTCTGCACGCCTTATCTCCTCTGGCAGGTCGTTCCAAAGTCGAGGAGCTCTGCTGGAGAAAGCTCTATCACCTTTAGTTTTGAGCCTCGACTTTGGAACGGCTAGGAGGCCTTCGCCAGAGGAGCTGAGGCTGTGAGTTGGCTCATAAGGTATTAAAAGCTCTGGAATATAGCTCGGAGCAAGTCCTTTGAGCGCTTTAAAAGTAATCAGTAAAATCTTAAAACATGTTATCGTCTGAGATAACCATGTATGTTAGACCAGGGGTTCTCAACCTTTGCAAGCTGCCCCACCCACCCCCAAAAGGTGGTTCAGTGCAGTTGAGCCCCCCCCCAAACACACACACACACACACACACACACACACACACACACACACACACACACACACACACACACCCTGGGCGATGTTAATGAGAAAGATTTTCAATTCTTGGTGCAATGTTTGATAAACACAGCCACCATCCAGGAGAGAGGCTAAAACCTCCAGTGAGATACCGAGGATCCTGCAGCAGCGATCAGATGTAAACACCGGTATTAAGTGTAATAAACTTCATCACCAGAGTCTTCCTCATTAACACACCTGTCTGACCACAGCTGCTGATTACACTACACCACTGTTTATCAAAGATCTGACATTAAAAAACGGAGGGAAAAATTTCTTACCTTCACTCTGGTGTCTAAAACAGTCAGCATTATCAGTCATCCAGCTCCAACAGGTTAATAATCCACCGATTTTATTCCTGTTTACATCCTGTTTGAATCTCATTTACAACCTCGCAGTCAGTGTCTCATCCATTTGCATGAAAAAAAAAAGTTGGCCGGCTCAGTCATTTATTTACTGGTCTTCCACCGGGACACAGACCGCATCTCGGTTCCGATGCGGTGAGTCAGTCACGGCCTGTCTGGACCTGTGCTCTGGACTCGGTACCACCTCTATGAGAACACCTGAAGCAAAAGCAAACTAAAACTTTGTTCAAACAATGCAAATGGATGAAACGCATTGACTGCAAGAAACGGGGTGTGAATAATATCGATGGATTATTAAACTGATGGAGCTGGATGACTAATAATGCTGACTGTTATAGACTCCAGAGTGAAGGTAAGAAATATATCCTGAAGGTTTGATCAGTTATGTCTCTGCTCAGATGTGTGGTGGACAGAGATCAGGATGTTTTAGGATTTTATATCAGATCTCCGTTAAACATGGTGTGGTGTGATGAGCTCCTGTAAAAGCTGTAGCTTTGTGAACACAGGTGGGTCTGTGTAGATGAGGGACACTCTGATGAAGAAGTTTATACAGTTAGTACAGATGTTTACTTCGGATTGCTGCTCTGTGTGTGTGTGTGTGTGTGTGTGTGTGTGTGTGTGTGTGTGTGTGTGTGTGTGTGTGTGTGTGTGTGTGTGTGTGTGTGTGTGTGTGTGCGCGTGTGCGTGTGTGTATAACATTGTGAAGGATCCTCGGTGTGTGAGCCTCTCTCCCTGTAGTGACTGGTTGTCCTGCTTACTTGGTCGTTTGAGTGGCTGGGGCAAAATCGTAGGAAACTTTTATTGACACTTGCCATGCTGTGCAGGCAGCTTCTTGTGGAGGTAGGCTCTAAGTTGGTCTATTTCCAACCGCTTGGGACTCACACCCCCCAGGAGGGTGTCCGCACCCCCCTGGTAAAGAACCTTTATCATTTGTTTTTTTTATTTTTTCATAATTACAGATGGCTGGACAGAAATCTCAAAGTCCCTTGTGGCAATATTAAACAGAACCCATGTTTTCCATCTGCATTTATTCTATGAAGTGTTGACTCAACTTAATCAGTTTTTCTCATTTGTTAGTATTTTGAATTACATTTTGTCAAATGCAAATAAAAAATACATAAAAATAACAATGTGACATCATCACTGTATGTCAGTATCAGCTGTTTAAAACTGATATCAGCCCCCCCTTCAGCCACACCTGTTTTGCCGAACAACCTCCATGACTCTGATCTTTCTTAAAAAACTGTTTAAGTATTTTCATCCAGTTTTTCCAGTTACGAATGATGCCATTTAACCAGAAGAAGTAGTTTAGTTTAACTTCAACCCTAAAGCTCGAAGCTCTGTTCAGTCCCTTGTCAAAACAACTCTGATTCTTCATCAGAATCAGAGTGCTTTATTATTAATGGATTGATGTATAGCTCATTTAGTCTGTATTTCTCTAGTCCTGTCTTGATGTTAAATTGTTAAGGTTTGTTTCATAAGCTTCTGAGCATCATGTTTGGGACTCGAGACCAACTCCAAAATCGCTGACCCAGGTGACCGAAGTAGGTCAGGACAGAGAAAAATCACATGATAGGAAAACCATGAAATCCACTGCAACTAAAACATCCTCAGAGTGTATAGCAAGGGTCTATAGGTCTTAGTATCCTGATGAAAACAGCTGAAACTATGAAAATCACCTATTCAGTAGATATAAACTGTAAAACCCTAAAGACAACTTGCAAGAACATGACTCTACCTGCACCAGACTTCTGAGTCAAAGTAATACTGCTGGTCACTTTATCTCACATGTCCTGAAGGGTAAAGTAGAAATGAGTTGGCGTTCCTCTCTATTTCAAGTTATTTGACTTCTTAGAGTACAAAAGCTGCTTTGGTGTTACATTATCAAAAGAGCAGGTTTCAGTATCGTTGTATTCAATATTGTTGTTTCATACTTTGGACTACAAGTCTTGTCTTGTGGGCCTGCTGTCACATTTTTACCTTTTTTTAAGAGGAGCAGTGCTTGATGGGAGAACTGTCCATCTAAAGCAGTATGTTTGGAGTTAGGGGTGGAATTGATTAGATATTAAGACCAGAGCAGTTCTGCTTATTGGCCCATGTCTTTCAGGTTTCCTTCATGAATCCCTGTTGATTTTCCATGGAGAAAAAGTGGGCATATACAACAGCACAGTTTTTTAACTGGTTGAATTTTTTAAACTTTTTTTTTAACTGGTTACCACTGAAGGGACTGACATGTGAGAGCTCAGCTTCCGACTGAACTTTTAAAAGTCGGCTGCTGTTAGCATAACCAGCTAACAAAAGCACACAATTTCCCTAAAATCATGAATCATCACAGATTACCTTTGTTTCATAAACAAGATTAGATCTGGACAGTTGGTGAAAATACACTGATGGAGAACTTCCTGGTCATCACAGAAACTGAGAGTTTGTTGTAAGAAAGAGTCCGCTCTCACCAATCAAAGACTGGCTATTACAGTAAGTCAGTATGTGGTACTGTTCTCTTTGTAGAGCTGGTATTGTACACACATTAAAACTATGAGCGATATGTAAAGACAAATGAGATTGACCAAAAACACCAGACCTTTTAGTTTCAGGAACCTTTCTTCCAGAAACTAAATTCCCATGGCTCAGTGTTGTCTGCGTTCGACTGAAGTTCAGGATATATGATGCTAATGCAAATCAGGCCAAGACATCCAGGAATTCTTTTGGAAATAAGGTTACTTGCACAGCTGTTTGTTTGAGTGTCTGCTGGATTTTGTAAAAGTTGTCACACATCACAATGGTGGCAGGGGAACTGATCTAAGTGTTAAATAACATCATGTAACATGTTGCTCTGGTACTGTTACCCATTAGTGCCACGACTTGTTTTACTGTCTTTCTGCTCAGCTGGTTTCTGTGTGTAAAATTGTCTATCAGTTTATAAATGAGAGTGTTTCCTGATAAGAATAACCCCTAAAACACCCAAAAGCAGCCCAGAGATAAAAAAATCCTCCTGTGGTAATCGGACTCTGTAACAACGAGTTAGTGTTGTGTCGTTTAAAAAGAACTGAATCACTTCCTCAAGTGATTCGTTCATTTCACAGTTCTGTTGAGCTGTAAGCAGCTAAGCTACCGTAACATGCAGCATTGCCGGGAAGCGAGAGACCGCAAACAAGTGAACAAATCACTTAGTGAACTACACTCCCTGGAATCAATTTTGTCTGAGGGATACACTTTCATGGAGACCATTGTTCCCCCTTGTTGATTTAGTTTCCAATTAAACGAACTTAAAATGTTAGGCTGGTAGTAATGAGAAAGGAGTGAGACTCACCAGCTACAGCAAGCTCTTGACAAGGATGTGTTGTGTTTTTTTTTTTTTACTCTGCGCTAAATTGCCACCACAACAACTTGCATACAGTAGGACACAGCATGTAACAAGTACTGTATAAAACCCACAGTTTCAGAAATGCATTGCCGCAATTTTTGGGGGAACAGAGCATGTTCAGTGTGAATTCTTCACTGAATGTACAGTGGGGCCTATCGCAGTATCTTCGAGCGAAGGCAGGGGACACCCTGGACAAGTCGCCAGTTCATCACAGGGCTGACTTAGTGAATGAATCTTTTGAAAGAATTTTTTTAGTGATTTTAGTGGTTTTAGTGATTTTAGTCTTCTTTGTTTTGACTAGGGCTGCTCGATTGTGACAAAATTTGTCATGTATATAGTTTTTTGAAGGCTGATCATGCAGTTGTCCATGTGGCTGTGATGATGTGTGTATACAATGGCTCTAAACCTTATTACCTTGGTCTGATTAAGAACAATGTCACTCAACTGGTGAATTTAATTTCTGGTTTATTGTAGTCCTGCAGTGTAAAAGAGATTTTCTCCTATCCCTTCACTGTGGTTGTACTTTTGTTGATCTCAGCAGTTGCCCATGTGTGTATGTTATACTTCACCATTTTTATAGAAAGCATTCATATCAGGAAAGATAACCTATAACTCATCACTCCTCTTAACTCAACACAGCCAGAAGAGGAAAAGGAGTGAGGATGGATAAAAGAAGATTAGGTAGATGAAAGAGAAATCAGGAATGAGTTTAAAAAAGTGAGAGAGTGAAAGAAAGGTAAAGGAGAAGGATGGTGAAAGATAAGGAGCAAAAGAGTCAGAGAGGGAAAGACTGGTGTGGCTAGCCAAGCAGAAAAGGCTGTCAGTCTCTATAAAAGAGCTCCTCTGTCAGATTAGTATGAGAGGGCTTCACTCTCTCTCTCCTCATCCTTAGCCTTGTGCCTCTCACTCCTTTGTTGCATGATTCTCTCACTTCACTTCCCTTCTCATGTCTCTGTCCCATTTGTCTCTGCCGTAAAAAGAACACTATAATTCCTCATGTATGGAGCTGCTGGTTTTTCTCTCTGCATCTCAGATTAGCCCTGAAATGTATTTACAAATCATGACTGTCCTCTGTGAATTCTCTCAGACAGACAGGGCTTGTTCTCATAAATTGCTAAGTTGCTCTTATATCAGTGATAATTACTCTGTGATAGAGCCTCTGACTAAGGGAAACTGAACCCTGGCTCTGTGTTGTGTCATGCAGTCAGAGTTGATCTAATATGGTCATACTGATGATGGGCAGTTTTTCCATCTTGTTCATCATCAACTCTGACAGTAGGACACTTTGGCCTCTTACAGCCTCCTTTACAAATGCTAATCATTGACTTTATTTAATTTTACATAATGCTAAAGGCACCAATAACTGTCTACGATCACAGGCCACTTAATCAGGTACACAGTATACATTCAACAAGGTGTTTGAAACCTTCATCTGAGATTTTTGTCCATATTAAAATAGTGGCGTCACGCAGGTGCTCTAGATTTGTTGGCTGCGCTGTCCATGATTGATGTGAATCTCCTGTTCCAACACATCCCAAAGATGCTCTATGGGATTGAGATCTGGTGACTGTGGAGGCCACTAGAGTACAGTGAACTCATTGTCATGTTAAAAAAAACAGTTTGAGAGGATTTGAGTCCCTGTGGCATGGTGTGTTATCCTGCTGGAATAACCCATCAAAAGTTGGGTACACTGTGGTCTTAAACGAATGGACATGGTCAGCAACAATACCTAGGTAGGCTGTGGCATTTATTGCTTAGTTGGTGCTATGGAGCCCAAAGTGGGCCAAGGAAATACCCCCACACCACTAGCAGCAGCCTGGACCGTTGATTTAAGGCAGGATGGGTCTCTGCTTTCATGTAGTTTAGGCCAAATTCTGACCCATCATCTAAATGTGGCAGCTGAAATCCAGACACATCAGACCAGGCATTGTTTTTTGTTTTCCAATCTTCTATTGTCCAGTTTTGGGGAGCGTGTGTGAACTGTAGCCTCAGTTTCCTGTTCTTAGCTGACAGGAGTGGGACCTGGTGTGATCTTCTGCTGCTGCAGCCCATCTGCACTGAGGTTCAGGGCTTGAAGACCTCCGGCAAGGTGCCGGAAATCTGGCTCGGGATTTTTATTTTTTATTTTTCTAAATCATGTCCAAAAAAAAAATAATAAACCCTAGTTAGTAAGATCTGAATATGACCAGTAGAGGACAGCATTACGCTGGATAGCTTTCACCCTGCCCGAGAAGACGAAGAAGAAGCGGAAGAATAAAAAGACGCATCAGCAAGCGGCGAACGGTAAATTTCAAGCAATGGATGCCAGGTTTATCAATCCAGGAGAAGAAACTGCGATATTGGAAGCTGGGCTTGGGTGGAAGAGGCTGGAAAAGATGGAAAGCATCGCGGTAGCTGTTGATGAAAACTGAAAGAGCCAGGTGTTTGTTTTTGTGTGTCGTGCGCCGGAGAGCTTATAAATGGCAGCAGTAGGAAAAAGTTTGGTAAAGTTGAAAAGATATTCACAGATTCAGACTTCCGGGATCAATAACTCTGAGACGAAACGTTGTCTAAACACAAATGATGACTAGCTACAAGAATCAAAAACTGAATTGTTTTTCAAAAACAAGCCGTTCTTCGAGTATTGCACACTTTCTGATCCCTGGCAAGATCACTCGCACACCCGGGACTACCACTGCAGCGCGGCCGGCTGCCCGTGCTCCTCGACTGGCCAGAAAGCGTAAAGTGAGGAGGAGTGAGGACGAGGCTAAAGCTAACGCCTCAACGGCAGGCGCTCCCCAGCCTATTCTTCGCTAATTTGCGCTCTGTGGGAAACAAAATGGATGATTTACGGCTGTGGATTATAAACCATCACTGGATTAAAGACTTCAATGTCATGATACTAACAGAATCCTGGTTTCACAGTGATATCCCCAACAACGCTGTGGAGCTAGATGAACGTGAGCTACATCGCACGGACAGATCAGCTGATAAAGGCAAGTCCGTGGGTGGAGGTTTGTGCATTTATATAAACAAAGCTTGGTGCATGGACAGTACCACACTCAAGAGTCACTGCTCTATTAACCTAGAGTATCTGATAGTTAAATGCAGACCTTTTTACCAGCCTGGGGAATTCTCTGTCACCCTAGTGATTGCAGCTTACATACCCCCCGAGGTTAATGCTAAGTTAGCAATGAAAGAACTTCACGTTGCTATTAGCAAATATCAGACTTTGCATCCTGAGGCAGCCTTCATCGTAGCTGGAGATTTCAATCACTCTAACCTGAGGACTGTGCTCCCAAAGTTCTATCAGCACGTCACATGTCCCACAAGAGGTGACAAGATCTTAGATCATGTTTAAATACCAACTTAAAAGAAGTATAGAGAGCTGTCCCTCTCCCCCACCTGGGACGTTCTGACCACCTTTCCCTGTTTCTCCTCCCCAAGTACATTCCACTCATTAAAAGGATCAAACCCGCGATCAGATCTGTAAAGATATGGCCCGAGGGGGCAGACCTGGAGTTACAGCACCGGCTACAATCTACAAACTGGAGCCTGTTTGCCACCCAGGCCACCATAGACTCCCACATTGACATTCACTCCTACACCTCCTCTGTTCTGAACCACATCAGCTCCAATATTGACAGTGTCACTACCATCAAACGGAGTATCACCTTTTCCAACCAAAAGCCGTGGATGAACACTGAGGTCTGGCTTCAGCTGATGGCACGTGACACTGCCTTCATATCAGGTGACAAGCAGGCCTACTGCTCAGCCAGGGCTGACCTGAACAAGGCCATTAAGCAGGCCAAGCAGAGCCACAAGCGCAAGGTTGAGGATCACTTCAACACCAATGATCCTTGACACATGTGGCAAGGCATTCAGGCCATAACGGACTACAAAACCTCCAACAACCCCCCAGCAACAGACTCCTCTCTCCCCGACAAGCTCAACAACTTCTACACCCACTTCGACAGAGACAACTGGGGGACGCACATCAGAGCTGTCCAGCCTGCTGATCTCTAACCCCTTACTTTCTCTACCACAGATATGCATGCAGCACTGAGCAGGACCAACCCACGCAAGGCAGCTGGGCCTGATGGCATCCCTGGTCGGGTGCTCATGAACTGTGCTGACCAACAGAAGTGCTCACAGACATTTTCAACCTGTCCCTAGCCCAAGCTGTTGTCCTGGCGTGTCTCAAGTCCACTTGTATCTTGCCTGTGCCAAAACACTCCTCTGCAAAGAGCCACAACGACTTCTGCCCTGTCGCTCTCACTTCTACCATCATGAAGTGTTTTGAGAGGCTGGTTCTGGTTCACCTCAAAGCTGGCCTCTCTCCATCCCTGGACAGGCATCAATTTTCCCATCGAAAGAACAGGGGCACGGACGATGCCATTTCATCCACCCTTTACTCACTCACCTGGACAAGAGGAACACTCACGTACGGATGCTGTTTATTGACTTCAGTTTGGCATTCAACACAATCATCCCCTCCAAACTCATCTCCAAGCTCTGTGACCTTGTAGCAACCAAGCACCTGGACATTACCCCCTCCATCTGTAACTGGATCCTTGACTTCCTCACTAACAGGCCCCAGTCTGTTAGGATTGGCAACCTCACCTCCTCCACCCTAACCCTGAGCACTGGTGTCCCACAGGGCTGTGTGCTGAGCCGCCTCCTCTACTCCCTCTTACCTACCATTGCACTCCCATGCATGGCTCTAACACCATCATTAAGTTTGCAGATGACACAATGGTGGTGGGCCTCATCAAAGACAACGATGAGACAGCCTACAGGGAGGAGATCCAGCACCTGCCGTTGTGGTGTGCCGGCAACAACCTGGCATTAAAGAGGTCATCGTGGACTTCAGGAGGACTAGGGCTGTCACTCACGCTCTAATTCACATTGATGAAGTAGAGGTCGAATGGGTCTCCAGCTTCAAATTCCTGGACGTACAGATCTCTGAGGACCTCTCTTGGACCCTCAACACCTCGACCCTGGTCAAGAAGGCCCATCAACGTCTCTTCTTTTTGAGGAGACTGAGGAAAGTCCATCTATCTCCTCAGTTACTGGGGAACTTCTATTGCTGTGCCATTGAGAGCATCCTCACATACTGCATCACGATCTGGGATGGAAACTGTACTGCCTCTGACCGAAAGGCAGTGCAGAGGGTGGTGAAAACTGCCCAGTGCATCACTGGAACATCTCTTCCTGTCATTAAGACCATCTATGACAGTCTGTGCCTGAGGAAGGCTCACAGCATCATTAAAGACCCCTCTCATCCCAACCACGGACTGTTCACCCTCCTCCCCTCTGGGAGAAGATACCGGAACCTTGTTTCCAAGTCAAGCAGACTCAGGAACAGTTTTTTCCCCGCCACTGTCATCCCCCTAAACTCTTCATCCACTCCTCTCCCCCCTCCAGTAATAGCCCCCCCACCCCACCCACCCACCCACATTCCTGCTGTATCTTGTGACTGTACAACTCATCCTGTGGATGTGTGCAATATGGTCCATGGACCTTAGTCTAGCACTTCTGTGCAATATGGGCTACGTGCAATACGGACTATGTGCAATATCAATCTGACAGTATTGAATGCATTTATTTATTTATTTATCGCTATAATACACATAATTATTTATTAAATGTCTACTACTTCCTTACTTGTAAAATAATGTATCACGAGCACTGACATGTTTACTTTGCACTCTGGTGAGATGCGAAAATACTTTTCACTGTACTGTACTGTTCTTGTACTGTACATTGACAATAAATTGAATCTCATCTCTCATCTCATCTCATCTCAAATGATTAAACAGATTTGTTGTGTTGCCAGTTTTTGAGGGCACCGACTGCCAACATACCTTGCACATCAGCTTAATTGCTCAATGTCACTTTGGAGATACCCAAACCACCACCACACAACCGACGTTGAATAACTTTTCTTCTCAATAATGGCATCTTTGGAGGATGACTCAAAGTCACGGCTGACATCTATTTTGCTGCCCTCAGCTCTGCATTTTGCTCCACATTCGGTCATTCTGTTTACCTTTCCTGTTTACTTCTTCGGCAACTTACAGAAGTGAGCAGGAAAAGCTTGACTCTGATTGGCTGTGGTGACGCACATTTCTGCCATGATCGAATTGAAATTTGTCACAATCATTAATCACAATCATATAATTGCGCAGTCCTACTCTGGCCCCTATACAAAGTTAAGGGGCCGGTGCCTCAGAGGCACTTTTGTGAGACTGTGGATTTTTTCATCTTCCTCTTCTGGACATATTTCGATTCACTACTAGTCCTATAGCTTGAAGAGTTGTAGGAAAAATGATGTATCAAAGTGTTTGGCTTGATCAGGATCAGTGTACTTTAACCTTCTCTAATGTGTACACATTTTTTGAAAAAATTGCATGGAAGTCAATGGGACAAACAAACAAACAAAAAAAAATTTTTAAGAGCATACTGCTCCAGGTGTTTTTTTTTCTGTTGTATAAATAAAAACTTGAAAAAAGAGTGTTTGTTGTAGGTGTGCTCCATGGACGTAATAACATAATGCTGCTAGTATTAATAATTTGAAATCTCTGAAGAATGTCATCATAATGTACACAACCTGGCTGGAGTCCCTGTGGGAGGGAATTTTTATAGTTTAACTTTCTGTTGTCTTTCCATCATCTCAAACCAGTCTGCCGATGCAGGCGGATACAGGTTTGAAAAATCGGACCAGTGCAGGACTCTGTGACACATTTGAGTGTTAGAACTTAGCAGCAAGTTTTTTTTTTTTTTCTCAGAGGACACTACTTAAGCATGTAAATGACAAGATGAATGAAGACTGCTTGGTCCACAGGGGCGCCAAAGTCCACACAAATAGTCTGAGGAGCTTTAAGTCAAGCAAGCCCAATTAGGCAATTGAATGAGACTACTGTCCTTGTCCCAGTTCATGAGGCAGAAATGGATCTGACTTTAAAAAAATCTGTCTCCTGGTTGACCTACCTCATGTACCAAAATAATAAACAAACTCATCAGCAAGACGCTAACCACTGCAGGTAAAATGATGAGAACACTTCAAGGCCAGCTGGTGTCACAAAAAAGTGTGTGTTTGTCTGACTGACCAGGAGAAGTTTGATTGAATGTGGTTTCTGTCCCTTTAAGGTGTTCACTTGAATTTCAAAAGTCCATTTAGTCAGACTAAAACAAAAAGCTAATGGACAAACATGGTGACTAATTGAACATCTCACATTTAGACTCCCGTACATGGATAATGTGGTTGGGGATCAGTTTTCTCTTCCATGTCATAATAATAATAATACTTTTTTTTGTAGTGCCCTTGACATCCAGGGACCTCAAAGGGCTACACATTACGAGCAAAGAAACATCACAATAAAGGAATATAAAAACAGGAGAATAGTTAAAACAAGAGAAACACCTCATCAAAGAAAAATAAAAGGAAGTTGAGCAGGTTTAGGAAAAGAATCTAAGAGGAGGGACCAAAACTTCTGCTAAAAAGAAATGTTTGGAGTCCTTTTTTAAAACAATCTGTGAGTTGTGGTGCCCTCATGACAGTAGTCCAGCCTGGAGGAGATAAAGGCATGAACCAGCTCTTCTACATCCGAGAGAGGGAGAAGGGGGGCAGATTTTGGAAATGTCGCGGACGTGATAGAGGGAGGTCTTGCAAATGTGGTTGGTGTGGGGGTGAGATGGGGGTCCATTTTAACACCGTGATTGGTGACTGCTGATGAGATAGGGATATGGGAGCCAGAGAAGGTGATGCTGGTTATGGTTGATGACTGGGTCTGGTGAGGGGTTCTGTCCAGGATGAACTGGATGGCTTTGGTCTTTGAACTGTTGAGTTGGAGGAAGTTGTGCTCCATACCATTATGTCCTCCACGCAGCTGGTGAGTGTATGTATGCACCTTCATTGTCCTGAGACTGGTTTTGACTGGCTGATCATGAGGTCAGACACTGCAGGAGTCACAGTATGATGTTTTGTAAGATCAATCATAAATATGATTCTTTAATGTAACTCTTTCATAAGGTTTAATTTACTTTTGATCTTATTCTCTTTAGTTTAGTTTCCCTCTCAACCACTAGAGGGTGTGTCTGTTTGTAAATCCCCCGCTGTTATTGTCTGTGATTGTGGTTCAGTTTTTCTAATTATTCTTAATTTAATTGTAGTAATTCTGTTTTCTGTTTTTGTCTTTCACTCCATCTCTCCGTAGTCATACTCAGTGGGTGGTTTGGGTGATGAAGACTTCAACATCCCGCCTATCACTCCTCCCACCCTGCCAGACCACATGTTACCCCCACATCTTCCCCATGGTTCCCCCTCTGGACCATACCATCCTCTGGAACCTCCTTCCAACTCAGCTTCACATCACCCCTACCAGCTGTCAGGCATGGATCTGCCAGGTATGCCCGTTGGCCAAGATGGAGCTTCTATACTGAACCAAGATGGTGGCACTTTCAGTTCCAATGGAGGCCCAATGACCAGCACCCTGTCAGTGGTAAGTGGTCAAACATTTATCATACAAATGAAAGAAAGATTTTCCCAAAAGTGTTATAACATAGAGTTTCATCCAGGTTTTCATCTCTAGATAAAGTTATGTGCTGTTCACCTCCCAACAAAGTTTGCCTTCAACCAGGAAATCCACATTTTCCGACTTGGGCAGTCTATACAAACCACAGAGTTTTCTAGGGATGAGGGTTGAGACCCTGGTCTATTTAAAACCTGGTTCGGTATCTGTTCTTGTAAATCAAAAAACTTTTGAGCTCACTGAATCTTCTGTCAACTTTCTTGAAACCCATGAAGTAATGTTATACTTTGAGTTACCTCAAGTTATGCTAATCAAATCACCTAATGATTGATTGGCCAATGTGTTGAAAGGGTCCAAAGACAGAGTGGAAGGAAATTTCTTTTCATGTTGCCAAATGATTTCTTGTGAAGGAGAGCACACAACCTCCATGGCCAAACACATAAACATTGTGCATCAAATCCAGACAAAATCCAGAACCTTTGTCTGTGGCTTATAACAACTCCATCAACTAAGACTGCTGCTCCTCCTGCTACTATCTTCCTGTTCCATCCAAAGCAGCTGCCCTCTGACTTAAGAGCAAGTCATTTTAGTTAAAAATCCTAATCCAATGTTGAAATCCACGTTTACATAAACCAGATAAAAGCTAGTAAGACGACCAACCAAGGTGACATCAGTATATAGTGAGGTGTAGAAGATTAGCGTTGGTCAAACGAGAACTAGGTTAAAGTAAAATAGATTATCATGTGTTTAAATTTCATGTCCAACCAACAGTAAAAATGTTTTTTGATTTAAAAAAAATCTGTAAGTTTCCAATAGTTTGGAATCAAAAAATAGTAACAGCAAAGACTTAATCGTGGTATCAATAAGGACTCAAATCATACGTCTGTACAGTGGTAGAAGTATCAGTAACAGTTAATATTTCCAGTCTCTAGTGTTCAATGTTGTATGCCATTTCTGTTACTGCTGTAAAGCTATGGGGGACCCCAGGAAGAAAAGTTGTTACAATAATCTGATCCCACTAAACTGAACTCAACTGAACCTGTCAAATTATGAATACTAAGGTGAAATGTCTCAGATTGGATCAGATTTGTCTCATGATTTGCAGTGACAGCCATCTGATTCATACTTACTCTGTTCCTTAATATTCAACTGTGTGAAATAAGCTGTGACCTGGAGCTACTGTCACTTGAACCATGGCAGCTAGTCATTTAGACATCTCCTTCATGTTATTTAACTTTTAACCCTATTTGTTGTATGTAATTTATTTCCTTCAACTGTATTTGCATTAATTATGGTGTGTGCTGCCCACCTCTTGGCCAGGTCACCCTTGTAAATGAGATCCTGATCTCAAATAAAGGTTAAATAAAAAGATACATCAGTTGACTCTCTATCTCACAGTAAAGTTAAAACCTTGCTTTCAACGGTGACCTTCAGATGTGGCCAACTGTGTCATACAGTGAAGAAATGAAAGTATACGCTTAGAGTTATAGGTACTCTGACTCTCACTGAAACTGAATAATTCTCTCATTGAATTAAGAATGAAACTGTCACCTCCCACTCTTACTTGATCTGTGTCTCTTGTTTCTGTCTCCGCGTTAAATCCACCTCATGTAATATTAAGTGTCAATCTGAAGGCTCAATAGAAGCTCTCATCTTTGATGCAGCTGATTAATATTGTCTGTAAAAACACAATTTGATCTCATTGATCTCCTTTTGTAGTCACTTTAGTGAACATTCTGGAAAACATTAAAAATCATTGTTTGTGAAGAAGATCTTATTTTCCATGGCTTGCTGCTCAGTCCTACCTTTTCAATCGGTCCTTCTCTCTACCTTGAATTTATATTCTCATACTAACATTCATTTACTGCTGGTCCATGAATGATGGTTGCCTGGCAACCGTGCCTGGCTCAGCCTAATCGGGGTTGGAGGAAGGGTGGAGATGGGGGAGTGGGGGGAGGCTATAAAGATTGAAGTCAATAAGTGTGTGTATTATTTGCAAAGGAGGCAGGACTATTTAGTAGCTCTTAATACTGAGATCCTGACTGCTCCTTTGATTAAATTAAACAGGTCGTTTAATGTGATGATGATGATGATGATGATGATGGCGGATATAAAATTATAAAATATAAGTCTTTATTTTATGTCTTTTATATTCCAGTCATAAGACATAATGTACAAATACAGACAGTACTTCATTTGAAACAAAAAGAATAAGTGAGCTGGTGTGTGTGAATAAATCATCTCTTTAAAGACAAATGCGACATTTAAGAAGCATGAAGTGCAACACAGTTTTCAATATGTCCATTTGTGATTCCTAAAATCCAGATCAGTGTTTCCGCCACTAGGGGTTTGTGTGTTTTAAATATCAGCTGTGTGATTGCCGACGATAACTTGTGCGTTCGTGTGTGCCACATATACTGATACATATATACATCAGTCTGGGGGGGAGTGTCTTTGTGTGTGTGTGTGGAATTAATCAGCTGTGTGATCGCCAACGATAACTTGCCAATGCTAATCGGTGCAAGGTAGTCCGAGTTAGAGCCACATAAGAGTCTTTATTTAAGGTGTGGCGGCTTTTATGTTGTTGTGGCAGTGCGCCACGATCAATTGCATGTGGGGGAAACCCTGCAGATGTGACAAAGACATGGTACAAGGCTTTATTTTTTTAACTTCGCTTAACGCTACAGATCCTGGCATATACGACTCAAATAATTGCCAAAGCTGACAATTACAAACTTGATCTACCTGTAAAAGATACAGCGATATGTACAAACAACCTTGTGTGAAGGTAATCTCTTCCCCGGGATAATTAAAGTACTCTGATGCTGTTATGATTAAAGCAGAATTTAAACAAAGTATTTAATGGGGTGTGCCATCTATGGCACCTCACAATTTGATTAATTAGGATTCAGGGTGCAATGATCCGATCATTTAACAATTATAACCATTATAACTATATCAATTATCAATGCATCATTTTCCCCATAAAATATATTTTTTAAACAATCTATATTTGTCAGCATCCATTCAACAAAGTTAACAAATTTACCTACACTATGTTTTATTTATTATAATGGACCAAATGATCCAAAACTTTTTTCAAGACAAAAAGCTGGTCTTAATACCTAAATTGCTAAAACAATTAGCTTCTTCAGCAGTAATAATAATAACTTAACCTTAGTCAGTGGTAATTAAGACTTCTAAATAAAGTATTTAATGAGCAGTATCGCATCCCACAGCAATCAAACATTTTGCAATCGATGACCAAAAGAACCTTTAAATCTATAAAAGAGGCAGATGAACAGAATGAGACCAGAATGAATCAAATCCCCCACAGGAAACGCCTTCACATACTGAATTTCAAACTTAAAGCGTGAACATCATGCTCAGTGACAGCAGCCAGCAAGTTAGCTGCTGCAATATTGGCTAACAGTCTCACAGTCTGGGTCCCTTAAAATCAATGCATTGGCCCAGCCCCAGTACATAATAAAGTGCATTTAGTGTACGAAAGCAGTTAAAATACCCAGTATTTCAGTGATAAAAGAAAAAGCTATTCTTAAATGAAATAGGCACAAACAGATGTGAAGAGGTTTAAGTCACATTTCAAAAATGTCTAAAAGACATCACTCTAAACATGTCTGTAACATAGGTGTTGCATTTATTCTAGGAGTCAGGGACAGAGTAAGAAAAGCAGTAGTTCTAACTCCAGGAACATGACAGAGTTACATGTTTGATAAAAACAATCAGAGTAATAATGAAGTTCAGTGAGGTTTGTGGTCTTTTTCCTGTTAGAGCTTCATGCATAAAGATTTTGCAAAGAATGTGAAGTCTCTCTTGGAGGAAGGACTACCTGAACTCAGAATACAAAATATGATTCTTCTATCTAAAGGAAACATATTGCACAATAAATCATTTAAATTACCCCCCTGTGAAAATCTTAACACATCGAATACCTCCTGACAATTGTTTGATAATGTCTCGTCAAAAAAAAAATAGGTTTGGTCACAGGACTGGTGATGTGACAAAATCATTGATATGAACATTAATAGAAATAGATGATGATATGTGAGTTAAGTGTGTATATTTAATAAAGTTTATGAATTTATCTGTTGCTTCACTCTTGTCCTTCCGTTCCTCATTTTGGCTGGTTTTGTTGTTTTATTTACAAGTTTTCAAAAATATCAATGATGTTGTAATCATTTATGGCCATAATAATCATTAGGTAAAAATCACCTCTTATGTACGTTTATGTTTCCTATGAAATCTAAACTCTAAAAATAATAAGAATAATAAGAATTATGAAACATGAATCAAACTTTGGGGTAAGTCTAAGGGTCAAAGATCTTTTGAGGATTATGAAAGAAGACATATTTGACTAATATGACCTTTACTGACGTCCTAGACTAACAAATGCTAACCACAGCTTTTTTGTTTCAGCGTTTCCTCCATAAAACACATACACTGGTTTTTCTGCATTTGAGAAAAGTCACACTATGTTCCGTTGAAACACCACAGCGGGGCTCTGAGGCTGTTATCGATGATCGAGAACAGCTAATGTTTGCCCAACAGGGGTGCACAACATCAGACCACATCCGCTTATATATATCCTGCTTGTTGAACGGAAACTGTAAATACAGATTATCAACATGTCTGGTTTTGTGACTGGAGGTGTAAAAGTTCCCATGCAGAAGGGGTTTTCAGTGATAACTTTTGTTTTCCAGAGAAATGGAGTGTATTGTTGAACTTTGACTAATCAGAGTTTCAATCAGAGTAAAAAAGATAACAGTAATTAATATTTTACTCCTATTCTCATCCTCTTTTTTAACCGTATCTGGGTTGTTTTATTTGCAATGATGTAAATACGGAACAGTTTACAATAGTGAAAAGCTGTGTACACCAATGAGACACACACTGTGGACCGGACTATCTAGACAATCTGGTCACTTCAGTGATACACCAGCTTTCTGTGTGTCTGGGTTTATGCCAGGGGGGGAGATAATCCAGTGCTTGTACCTGTTCAGCCTGAAGCCCTCCAATAGACCATACACCTTCTCCCCACCCTTACTCTGGGAGTGTAGAAATAAAGATGCTTGAACATGTTTTTGTTGCATTCATGTCTGAGAGGGATTTGCTATCTTAAACCAGTCCTGATACCGTCTTCTCTCTGACCTGTATTGCCTGTTGCCATGGTTACTGTCTGACTTCATTATGAGTGAACTGGACTGCTGAACACTCTACAAACCTTTTAATGCAAAGGCAGACTCTGTGTAAGGTGTGTAGATCTGTTAGGGGGATTTACTGGGTAGCTTAGAGACTGTAGAAGCATTTGTTCAGTCCAAGATTTGAGATTTAAACCTGATTTAAAAAGAAGAACAAGAATTAACCTTATAACCGTCTTTTAAGAAATATAGAATACTGATATTGTGATCAGATTAATCATACAGTGGTACCATGAGTTCATTGCGGTGGTCCTTTCAGCTGGTCGCCACATATCATTAAACAGAGAACAGATGCAGAAACAGCAGCTGTAGTAGTTCTCTGAGAGATGATCAGGAACTTTTAAAAATTGTCTTTTTGGATTTGAGCAAACCTATTATTTGTATCATACTTCAAATCATAAGATTTTTTGAGCAAGGTCAAATATAAGGTAGCATTAATGTAGAATAAGGTACAATGATAAAAAGCAGACAGACAAATAGACTTTTTACACATGCAGTCTGACTTTGAATTGAAGGGAAGTTTTTAATTGATGTCAGCCTGGAACACTGTAAAGCTGATTTTTACCCCTTCATCTACTAACAGCCATCATCCCTTTTTGTCCTACACAGATGCAGCAGATGGTGAACTCTGATTCTCGGTTCACCAGCAGCCAGCAGCCGCTTGAAGCAGCGCTGGGACCCAGGAGCCAAGTGGGTATGAGCCAGCAAAGTCAGCTGTCCACCATCAACCAATCCCAGCTGGGACTGAGCAGGAACTCTGTTACCTACAATTCTCCTTCACCTCCTGGAAGTAAATCAGCCACTCCGTCCCCCTCCAGCTCTGTTCAAGAGGACGAGAACGATGATGGCCTTAGGGTAATGACTAAAAACTCCCACAGACGCTCTTACTCCTGTTTTTATAAGTTACTGAGTAATGACACTCTTGTCCTGCGGGGTTTGTGTGTGTTTGTACATGTCTGTTTGTGTGTGTATGCAGACAGGACAGTTATCATATTACCGGTATATGTCATAACAAAGCCTCTTTTTTTGCCATGTCAAACCATTACTTAGCTGCTGAAGTCTTACAGTCATTTGATCATCTTTATTGCTTATGTGAACAAGAATACAGTAAGTTATGAATAGATGAAAACACAGACATTCTTTTATCACCTGATGAAACACTTCTTTACATCTGAATAATGACCACCTTTGTTAAGTTCAACAACACTCAGAACTATCTTTACTCTTCTAAAACTCTCTTCTGTTACATGAGCAGCTGGCCTTTCATGATCATTTACAAGGCAGGTTTGTGGGTTTAGCAACTTCAAATATTGGCAAAAGAAAGACAAACACCTTTGACAAACGGGAAAGGAAATGTAATAAAAGAGGACGATTTGATGTGATGATATTTAGAGGAACTGAAACTGGTCAAAAAAGTCAATATATCAAAAATGTAGGAGAACAGGGAGATGTTACTTTAGGTCAGATAGTGGACAAAGTCTCAGTCCCCGGAAAGCGTATTTTATTACATTTGATCAGCTTGTCTTTCTATGCCATGGGTACCAATAATAACACATCATTTCATCAAAGTTTTTGAAGGTTTTTAAAAAGAGGAAAGACTGTTTCTAAAGCTTCTATGGGACCATTACATTTAGGTCAAAACATTAGGACAATTGTGGGGATGTTGCTCATGTTACAAGGTAACTTGTTGGCAAACTCAGACCACATCCATGAAGTCTTAATGAGGTGAAAAAAAGCAATCAGCATTGTTAATCAGGCACGGCCCTTGATCTCTGTAGCTGAATTATATCTTGACGTTAAACTTGACCATACTGTTTATTGAATGATTAGGTGACTTTTAACATTTTGGTTGCAGAACTGCATTTCATTCATCCCCTCACTGTCTATTTTCTGATCCTCACCTCTGCCTGTCTACACAGCTGTGTTGACTTCATCTTTTTCCTCCTCTCCAAACAGAGTAGTGTAGCAGAGAAGAGACCGGCAACCGTGGACATCTCCAAGAAACCCAAAACACCAAAGAAGAAAAAGCGAAAGGACCCCAATGAGCCAGTGAAGCCGGTGTCTGCCTACGCTTTGTTTTTCAGGGACACACAAGCAAACATCAAGGCCCAGAACCCGAATGCTACCTTTGGGGAGGTGTCGAAGATTGTGGCCTCCATGTGGGACGGCCTGGGAGAGGAGCAGAAACAGGTAGATCCTATCTTAATTAAAGTGTGTCTTTGTGCCCCCCTTTGTGCCTCTCTATGAAAAAAGTGATGAAACAAAATGATGAAACCAAAAGAAATCCCAGGGGGAGAAATAATGTTTCTATCCCGCTTGACAAAAGCACAAAGGAGGAGGGAGAGGTACAGTTAGTAACCTCATGGTCTGACAGGAATCAACATTTCTGCAGACAAAATCTGCTCTAACTACACCACCGAGACCTCCCATCATTAGAAAGTTGGCAGAATTGTTCCATATGACACATCAGTTACATTTCAAGAGTGGTGGGAGCAGCCTCAGGAATTCCTGGTGTGGTTTTGTGTTTGAGATAACTGTCAGCTGAGATAAATGCTCTGATTGATGATCTTTTTTGAGGCTGTAAACTGTAATAAAAATCAGCAGCTCTGTGGTTTGAGGTCAAATGCTTGTGTTTCAGGTTTACAAGAAGAGGACGGAGACAGCTAAGAAGGAGTACCTGAAACAGCTGGCTGCTTACAGAGCCAGCCTGGTCTCACAGGTGCTACACAAACAAGCACAAACACACACAAATACATTTAGCATTTAGCTAATGATTAAAGGGAAATTTCAGTGTTTTGAAAGTAGGGTTGTCTGAGTTACATGTCACTTGTAAGTGTTTTATCCACAGTGGAGGTCAGTCAGCTCAGTGGCTTTACTGACAAACTGCTGGTAGAAACAGGACATTAGCTGTATGCTACAGTTTCCTGAAGACTGGGCTGAATTTGGTGTGTAACTTAGCACAGCTTTGATCCAAGCACTCATCTTGATTTAAGTTTGCCCTCTGCCAAGAAAGTTTGCAGCACTTAGCAAATAGTGCAGGAACAAATGGGTTTTCTGGTGGCTGACACAACACACTCAGACATGCTCTTACACCTGCCATGCACTAATCAGCTGTTTGGTTTGCAAGCTTTAAAGAGACAAAAATATGACCAATCTTGATAATGAGTGATTCTGACAGGGCGATGACTTGCCCCTTTGGATGCCTGTTCCAGAGTCCACTGTCATACTGATCGCTAAAAGCTGTTTGGTACCGACTTTTTTCAAAAGCCACAACTAATGCTCAAAACAGCACCTAACTTCATCAACAGTACAAATAGGCTCCCAGCCATAGTGCTAGCCACCAAACATCTTTTTAACTTTGTCTGATTTCTTTAGCCAAGAGGCTAAACACAACTCACCTACTCTCTTCCAGCAGCCGCTGGTTCGTGGGGGAGCCCTGGTGAGTCGATCATCGAGTGCAACTGAGTTTCACAGCTCAAGGAAGAACATTTATGATTGTTACTTCGTGGAAATGCAATCAGAGTTCTTGTGTATCTTGTATGTGCACTGCAGACACGGTAGTTCTTCTGCCTTAGCGTCTCGGTCTGATTGCATTTCCATGAAGTAATATGAGCGAAATGAGCTGCAAAACTCTACTGCACTGGGTGAGTTGTGTTTAGTCTCTTTGCTAAAGAAATTAGGCAAAGCTAAAAAGATGTTTGGTGGCTCGTACTATGGCTGGAACCCTGTATGTACTGTTGATGAAGTTAGGTGCTGTTCTAAACATTATTTAGGGCTATAGAGTGGCTTTTCAGTTGAGGTTTGCATGTGGAGACATAGACCGCTGTGTATTGCGGTCTTTGCTGAAGTTGGTATAACTAAAGTAGCAAGCAGTCTGCCACATTTATCTCTCGGGGAGGGTGGTGTCTAACTCGATGTTACGGTGTGTTTGATCATTACATTAGTATGCCAGAATATCCCTTTAATGCATCAAAAAAGTACATAGCTTCAGTTGTTATCATTAAAAACCCATTTTATTCTGTATTTTCACTGAAATGGCAACATAAAAGCTGCGAAAGCCCTCTGCTTCCTTTAAAGTGAATAAATACAAAAAATCATAAATATGAATATGGAAAAGGTGCAATCTCCATGAAAAAGTCAACAGAAATGGATGAATTAGTCTTGAATCATCAGTGCCGTTGTTTCTGTGTGATTTTGAGTCTATCAGTGCAGGCATTTTTCAGGTCAATCTGAAGCCACATGACAGTAGTCTGGAGAGTTTGTCTTAATATAAAAATTCATCAAATGTCAGTGACTTGTATGCTAAGCATGCAGAAGAACATATCTGTGTGTGTTGCATTAGTTAATAGTGTAAAAACAACTGTGCTTTCTGAAGTCAAGGCGCTAGAAAAATGAGCTAAGTTACATGACAGACTTGTCCCATCTGCCAAAAAACTGGAGCATACCTAGTGTCTTGTTTCTGTCTGCGGTTTGTGGGTAAAGGCGTGGAGCTTAACAGAAGCAGTTGTGGCCAATACACTCACTAGAGTCCTGTAACTCATACAATGTCACTTCAAAAGTACCGAAACATCCCTTTAAGAAAAGTAAATGTGTCCCAATGAAAACTGACCCCCTTGTCTTTCCTCTCTTACTCCAGAGCTACAATGACCCATCTGAGATGAAGCCGCCTCACTCTTCCTCCACATCTTCTTCCTCCTCTACCTCAATGTTCACACCCAAACCTTCAGTCTATCCCGGTCACCCAGGCCAGCACCATTCCTCAAACTCACTTCCCCACCCTCACCCCCTCCCTCCTCCTCAGCATCCAGGCATGTACATGTCTTACCCTCACCCATCACATCCTTCCCATGCCTCCAGCCCCAGCCTTGGCCCTCACCTGCCCCCTCCTCACACCCAAATCCATCCCCAGGTCCAGGCTCTGTCCTCAAGAGGGGCTGTCCCACGGCCCAGCGCCCCCCACCAAGGAGCTCTGTCCCTTGGCAACATGGCAGCGGCTTCCACCCCTCCTCTCCAGGTCAGCCCTCCTCTCCACAGCCAGACTCACCTGGGGGGGCTGCACAGTCCACACCATCAGCACCAGCAGCTTGGTGGACACTCACTGGGAATGAGGCATTCATCTGTCATCTCACAGGTTAGTCACACAATCATCTGATGATTGACCTTCTGCTTGACAGGAAAAAAAGTCCTCCTTCATCTTCTCACTTCTGTATTTATTGATTCAAAGTCTTGACTAAACCAGATCTTCAATCAGGGATGAGAAGAGATTTTTTATTATTATTTTTTTTTTCCGGTTAGGGTTGTGTGAACGAGATCACAACAGATCTCACATCATATAGTTTTTTTTATTTTTTTTTCACTAAAATGATGTTGCTACTATGGACAGCAGCTAGGAAACAGAGCTTTTTTTTCATGCTGTCTACCAATCTTTTATTGAGTATATTAGCTGTCTGCAGTCCAAAGTAAACTGATCTTTAGATTGCACTCTTTTTTGCAGATAGAATTTTGGGAAAGCTGCACACTCTGAAAGAAGGTTTTTTTTAGCTGTCAGCATTATTGTGTTAGGAACTATTAGATTCACCTTTGAAATCTATCAATAAAAACAGTCAAAATTTCTACAGAAAGACTGTTTTTTGTCTTGACTTGGAGCAATGACCTTCCATATATAATATTTCTAGATCAGTAGGGACAATACAGCAGCAATGCATTGTGGGAGGGTCTGATTGAGCCAAATGCATGAATGAAATGATCCAACTGGGGAATCCTGATATGACAGGTGTTAAAGAGTTCCATTTTGAGTGAGGTCTCTGACTGCCCTTGTCATTCCTTCTCTCATTTAACTTAGGCCCGAACTACACGTATATGGATATTTATTTATCAGGATATTTTTGTACTCCTGTCTAAATAAATGTATCTGTCCACACGTGTTAGTTCTCAAAAATATCTGCGTCCACACATAGCCTTCAAACTCAATCCTATCTGGTGCCGCTTAAAAAAAAATTCAGGAACAAAGCTAACTGATTGGCCGATGAATCGTAACAGCGCGATGCGTCATGCATTGTTTGCGGAAGCTACGCTAGTGCGTCGGGTCCATGTGACGGACCATGTGACCAATAAAAGTATTGGCTGCGGCAGACGCGTCTGTGAGCTGGCTGACTGGTGGATGTAATTGTATAAAACAAGGTTCACTTGCAAGGCTGAAATTAGCCCCAAAAGGGCAAAACAAACGTAAAGAATACCCTGTCTGTCCGCCATCGTTGTTGTTGTTGTTTTTCTTTTTAATTCGCATGCGCGAGCTGCGGTTTGACGTCATCGATCCGTAAAAGTCCAGCCACACGAATCCACTACGGATACGGGATACGGATATTTTTTTATTTCTCCACTTGTTTTTCCGGATTCAAATTTATCCGGTTTGAGTGCTCCAAACTCCCGTTTTGGTGTGGTAGGGAGGCCTAATCGGACATAAATATGTGCAGTTTGAAATATATCCGCATTCGTGTAGTTCGGGCCTCAGTCTATCAAATAGTCTATTAACCAGTCAGTAAAGCAGCCCCTCTGTCCACTGAGTTTCACAGACCCTGTTTTCTTTGAATGACTCTCCTGTCACATCAGGACAGAAGCATCTGGAAGAGGAGTTTGATATACAGACTCTCTAACCAGTTACAAATAAGGGGCTGTTGTCATTTTCAGTCTTCCCTCACATTATCCTCTTTTTTATTGAGCATGTTTAAATTCCCTCTTCTCTCTCAGCAATTCTGCATATAGTTTTCAAAAAAGTGAAGTTATAAAAGAGAGGACACAGTAATGATACTGCAAACTTTTTTTCTGCAGAGTAGAGAATGAGAAATGATGGGGGAAGGGAGAGAAGGGGAGAGAGAGAGAGAGAGAGTGTGTGTGAGAGAGAGACAAAAGAGGCAGATGGGGTCTTTGTGAAGGAGTGAAGGAGAAGAATTTGCTCAACAATGGATGAATAGGTGAGGTGGAGGAGGAGAGGGGGGAGAACCCAACCACCTGCTGTCCTCCTCTTTCTCCTCTTTCACTCACAACACTCAGATTAACTTCCCTTTCAGCTTCTCCCACTCCTCTCCCTCTCTCTCCATTACAAACTCATACACACACCCAAACACACCCCTTCCTTTGCACTCATTCCCCTCTCTTTTAAATCTCTTTCTCCCTAACTTTATTCTGGTAAGACATCACCTCCTCTCCTCCTCTTCCTCTTCCTCCTCCTCCTCCTCCTCTCCCTCTCCTTTAACCTTGTTATCTCTACTTCATTCACACTCATCCCCCTCCCTTCATCCCCTTCTCTTTCTCCCCTCTGGCAGATGATAAGATCAGTAATAGCCAACAAACGTAAAAAAAAAAGTGCTGATGATCCTTGGGCTGATCTCTGTTTCCTCTGTATTAAAGTTCATACATTCGTTTTTCTCTTGGTCATTTTTCTGATAAGTTCATTTCTCTTGATGATGGATCTGCTCTGAGTTACTGACAAACAGCACTTCAATAACCAGGAGTGTTGTTGGGTATCACTAATAGAAACAGTATGGAGTAAGAAAATGAACAAAAGAACCCTGATGAATAAAGTGTTCAATTTCAGGCTGTTTTCTTACATCTACTGTAAACTATTCAGGCTGTCTTGATAAACCAGTACAGACAGTCTTTTTGAAAAAATTAGATGTTGATATTTTAAATAAGCATAACTGTATAAAATAGCTATGAATTTAAGTTTGAAGTGGTCCTTGTCTCATGTCATAATACTAGGAGAGATGAAGAAGCAGCAGCTGCTAGTGAGCAAGCTGTAGCAGCCCTCTGAGAAATCAGGCTTGTACCTCATTGAGTTACAAATAAATCTACTTTCTAAAATTTTTGAACAGCTTTGATTCAGCTTCATAACTTCCCATCTACCAACAGTAGCTCGCTTGTCAAAATAAAAGCATCGTTTTGTATGATGTAGTATAAGGGCCACACTAAGAAAAACATAAATTTCCAGAATAAGGGTATATGTAATAAGATTAGTCTATCAGTTCAGAATTAGAAGTTACATAATTGCCACAGTGTGAGCAAGCAGAAGTAAATACTTCTTGCTGAACCCTCATATGTGTGATCTGATTGTTTCTGGTTTTGTTTCTGTTATGTACAAGTGAATAATTGTTGTCAAGGAGTTTACACCAATCAGAATGAAGTATTTAGCAAGGCTGGGACTCTGGGAGATAAGTCATAAAGCCCAGTAAGGAAATATCTATTTTGTTACTGGGCTGAGAGCTATATTGCTCTCCTACCTAGATGTAAAAAGTACAGATGACACAGCACAGAGACGTGTGCAGGGCAGGCTGTGTCTGCTTCAATTAGCACATTGTAACCAGCACAGGCATGTGGACGTAGACCTGCAGGGAGCACTGAAGGCTGATGGTGGTACCACTGTTCACATAGCCCTTCTCTGCAAAGCAATTTGAAATTCTTACCAACAAACTCTACGAGCCCCTGTTGAGATGTGTTAAATAAATCATTTTTCATTTTGACTCTTTTCCTAATGTTAATGTTTAGTTGAAACTTTAAATTTCTTACTTCACTGAACATTGAATTTTCCCTTGGGGATAAATTAAGTTCTTCTTATCTTATCTTGAAGCTCATTTTCACACAGTTATCAAGTTTCTCAGTTTGATCAGCGGCTGAGTTAAATTGAAGAAGTTTATTACAGTAACTTTTTCACTCACTTTTTTCACTAACTTTAAGGGCTACCACCAGTCTGACTACCAGCCAATAGGAGCCGGGATGCTGAATGGAGGAGGAGGAGGGATGTCATCATCAGTGGACTACCACCAGATAGGTCGACATACACCGAATCACCACCCCTCTCTGGACTGGAGCTCTGATTACCATGGCAACGGGTATGCATCAGTTCATTTGATTTACGGAACCAATAAACACCACACTGACTTACCTTAGTGCAGTGATGAACAGGTGTAACTTCAGGACACAGTGAAATCATAGTTTGAATGACTCACACCTCTGTGCTGCTGCCTGGGCTTTAACTCTTCTCCTCCGTTCTGCAGAGTTCTTCAGAGAGACAAACATCCCTACATGAGCTAATCCAGGACAAAGTCAAACTGCAGCCAGGCCCGTCCACTGCAACTCCACAGGAACTCTGTCCTCATCTCTACATGAGCTCAGGCCAGTCCACCCCAACCTGAACCTGCTAGATGAAGATGGCTCATCAGACCACCAAAAACTGAACCTCTGTTGAGTTGAACAGGCTGAACATTAGCTCAAACTTGAGCTCAAAGGGATGTTTCTGTGTAAGGAGACCTATTAATCTCATTTTAGCCCTCATTACATCAGTCTGGGACACCTAAAGAGTAACTGTGCATGATTTGCAGCTCAAAGAACTCCTAATTCATTTTTACCAGGGGCCTCATTTATCAACCATGCGTACGCACAGATGTATGCGTAATGAGTGCATACCAACATTCCCATGCAAAGTATGGAATTTATCAACCTGTACCTGTGCTTAGGAACATGCGTAAATTTAAGCACAACTCTGACCATGCTCAAGCACAGAATCTAGTGGTAGAACAGTGAAACTACAAATAGAACCCATTAAAGGAGTCACAGCGTTCAGCAATGTCAAACTTCACACATGTTCTCCGTTACCTCTGTACAAAATTTGTTAATTAGTTCAGACATTTTGAATGATTGGTGTGACAAGCTATAAAATCAGCTGTGACAGGACAACCTCAAAGAAGTCTTACAAATACAAATACAAGTATCATGTCTTATTTTGTGCTATTGGAGGACTTGGTGAACCGTATGCTCCGCAGAGAACGCGGAGCAAACGGGTTACAAACCCGTGTTAGAGCGAGAGAGATAACACACCAAAGCCATCCCAGTGCACACCCAGCCCTTGTCGACCCTGGGATTTTTGGCCACCGGAACATTTCAGTGGAAGACTGGAGACATGTACGACATCTCGCAGCCAGCGCTAAGCAGAATCATGCCAGCAGAGTTGGATGCGATAATTTCTCTGGCCTCAACTTAAATCCAGTTCTCATACACACATCACCAACAAGCGGTAATACATGTTCGATAAATACAGATTTTTTTGTACTTACGCACATTCTAAATTTCATACCTACACCAGAATTTAGGACCTTTTCTATGTTGATAAATGAGGCCCCAGGTAAGGGAACATGTTGGTCTAGAATGGTAGAGGCTGACTTCAGGTTCAGGCCAAGCTGTTTTAGAGAAGCCAAAAACACACATAGGAAATACGCCAACATCTGTGTAGCTCATGTTATAAAGGCTGAAGATGGACATCCAACACTGAAAAATTAAATGCATTTAAATATTGATTAGCATAATAGGTCTCTCCTCGTGATATTGGGTCTCTTAAGAGATAATAGTGGAAAAAAACAGGAGGAAGCACTGGTGTTTCGATCCTAATGTTCCATAGTTAGTCTGACATCCAGTGCTACTCTTAATTTAAAGGGATATTTCAGTATTTTTGAAGTGAGATGGTATCAATTACATGTCATCTGTAAGTGTATTAGCCACAGGGGATGAAGGTCAGCTCCTCCCCTTAACAGAGAAACTGCCGGGAAAAATAGGACGCTAGGGTTTACAGGACCACACACTCCAATTAATTCTGAGAAAATCTGACCCAAACCCTCATCTCAATTTCAGTAAGCATTCTACCTAGAAATTTTGCAGCATGATGTACAAGTCATTGATCAATCAGGCATTTTCATAGTATTGCAGAGTTTTTATTGTAGAGTTTTTGGATTTCAAAACGGTCTTCCACTTCAGCAGCTAGTAGCAGAGTGTTGAAGAAAGTCAGTAACAAACTGTGGTGTGTAGTAGACTCTGGTTGGTGATCATTCCTATCAACTGCTGGTATATTTTGATCCCCAAAGATCCAGAGATGCTGTTGTTGCTAAGTGTTACTCCTGACAGACAGTAGTTTTCCAAGTTTGTGGCCATTAGCTCAGTTTACACACCTGAACCAGGTAACTTGGGATCTTTCCTGCTCTCCAGTTCACATCAATGTTTCTCCACATTTTCCTTTGGTACAGCAAATCGCTTTTATCCTCTTTAAAGGATTCTGCATAAACGGCATATAATGGGTACTGTCAGAATTCATTACTATTCAGTTTGGTCGTATTTTGACTTTTTGAAGCCTGCTGATCTAAAACAGCTCTGAGCAAACAAGCTCTCTGTTGGTAGCATAAATTGCTGAAAAAGAGCAGAGTGAACGCTTAAATTAAGATTAACTCAGGTTAGTCTCTCAAAATGAGTTCAATGGCATGGTAGAGTTGATCCCATCTGCAGAAAACAGTAGCATGCTTTATGATGCTTAGCATCCTGTTTCTACCTGTAGTTTACCGTTAAAGGGGCCAAGCTGACCAACATCCACTGTGGTGAAAACACTTCCTAGTGACATGTAACTTGCACAACCCTTACTCTAGAAATACTGAAATATCCCTCTAAGGTCCAAACGCTGTCATTTAAGCTGAAAAGATACAGTATGTAAAAGAAGAGTTGGCAGCTCCTGTGCTATCAACAGTCATTTCTGGTAAATATAATCCAGCCCCCCTCATGAAGGTGTGCTCTGTCTTATTTTCTGTCTGCCGTTGAAGTTCCTGAGTATTTCCTCCTGATGTAAAGATGATGTTCCCCACCAACAGTCCCAAAAGGCTCTGCAGAGCTCATGTAAATCCTGTATCATAAAGATTTGAGCTGTCAATCTGAAGCCATTTGTTTTTTGAAATCGTCAGGTGACTGAAATGTTCTGTCTCCACTGTGAGGAGAAGACAGCACCTACGTTATGGATTCATGATGCTTTTTGAGAGTTCCTCGATAAGACGCATTGTGGAGTTAATTCCCTCAGTCTGTCAGTAGAGACAGAAAAGGTTTCATGAATCCTGTAAAGAGCACTGAGTTTACTCAGCTGTATTTAGCTGGTGATGAATAGAAAGAGGAGGAGCAGCACCTGAAGCTGTTGTTGTTGTTGTTAACCCGGCGCTGACTGTGAATAGTTGTGTTGGATTAAAGAAGTTTTGTTGCTCTCTGGCAGTGAGGCTCAGATCTGCCTTGTACAAATTTAATGTATTTTAGTCCTTGAAATAATGAAATGTCAAACTTTCTTTAGTATAAAAAAAAAAATACTCCTTTGAAAGATGACAGCTTCTCCTCCAGCATATGTCTGCTGATGATATTGATTTGGAGTGTGTGTGTGTGTGTGTGTGTGTGTGTGTGTGTGTGTGTGTGTGTGTGTGTGTGTGTGTGTGTGTGTGTGTGTGTGTGTGTGTGTGTGAGTGTGAATGGTCTCTTGTGTCATCTTTCTCTCTCTCTTTACTCAGAGGCTATTTAAGAAACTGGAGCTGTTTCAGGGTGGGCTGCTGTTTTCATGTTGTTTTTTTCATCAGATCCAGTTTTCTTGTTTTTGTGTTAATTATGATGAAGATGAGAGATGCTCTCTCTCACCCTGTATCTCTTTGTATCAATGTGTTTTTTGGCAGATGAAAGGACTTTGGGCAACAAAACCATGAAGATTTTCTTATTTTTAGATTCTAATGATGTGTTTGAGAATAAAGTCTGAGCTGCACCGATGTGCAGTCGTTCATCTAAACTCTGCCTCTTTCATGCTGTTTATTTCTGAACACTTTGTGACTAACTTCGCTTTGATTAACAGCACACAATCATGTACACCTTTACTTCTCCTGCCACACAGCACACTGATTTTGTATCCTGACCTCTGCCTACATGAAAACAAACAGAGCTGTAACTTCAAAACCAAAGACTTCCAAGTATGAAAAATCAGTCTTTGTGACCTCTGTGGGCTCAAATCGGGTCCTGTCAGAAAGATTGAACAGAGTCTTTATTAGTTTCTTTGAATCTAAACTTTCTCCGTCTTGATGCTTCAGGTGACTGTGTAAGAGACCATTCTGTTCCTTTGAGTTGATGGACTACACCTTTTTTGTTTTTTACCCATGATTCATTTTTCTAGTTGTAACTCTACCTTCATCAGGGTGGAGCCAGACGTTTACCGAAGCGATACCCCACCTGGGTGGTCAGAGTGGGGCAGAGAATCTGGTCGGAATGGCTTAAAGGAAGTTCATCATTCAGGAGGTGAGGGAAACCACTGCAGTGGCTGCAGTCAGATTTCAAGGACACCCCTGGATCCACCTCTGCAAAAATCAAACACTAATGGTTTTTGTCTGATGGGATAAAACAGTAAATTGAAATAAAGCTCGGTATTTTTGATCCAAAAATAGCTTTGAAATGGAATAGTCCCTTGCTCAGTGCTCTGTTAGGTACAGCATGTAGTGAAGCCGAACAGACTAGATGATAATATTCATGTTTAAATAAGTGAAAAATCAAAGGAGCTTAAGAATCAAGTCAGACATTTAGGCTAAGAAGTCCAGGCTTAACTCTGACTCAAGGTTTGGAGACTCTCAAACAATTAAATCATCAGCACCAAGAAAGAGGAGAGATCACTGTGAGGAGATGAAGGCTTTTTAAGAGTTTTGAGGCCTCTTAGTTTAAATACTGTTTCATCTCTCTGGAGGACGTGCCTGCTCTAGTGTGCGGGCAGATCAGAGCCCATCAGGCATTTCTACCTTCAATTCAACATTTGCATTTCACACATTGATGCCAGCAAACGTGGCTACACTTCTGCTAACTAAACATGGTGTTGCTGCTGTAGTCCAGGGCTAAGTAGAGGTTTGTGTCAGACCAATACAGTAATTGCAGCTCTTTCCAGCTGAATAATACAGAATGATCCTGGTTGTGTGATCAATGTCAGAGCAGTAACCTTTATCCTGGACCAGTCTGGAAATTGAAGCTCCACAAAACAGGAAATGTTTCTGTTTGTCCTGACCAACAGCCATGTGACAGTTTGATATTTCAAAAGATGTTCTTATTTCTCCAAAGCTGTTTGAACTCAGTTCTGTCAGCCTCTCCCAAATAAAATCATGCTTTCGTCAAATGAGTTAGCCTCTAGCAAACGGATCAGCTTCCTCTCCTTTTCTTCACATCTTTTATTTTAACCAGACAGTGATAGTTTATCTCTGCCTTGACAAAAGTTAGAGATATTGCTGCTACACTGAGGCACACATTGCTCTGCATGTCAGTTGGTGCACACTGCCCCCTAAAGAAGGAACAGCATCTGGTGTCTTTTCAGATTTCACTTGGGTGAAGAGCCTCATGAAAATCAGGGTCACAGATCTTCTGAAATTCAACACAGTTGGAGTTACAAGATCTAAAACAACTATTAAGTTATTTTATAATTTGTGAGCTTTGAAAGGTAACACTAAACAGAGAGAGTGTGCAGTTCAAGGAACTCTTAAGAGTCAGCAGCACATCTGATGTTCTGGTGACATTTATCTGTGTAATAAATCACAATTTGGACAAACCCACCACCGATAATGCACTCTAGGTAAATACATCAAACATTGTAAATGTTGTGTAAAATGTAAGGCGTCATAACAAACCATATGGGTGATTATAAGCATTCAGATATCGTCACCTCATTTGGTTCTATTGTCACTTTACCTAAAGTACCAGAGGTCATGCTACAGCATGTTGTAAGTATAACTACGACTGTCTCCTATTTAAGATTGATCAATCTGAACTTTTAAAGTCAAATTCAATGAGTTCTCGGTGATCGTTTACAGTTGGATAGTGTGTGGAAGGAATCATATTTTATCAAACCAGAATTCAAAAGACACTTGTTAGGTTTTCATTGAGGCACTAAGGCCGATTATTAAGGCATTATCAATCCTACCTTCATAAGGCATTGTGTCTTCTGCTTACAACACTTGAATGTTATGACATTTGAATGTTCATGCTAACCAGAATGATTGTTATTAAGTCTTATTGGTGCATGTATAAAGTTTTATAAAGGTGATGAATTTGAAGATCACACAGTAACACTTTAAACGAACCCACTATTTATAATGCATCTACAACAAGGGTTTGAAAAGGTTGAACTTTAAACACAGAGTCCAGTCAAACATGTCTAAATGTTTAAAAAAAAGATTTTTGGTTTGAAATGTTTGTTGCTAACATGTTGCAGTGACTTAAGGTTTTTAAGGCCCAGCATTTAGGAACCACCAGCTATGGTAACGAAACCAGATGATAGAGATTTGGTTTGTGTCCTGAACTATCTGTAAGCAGCACTTAGAGGTCGGCAGTGTGACAAATTAACCCAACACACTGCAAATAGCGGCTGTACTGCCAAAACCGAAACCTTATCCAGCAGTGAAATAGACGGCTCAAGGATCTGCTCCATCAACACAGTCAACAGGTCACAGTCACTGCTGTTCAGCCTCCAAATCACTGGGTTAGGCTTGTCTTTAAAAAGATATCACTTATGAATCGATGCTTTTTTTTTTTCTTCATTTTTATTTAGTTTTTTCTTCTGCTGGGTCTTAGTATTTTCCACTAGAAATCTATAGCACAACATCATGGGCCTCAGCCATGAAACTGTCTGATGAGGAAGTCAATCCTGCATTGCTCCAGGGTGAAATTTGTGTCCAGTCTTGATAAAGCCTTCAGATTTAGACATGTAGCTATCGTATTTTTCTCTCCAGGGCAGTAGGCGGTCGGCTGGATGTCTTCTCAGGAAGAATCAGTCTAAGTTTCCTCCTGGGAGAGGATCCCCCTTCCTCTGACAGATACTCCTGCTGCAGTAATGCGGGAGACATACCTGCATCACCAGTGGAAGACACACTCTGTGTGGACAAACTGAGTGCAGGAACATCTGCTGCCTGCATGCCACCCCCTGTATCTCCTGCTGTGAGTCCTTCATTTAGAAACAAACCCTCAGCAGGTACATGTGCCATCTCTATCTGAGACTTACTGTTGGACAAATCCTCCACTGTAGTCACAGGACCAGGAGTCTGAGGGGTCACCCCAGACAAACCTTCCATATTTGGAGTAACCTGAGTGGGGAGAATGTGGCTCTCTTTGCTCTGGGGTGCTCCTTTATTTGTCTGCAGTCCTGGACCCTGGGCTGCAACAAGAGGAGAGCTGACTACAGGCAGATTGCCCTGCAGATAGGACTGCATTGGTGCAGGAACAACAGCTGGGTTTGCTGTCAGATTTGAGGCTAACCCTACTGACTGGGAGCTCTGCAGAGATGAGGGATGTATCGCACCAGATTGCAAAGGGTTTTCATGTCCAGTGTTAACTTGAAGGGACGTAGCAGGAGCTATAAACCCTGCTCCAGCCTGCCTGATAAAGCCATCTTGGACAACAGCTGAAGTTTTGCCTGGCCCACAGATGGTTGTGCTAGGAGCTGCTAAACTACTGGGAAACAGTGTGGCTGATCTTGGAGCCAGAGGATTACCGCCTTGAAGAGAGAGGCTGCTGCCAAACAGCTGTGAGCCTGCTGGACCGAGCAGGGGGAGGTTGGTAGTTTGATTCCTGTCAGTTGCAGAGAGGGATAAGACATGTTGAGCACCTCCCAGGACAAATCCAGCTCCCTGATACTGAATGCCTCCAGTCTGCAAGCTCTGAGCCTGAGCAGCAGAGGTAGATGAGCCTGGTTCGTGGTCAGAGTTGGCAGGTGGAGAGTCTTTCTTCTGTTCAACCCCTCTACTTTCATCAGTGCCTTTCCCCTTTGTGGAAGGATCTCTTTTCTTGCTCTTCTTCCCTTTTGTACCCTTGTCTTCCTTTGACTCCTCACCATCCTCAAGTGATCCTTCAGCCTTTAAAGATTTGTTGTTTTTGCCCCCTTTTGCCTCTTTCCTGTCTCTTCTTTCCTTGCCATTGTATCTTCTATCTTTAGTCCTCTTTAAATGGCTATTTTCTGTGTCGCTCTGCTCAGATTTCCTCCTTGGATGGACTTTGCTTTTTCGTAATGGGTTCAAGTTTAATTTCACCCTCAGTAGCTTACCTGACTGGACTTTGTGTCGCCTCACTCTCCCTCTCTCCTCTCTCAAAGACTCCTCTCCCTCTGCATCATGCTTGCCCCTGTCCTGACTGTGTCCCCTCTCCAGGTCAAAGGTTACATTTCTCACCTTCCTCCTTGAAACTGGGCTCCTCATGACGTCAAACTGGTTATGATTGATATTTCTGAACCTGTCATTTTGTCTGTACTGAGCATGGACCCTCTCAAACACGACAGAGTCTCTCATGTTGGTGTGATTCCTCCCTTGTTTGGTGTTTTGCTCTGCTGGTCTATAGGTCCTGTGGCAGCTCTCACAGTGGAAAGTCTCATTCAATCTCCTGCTCCTTCCTGACATGTCAGTCCTCAAACTCTCCTCCATCTCTCTCAGACCCTCTGCTCTCTGACTGAAGGTTTCTCTTTGAGGATGAGAAGAGGAGTTTGTGTTGCTGTGGGAAAGACTTTTGCTGGGAATGTTCCTCCTGAGTGTGTCCTGCGCATTTCCAAACTGCCTTGCTTCCTCTTTTGTCATCATCCTCTCTCTTTCCTCATAGGGCTCCATCTCACCATCTATCCTCTTGTTCCATCTTGAGTTTAGCTCTGCCCCTCTTTGCTCTTTGCAGCCTGGACACCTTAAATGACTGCTTCCTTCATCTCTGGACTTCAACTGACCACCATGACCATCGCTCCTCATATCTAGCATCATGCTCTCACTCTCCCAAGGCTTGCTGCTGTTTGCATGCAAGATGATGTCCCCCCTCTTTTGATAAGCATCCAGATGATTGACTTGGTGGTTAGCTGCTGTGCTGCTGCGCTCTTCTTCCACTTTTTGACGTTTACTTTCTCTCAGTTTTCTCCTCTGATGTGCTTGATAGAAGATTAGGACCACCAGCAGAGCTAAACCCACACCACCTGGAGTATAACAGGACAGACAGTCAGACTGTGACATCATTCATGTTACAGTGTTGTGTCCAGAAGTCAAACAAGAAAAAGAAATCAACTGGAGACACACAACAACATGGAGCATCAGCTACTTTTACATGCAGTCAATATTCGGGTTTCTGAAACATTCGGAATAGCCTGTTTACATGTGTGAGCAAACAAGGTTATTCCTATTAACATGGTATCCTGATCAATACAGCGATCCATGGACAACATCCTAATGCACGGAGAGCGTCATGATGTATTTTACAACTATGACTACATATACTCAAAAGACCAAGATTCCTTGCAAGCAGAACACAAATGAATGTTCCTTTAGATGGGAATATCCCGACCGGCGTATACATGACCAAATGTTCAGATTAGAAAAGGAGTAACCCAGGGCTGGTTCTCTGGTTTTGAAAAACAGGAATATGAACATATTCCATTTTTTCAAAAGGGTTATTGGTGTTTACACGGCTGTGCGCAACTGGGGTATTGCTAATATTTGGGTTTAAAAGGGTTAATGACTGCATGTAAATGTAGTGAGGGAGTCAAGAGTGCACTCTTAACCTGTTGAGAGGAGGAGGTTTCTGGATGGGGTTTCGTAAGGATGTTGAAACCTAGGTTAAGAACTGTGAGAGGTGCATTTTGACTAAGATGCCCCAGCCGAAAATCAAGACTTTATTTCAAACATTTCTGGCCTCCAGGCCTCTAGTGGTAGTGGCTGTCAATTTTACAGTATTGGAGCCATTCTCAGATGGCTCCAAACATCATTGTTGTAAATTATGTTTTCACATAGTTCACTCAGGCATATCATACCAAAGATCAGAGAGCTGAAAGTACTGCAGGAGTTTTACTGAGTGGGTGGTTCATGAAATATGGTGTTCCTGAGAGACTACATTCAGACCAAGGGAGAAATTTTGAGAGCGAAGTCATTGCAGAGCTGTGTAAACTCTATGGGGTTGAAAAGACTCAAACGACTCCGTACAGGCCACAAGGGAATGTTCAGTGTGAAAGATACAATCCAACACTCCATGATTTGCTTAGGACACTGCCTCCAGACAAAAATGGCGTTCGTTAGCCAGTGCCCCTTCCTGAGCTCGTGTTTGCCTACAACGTCACTCTGCATTCTTCCACAGGCTACTCTCCTTATTATTTGCTCTTTAGGGTTCAACCACATCTACCTGTAAGTATGATACTAAGGCACGAGAGTGTGTCCGACAGAAAGCAATATTGGTTATCTGTTCATCAAGGGAGGCTCAGGCAGGCACATGAGAGAGCCCGACAGTATTCAGATGAGAAAGCAGCTGAGAGAATGGCACTGCAAAATAAAACATGGAATGTGGCAATAAATTCCACAGGCTACACATACAATTCAAAATGAAGAGAACGGTGCAGTATCATGGCTACTGAAAGCCCAAATCTTACAGCCAGCAAGGCAAATATACAAATCCAAATGTTTTGATCCATGATCAGCAAAGGTAACATTTTAAAAAGTCTGTGTTATGATGGCACATGAGAGCTTTGAGATGACAATGAGAGGCTGTAACACCTTTTTGATTTTAGGTTTGTTTTGGCAAATCCCTCCTACCTTCACTAACCCCCACCCCCCACCCCACCCATATCCAGTCTGTTGTTTTTCCCTTGCCCTCCTTGTGTGAGTGCTGTGGTTTAGAGTAACTTTTAAAGATAAAGTTATATTGTTATCACTGGAACCACGCCTCTGGTGTCTAAGTATGGTGAACCTGTGTGTCTTTGGATAAACCTATCACTGATGATGCACCCTTAGTAAACTCATCAAACATTGTAAATGCATTGATAAGGCTTCATAGAAAAAGAACCTTATTGGTTAATATACACATTCATAACAGACAACACCACTCTGGGTGAAACTCCCAGAGTGGTGTTGTCCGACAACTTAAACTCTCATTCCGATTGAAAAATGTAGCATCATTGAACAGACATTGTACCAATGCTCCTCCTCCACTCGCTGTAGCTGCCACATACATTTTAAACCTTTTCAAAGGTTTTTGTGGTATGGCTTATTTGTGGTGTGAATTGCTGAGCTTGTGGCAGAGCTAAATTTAACAAATCAAACTGTTTCCTTCCTGTGTATCGTCATTATTCTTACCAATGAAACAGGTGACTGCAGTGATGGCCAGATCTCGAGTGTACAGCTGAGGCATCACCCCCCCTCTCATCTCTACCTGCACTGTGATGTTCTGATTGGACAGGACACAGTTGGCCTCGGTCAGCTCTAACACCGTGGTCACAGCTGGGTTATCAGCATTCACACACACCATCCGTCTGCCGTTGAACAGCATCTGAAAGCAGTAAGTGGAGACGTTTAGAGCAGTTCATCCAGAGAGATATTTCCTCTGTTTTCTCGTTCTTTGGTTTTGACAATGGCTGTATTCTAAACTGTCTACTACATACTCCTGCAGTATCTAGTTAATGGAAAAACATCATACCCTTGGGGGTGGGGGGGGGGGGGGGGGCACCATAGTCAAGTGAGTTGGTTCTACTTAAGGACTGTCTTCTTGTTCTTGTCCTTGTTCTTGTTCTTGTTCTCGTTCTTGTTCTTGTTTTTGTCCTTGTCCTTGTTCTTTTTCTTGTTCTTGTTGTTCTTCTTCTTCGGGGGATTTTGGCAGTTTGCTGTTGTACCTGTTTTACCTTCTGGTGTAGTGCCTGCTCATCTCACTAAGATAAAGTTTGGTCTGATCTGAAAAGTTTTAGTGGCTCTCTATCTTCTGTGCAGAAGTTACCACAGTTGCTCTTTGCTTCGTAAAACTAAATATGATGTAAAAGTGTTACTATATACTTCAAACACACCAAATATAACACAGCATTGTTGAAAGTTTAATGATCTAAGTTGGTAAATTTCATAGCCATACATGAAAAATGAAAAAATGCACTAGATTTTTATTTGAACTTAAACAATACTTAAAAATCTTTAAATAATTTGACAGTACTGTCACATTTTTAGTGAGTATCTTGTAGAGGAATAAAGCATTTGTTATTAAACCAATTTTGCAATATCATACGTCTCTCTCATTTGTTTATTTATATGCTCCCCCCCCCCCCCCCCCCCCTCTGAATTTTCTGTATGGAACTTTTGAGCACATGTCTGTAATGTTTGTGTACAACATGTTTATTGTTCAATTAATTACAAACGCTTCAGTGTTGCCCATCCATTTACACACATATTCCTTTTTTATTGCCAGAATAATATTTAAAAAGAGGCCCAAAGCCAGAAACCAGTGTTTTCCTGATATTTAGAGGGAACATTAGTAAGACATTATGATAGCCGTAAGGGTTCACTATAGGCATTCCTTTTTAACAAAGTATGTATACACAGAGATGAGCTGCAGTGTACACACTTAGTTTTACTGGTACAGCCTAATGAAGTGTTTATCGGGACAGAGCCTCTGGAGACATAGGAAAAGTTCCTCATCAGCTCCATACGGCATGATACGGTATGGTGCTGATCTCAGAATAAGGATAACTTCACTGGCATCTCCTTACAGAGCAGCTGAACCTCTGCCCTGTATGGGCCAAAGACTGAAAGCCTACTCTTTTCATGTCAACTCCAGAGGATGTCATCTGATATCAGATAGATACTGAGAGTTCAACACTATTAGCATGTCCTGAGTTTTACAGAATTAATGCTGCCGTGCCTCGTGTACAAATCACCATGCTAAATGTGTATGTGTCAGTTTGGATAGTCATTTTTGTTGCTGCTGTTACTGTCTCAGTAGATTTAACATCAAACCATGTATAAGCAAAACATATGTGAACTAAGTGTTTTTTCTGTTTTTCTGAATAGGGCAGCAGATAATTGCATATTTCAAGAGAATCGTTCAAGTGGTGATGCAAGCATGAAATTTGGCACAAATACGCTCTGAGGTCCGCTCTTTTAAAAAATGGCAGTAGACACTCCAAAATTAAAGACATTTTTCAAAAGAGTGCCCCTCAGAGAGTATTTGTGCCAAATTTCATGCTTGCATCACCATTTGAATGATTTTTTCACTCATCCAGTGCACTGGAAGGCAGAGTAGAAGAAGAGCTGAAAAAAATGCTGCCCAATCTTTTTTTTTGTTTGTTTGATGTTTTGTCCCTCTAATAGAAGTCATTTTTTAATGTTTCCACTCTGTTGCAAGTGCTTGAATCACTTTTTAGTATGTAAAGCTGTTTTAGAAACATGGGCTAGTGGACGAGGAGTTTCTGTACCTTGTCAGGTTGTTGCATGAAGTTGTACAGGAGGCTGGCCAGCTCCAGCAGCTGACAGGAGCAGTTCCAGGTGTTGAGGTCCAGGTTGAGGTTTGTCAGCCAGCTCAGGTAGGAAAAGGCCTCAACGGGAGCAGAACTGAGACGGTTTCTGGACAGATCCAGAGTGTGCAGACTCACTAACCCGCCAAAGCTGAGACAGAGAGACAGGAGCACAGAGGATACGATACAATGGTGTTGATAAAAAAAATTGTGTATCTGTCTGCTTAATTCAGAAGTACAGTCCCTAGAAAGGCAAACCGTGCACTATTTCTTAAAAAATAGGGACAAATAGAACATTTTGTACAACATGTACAACAACCTGTTTCTATCTAGATGATAAATCAGGTTATCAGACAGGTCCAGACTCTCCAGCTCTGCTAGGTCATCCTCTGGGAAAGATCCAGTCACAACACTGGTGAGCAGGTTTCCCTCCAGTTTCAGACTCCGCAGAGCTCTGTTACCCTTGAACCAGCCACCTTGGATCTGTTTACCAACACAGAGAGTTATCAGAAAACTTGATCATTTCAAATTGATTGAATTCATTTGATCATTTCAAATCATTCGATGGAGATATTTCTGTAATTGAAAGGATGTCGAACAAAAATGTACTCCTCAAAATGTCTGACCTTCTAAACTGTTTTAGTGCCTTAAAAGACTGGATGGCAGAAAACTGTTCACACCTGAATACTGAAAAGACAGAACTGCTTGTATTGACCCCTTTGTACCGATTGTACTGCTTGCAACAACACACAACATTGCATCCGTTGTGTTTTGTTGCTAACTCTAATCCTATTGTTATTGCTATGAATGTTTTTATCCACTGTATTTTTTGGATACTTTTGTTTTGTTTCCCCATAATCACCTTATTTGTGAAGCACCGTCTGATCACTTTACGTGAAGACAATATAAAAATAAAACAGGTCTGTTTTCACCTCACCATTATCATTCCCATAAACTATCATGATAGTGATCTTATTGCCATCAGTCAAATGACAAAAAAGGCAGGCCTATGAAGGAGCAACACATTACTTCATAAGCCTAACTACTAGACAAAGCTTACTTACATCTTATCATCTATTTCTAAGGATCTTCAGAATTATGATTTATCCATATCACCAGCCCTGTGACTGAAACTTTCTGCATATGATTGAGAGCATTTATTTAGTTATTTTTTCTGTCTTGATTGTAGGTTACTTTATTTCCTGTATCTCAAAATCATGCTTTTATTTTGAAATATACTATGGCTGGTACAGAACTGAATGAAAACAGTCAAAAGAAAGCTGAGAAAGCATTCATGTTCATCTGACTGGTAACCTGAAAAGGCACACACTCGACTGTGTTTCTTAATGACAGTAATTTTTTACAGTCAAGTGCCTGCTCATCTCTCAGTGTTGCTAAAGTTCGTTCACTAGCCGCAGCTGTTTTGTTTCTCCTCATTTTTATGACATGTGACAACCAGCATAAAGAATTAGTACAACAAACTCATGGTATTACAGTATAATCTTTTTTTGCACAATATCAATACTTCATTTCTTGAAGTAAAGAAGAGTTATCGTCAATATTGGTATACTGGGACAGCCCTAAAATAAGCTTATCACTGTTATTGTTATTCTTTAATTATTTCAAACCTCTGCTAGTGTGGTTTTCTTTCATTATCCCCATCATTGGCCCAGCTCTTTCAATAAAAAGTACAACCCTCAACTAAAACCAGTCAACCTCAATATTCCCTCAGATACATTGTTCCTGCTGAGGTGTTACACACCATGCTGATAAGGTTGTGGCCCAGGGCAAGGACCTCCAGCTGGGTGAGGTTGGTCAGAGCTCCGTCCTGCAGGGCCTGGCTGGTCAGGAGGTTGTGGTCCAGCAGTAAAGTGTGGAGGATGGGCAACTTCCTGAAGGACTGATCACTCAGTACAGAGATCTGGTTATGACTCAGACCTGTGTGGTACACAAATGTAGTTGGATTTCAGACACCATTTTCAAAGTCACCTTGAGGGTAACCCCCCATAAACAGTGTGTTTGTGTCTTGCACACAAACACATACAGAAAGTGACTGACCTATGACTGTGATGTTGCTGAGGTCAGACAGAGAGAGAGACTGGACTGTGGAGATGGAGCCCTCAGTCAGCAGCAGAGCCTGGGTCGTGTCTGGAGCAACTACTCAAACACAAATGCACAAACCAAACACAAAGTACATTATACAAGAGGTCATCAGGTCTCATTATTAGTAATATAATAGAAATATTTCTGCAGCATATGTGAGAGACAAGTGCAAAATATCCAACAACTGTCTTAAAAACTGAGGTATGTCTGTGTTTTGTCTGTGTTCGTGTGTGTTACCAATAATATGAGCCAGTCTATGACAGATAATGGCATCATTAGAGCAAACCACACAGGAAGCAGGGCATGATGGGACAGGAGACACAGTCAAGGCTCTGAATACTGACAGCAGAAACATCAGCAGAAAGCCTGCAAACAGATTTTCAAAATAAAAGAAAAACACTATACTATCATATTATAGAAGCTTTATGCTTTAACCTGTGATAAACTGCGAAGACTGATGGCCTTATTTGATTATGAGATACAGACACTGTATAAAGTACTTACTGGTCATGTTGTGTTACAGTGGGGATATCATACAGTAGGTACAAAGGGACACCTTTACACCCTGCTGAATCTTGATACAGCTGCACCACTGTCATGATCTCCATCTGTTCAACTAATAAAACATAAATCATATATATTTTTAAAAACATCTGCTTTCTACCAATTTGGACTCATGATGAGCAACGTTGGCCCTAACAGAAAACTGCACAAGCATTTTATTATCCTGCAAACATTTCCATTCACAAATTGCTTAGAGTTTTACTAAATACAAAAATATTTCATGAAACATGAGGACATTCTAGCAAACTGTATTTGTGAAACACAAAAGTATTGCAGAAAGCTTAGAAATATTAAATTTAAAAAATGCAAGAATGACAAAAGAAAAAGATTCACAAAATGAACAACACAAAAACATTTTGCAGTACATAAAAACATTTCTTAAAATGCATACAAATTTTAACACAATGGCAAAATTTTGCAAACACAATGCAAAGATATTTGATGAAACAATTCAGAAAAATCCAGAAACATTTTAACAAAATGCAGAAATAGTATAGAAAAACGCAAAAATATCCAACAAAACTGTAAGATGATTTACAAAACAATATTATTCTATGAAAACAAGAAAAAAAAAATAAAGTGCAAAAATTATACAAAGTATTTGGTTTGACTTAAATGATGATAACTAAAAAATGTTTTTGTGTTAGTAAAAAAAAATATATTTTTTAATTTGGAGGTTATCTTGGAAGTTTTTCTGTCTTTAAATGTATTTTTATGCCTGATTAAATATATCCAACTTCAGGGCCACCATACCTATCAGAGCCCTCACACGTTCTCAGACAGAGACTACAGGCTCAGTAATGATGAGTTAGTCTTCATGTTTGTTCACTGTTTGTTCTGAGTTGCTAGGCAACTATGTGTGACCACCGTACGCTTGTGTATGTGTGTATGTATGTGTGTAGTATCACCAGGAGAGGTGGAAGTCCTCCCTAGATGAGGCTGACAGATGGATGAAAGCCAAACGCAGCAGAATGAAGCTGATCATGTTTCTGCTTAAACTCTTCACCTATTGGACTTATATATATATATATATATATATATATATTACTCTACAACTGCAACTATACTGCCAAAAGACCCACAAAACAGAGCATGACCATGTTAAATTATGCATTATTATGTATCACAGAACAAAGAATATTGAATCTGATGGTGTTTTTCGATGACAAATATCAGGCATTTCACTTATTGTGTTCTATTTGGATAACTGTGTCAACAAACTCTGCACTGATGCCTGAACTGTCTTAAACAGTCCCACACAGTAGGTCAAATCAATGATTTTAAACGGACCAATTCAAGCAACATTTGAGAAATGTGGTTTTCACCATCCCATATGTCTTAAAATTATCCTTGTTATTTTTAGTCTCTGTTCGTGGTGGTGGTCTACTTCTGTCTAAGATGCTTTGCCTGTGAAGCCCAGGAGTCTCCTGCATCTGTGTTTCATCACCCCCTCCTCTCAAAAAATATCAGCCGGCTTTCTGCCACAATACGGTCAGATAAACCAACCAAACACCATTTATTATGAATTTAAGTGACAAGTTATTAAATTAAGTAAAAGAAGAGCATATTGGTTGCCTATTTCTTGTTAATGCAAATGTATTATTGCTGCTTACATGTTAGCAAGAAGCACCATATAAGAGCAATCATCAGCCAGTGACTGATTTCATGTTTTTATTTGGATTTTTCTGCTCCCTTTGAATCCCAAAAACTTGATAGAACAAGCTGATTCAATATGACCTACTTAAGTCAAACCTAGTTAAACAAATGACCTGAGTAGATGTTCAGTGAGTTGGTCATTGAGGAGTCTTAGCTGAAAGTTGCTGGTTAGTTATGTCACTTTACAGTTGCTGGTGAATTATTAACACATCAGGCAAAAGATTTTTTACAAGTTTGCTCTTGTGTTTTTTCAACAGTTTTGATCTTTGGCTCCAAACCAATCCAACTCATCACTCAGTGGATCAACCTCATTGCATTCTACAAGAAGGCTAATTTCCAGTCACATCTATGTCTTATTCTGTAAGTTTGACAAAGTTAAAGATTTCAAGACTAAGATTGTATGAAATGTGAGTGATTTTCTTGTTGTGAGTACAGCTAAACACTTTCAGCTGAATCAAACATGATTTTAGAGCTAAATCATCCGAAGAACCTTTACCTGCTGCTTACCTCTCTGACAGGATCCACAGGCCCACCCCCGCTGATCACATGGTACACTCCATTCATGTATAAATCCTCAGGGATAATCTGCAGCTGTGTCTGTGTTGGCAGTTGCAGATTTAAGCTACATCTCGTAGTCATTGCCACAGAGCTGTGGTAGACACTGTGTAAATGTTTGTTGAGCTAGGGTTACCTGCAACCTTCTGAGCATGCTCAGCACAGACAGCTGTCACCTGAGAGGCACAGATACTGTGTGTGACTCAGGTCTGTGACTGAAGCATTCAGAGGTGTACTCAGGTTGTTTGTGGGGCAGGAGTAGAAACAAAAAGAGCATCTCCTCTATGCTTATCATGCACCGGCACACAAAAGATTAAGGGTCCTCTGCCAGAGACTAATACAATGACCTGCATTTTGTGAATATTTATGCAAAAATTTGTGCAACTGGGGATTTAAAAGGAAAATTGAATTGTAAATACAAGCTGACCCTGTTTTCAGTGTGTATCAGGCAATGTTCACAATCTTGCACTGGTGAGAGTAATTAGGTCAGTCATAGTCGTAGGAGGGAGTGAAATTCCTCAGCAGGAGTCTCCAACGGTTAGTCTCAGAGTCCTCATATTTACTAAATGATGTCTTGAAATGTTTCACAATGTGTATAGTCTTAGGATTTAGCATTCAGTTGTCATGACTCTTGGAGTTTGAGGTGCTTTTTTCTTTACCCATCCCACCCAAAGTAAAGAAGAAATCTTACTGAATGAGGCACAGTGTTGATTCTGGCTCACAGAAAACATATGTGATCAATTTATTATCATATCTTTTGTACATTTCTCATATTGGCAGTGATGATGAATGAGGTCAAACAGCGTCATTTCAGTAATCATAAAAAACACTGCTTTGCTTCTTGAAGTGTTGCCTACTTCATGCAAATTGATCGGATCACATCTTCACATGGTCAAAACCATTTTCCCAGCAGCTCCAGGAGACTCAATGATGTCACGGTGAGCCTCAGCAGCTTTCTCCAGCGGGTATTTGGAGCCGACAACTGGTCTCAGCCAACCAGCTTCCATCCCTGCATAGAGCAGTGCTGCACACTCCCTGGACTCCTCCTGGGGAGAGGGAATGTACATGAATATTCCTCCATGTTCATTTAAGTGTGGCAGAGTCTAAGGGGATGTTAAAAAAATTAGCCCCAACACCAAAAATTAACCTTTCATATCCACCTTTTCTCAGCCCTGCTTTTAAATGTCACAGTGTCGAGGAAAGGAATAAGGAGCTAGGAACAGAGGCCTGCGGTTTTTTGGGGATTTTTCTGACTGCTCCTATGTTCAGCAGATGTTACAGGTGTTACATGCGTCTGCTATAACAAAAATGACTACAATATACTGGAGTTTAAAAATTCCTATACTGCAGATTTTCAGCCTGTAACTTCTGTGAGGCGATAGGTACTCTGGAGAAACAGCCTTTGTTACTTCTCCAAAAGCAAAGATTGACAGTGATTGATAGATTTGACTGTATAAAGACCACAGGAGAATCTTTCTTTGTCACATAACAACACTTACACAAAGAACAGACTGAATCAGCAATGATGTAAGAGTTGTGACTTTGTCCACAGAGGACGCCAAAGTCAACACAAACAGAAAGTTCCTCACAAGAGCTTTAAACTATGATGGGAAAATTGTGTTTCACTAGAAATGTTACTAAAAACAGCAGATAACACTCCATTTTTGATTGCTTTTTTTTTTACACTACAATTTATCACATTAGCTTGAAAAGCATCTATTACTCTCATTTAGTGCAGTGTTACACAGGTAACACTCATTAAATGATCATGTGTATTGTCTAAATTGTACTGTATGTACACTTTGAACCGAACAACTGCATCTCCTTTGTGTTTGTAATTGATTACTTTTATGTGACAGCACTGCTATGTACCGGTGTAGCGGAGTAAAGGACTACTCCAATGATGCTGCTCTCTTTGACCATGGTGTCTCTGGGGTTGATCTCAATAGGGCCTCTGGAGCCAACAACCTGAAAGGAAGGACAAAAAATTTACAGAAATATACTAAAACGAGCTACACTGGGATATACTGTAGATACTATAAACAATAAGGAAACTGTTGTGCCTTGTTAGAAGATTTCTGATTAATAATTCAACTTAAAAGTATAATTTCTGTTATTAGTTCTCTAAGACTCCCTTTTATATTCAAGCAAAACAGGTACTGTAATTGAAATACCCCTTAATGAATCAATATTGAATCAAATCGATTCAGAAATTGAATCGAATGGATTCAGGAAATCAGTGGCAATACCCAGTCCTACTCCAAACACACATGTGATTATGGGAGAGGTTGACCACACTGTGAGGATATGATAAGTTCAAATAACTTAGCAGATAATCAGAGCTCCTCACTCTCTTTCCCCACTAGAGCTCTTTTTTTTACTGTCTCAGTGTCACAGATAAGTCTTATCCTACAGCTCAGGTGGCTGCATACTGTCTGATCGGTTTATCCTCTATTATTCATGAGTGAATCTCTGCCAGTCTGTTGTTAACATATGTCACTGGAGTATCCCCATGCTGACACGTACATTAATTTGAGTTGAGATATTTTCGCACACAAAGGCATTTGAAGTGAGTAGCAAGTTAGTGCGATGCTTATTCACGCAAATTGAGCACCATATGCACGAATAACGAAAATTCGCGTTTCTGCAAATTTCTGCAGTTACATGACTGTCTTTACTACCCCTACCCTCAGTACTAGCTACATTAATAATGTGTCCTCCAGCCTGGGTGTCTTATCTAATAATGTTTGCGAGCCATTTTTCAATCTCATGGTTTCTCATTGCTGCTATGCAGATGACACACAGCTCTTCCTCTCATTTCCACCAGTTGGCACGAGTGTATCAGTCTTCATAAGGTCTCACTAATATTTCTCAATAGATGAAGGATCGCCACCTTAAGCTCAGCCTGTCCAATGCTCTTGTCATTCTAGCCAGTCCCTCCTTATAGCCACAGATCAAGATCCAGCTCAAATGAAATCATACTCACTACAGTCAGACTACCAGGAATCTAGGTGTTACAACTGATGACCAGCTAATCTTTCAGGTTAATGCAGCCTCCATTGCTCAGTCCTGTTGATTTGTCCTCTATAACATCAGGAGGATCAGACACCTGTACAGGTCCTCATAATATAAGGTAAAGGTTCTCATAACATTGTACATTGACGACTGCAGCTCCTCACTGCACAGCCAAACCTGTGCAGATGATCCAGAACACAGCAGTCTAGGACCTTGAGTCACTATCCAGACTCTCCTCCTCTGTTTTCCTGACTCCATCAGATCCACAGAGTCTGCTTTTTAGATTAAGCTTAAGACTCAGCTGTTTAGGTAACACCTTTGCACTTCAGCTCAGCTCTTTAACTGTGTTTTGCTCAGTGGTAGAAATATTGAAACAACCACTTTGATCTACACAGTCCCCTTCTACGACTGAGACTTTTTGACCTAGCACTTTGTGAACAACTAAGCCCTTGGTACTGTGGCATTTAGCTGATGATGATTATGATATTGTAGTTCCATAATGATGATATGCTGTAACATATGAAAGCACTAATGGTTTTAACATCTGTACTGAACTGTAGTTGTACTGACCAAAACACGCCCACCGTAGGCCAACATCTGAAGGTCTTTACTGAGGTTGACATTTGAGAGCATCTCCACAATCACATCTACGCCTCTGCCCTCTGTGGCTTCCTGTACCAAACACACATGAACACAGAGAAATGGATGAACTCTGTATATGTAAGGTTTTTGAGACTACAGAGATAAAAGTAAGGCTGTGTGCACATATGTTTTTATATACCATGATCTTATCTGTGTAACCCTCCTCTCTGTGATTAAAGGCAGAGTGAGCTCCATTATTGAGGACAACTTTCATGCCCTCTGGTGTCCCTGCAGTACCAAACACCTTCAGTCCCAGAGCTCGAGACAACTGGCAAGCTGCAACACCAACCTAGACACACACATACACACATACACACTGTGACTCAATTTGAAAAAGCATTTCTTTTTTGTTTTACGTTAAGATTATATATATAGTGAAAAAAGTGCATACGCCTCCACTGGCTCCGTGGATGAGGACAGTCTCTCCAGCTCTGGCATGGCCTCTGCGCACAACATATTATGTTATTTTAGTTTAAACATTTATAATAACAAAGCAAACCCTAGAGGTGTCTTGGTCTTACTTGTGAATCAGGGCTCTGTAGGCAGTAAAGTAAGGGATCCCAATGGCTGCACCCTGAGTGAAATCTAAGGCATCAGGCAGTTTGTGCACACAGTTGACGGCTGCTATGGCATACTCTGCGTAACCTCCAGACTCTGTGCCGGTGGTGAATACTCGGTCTCCTGCCTGGAAAACAATAATACACAGTATGAAACAGACTAAAATTAACACTGATGTCTCTTTGTGACCTTAAAAATAAATACACCAGCTGTTACCGGTTCAGTTTGTGCTTTCATTGCTATATTTAGCTGTAAATGCACAGCATAGCAACCATTGTAATAGTTTAAGAAAAAGAGATTTTAATCTAAACCTTCAAAGTGCTGACTCCTTCTCCAATAGTTTCCACCACTCCAGCCACATCTGAGCCTGGTGTGTATGGCAGAGCAGGTTTACGAGCGTATGACCCAGACCGGATGTAAGTTTCAACAGGATTCACCCCACAGGCCTGAACATGCACCAACACCTAAAACACATACATGTCATAGAAGAGTGCTACATCCATCTGCTATATCCAGAGTTTCAAATGACTTGGGAGCGAATAGCAGCTTTGAAATCAAATGACAGGTAGCCTGCAGGCAGGTTGTGTTTTGACCATGGCTGAACTTTGACCTGCTGTCAGCTCCACCTGCTCAGCTGAAGTTAGCTCACCTGTCTGTGCCCGGGCTGAGGAACAGCCACATCTGTGCAGAGTCTCAGCACCGACGGGGCACCAAACTCACTGACTCGGATGGCGTTCATCAGCCTGCAGCCGGACATAGCCAACTGCTTACACTGGTACACACGTCGATTTACAGCGCTGACAGACCGCCGATGTTAATGTGGCAGATCGATTACTCTTGTCTGAAGGCGACCTGACGTCACATCCTCTTGCCTAGTACCCGTTGATATTTCCATGCATGTCCACTTTAGTTATGAAAACTCCTCGTTATGACACAGACTCTTTCAAGGTGGGATCGGGACCAGAGGAGGTGACAGCGAAAGATTCTTTTTAACCGTGTTGCCCATACTCTGTCGGTGCGGGTGCGGGTCTCAGCGCTCTGGAGCTTAGTATTGAACACCGCATCAGGGAGAGTTTATGAGTACGAACCTCCGTGTGCTTCAGTCAGTCAGCCGGACACTCTGATCTTCGTGCCTCATGTTTCAGACAGGTTAAATAAACCCTCCGTGTTTAAAGATGGCAGCAAGGAGCAGATGTGTTCTGCAGAGAGTTTGGATTGGATTCAGATCTCATAGTGTCTGCAGACCCAGTTTAACTTCAGCCTCCTGTCAAGGACGCCTGCCAAGAAAACCTCCAATCAGACATGTGAGCAGCTCACCCAGACTGGACAAGTCGGACACCCCCCCGAGCACAGGTACTATAATGACTGACCGCGTACGTGACCACACTTAAATCAGGTTACAGTTGAGGAGAGACCGGGGCAACTGTAACCCACTCAACATAACTAAACAGGTCATAGCTAGGATACTATGACCTGCTTCAAAAGAGAGTGTCACCACAGAGCAGGTCAATAAAAACATGTTTTTGAGTGTAAGAGTCATTTTTTCAGTAATTACGGTAATTACTTCTGCTGAATCCTGAATCACTTCCGTTCATTTAAACTTGGATAAGTTTCATCTGTAGGCTACTGAAAAAAAAAAGACATGATCAACCCATGTTGATCATGCTATTGGTACCTGATATATGAGATCTCGTCACTCTTTTTACTACATTCATGGAACAGTTTTGTCTTCACTAGTTGAAATACAGTGATGGTTTTGATAATTAGAGCACATTTTCATGTGAGTTTATAGGGTGAAAACTGCTTCATGATAATTGTAATATTTTATTATTGTTGCATTTATTTATTAGTATGCTTTGTTTGTCAGAATACAAGTAAGAAGCTGAGCTCTCCCGACAATATTAAATTTATATGTGTGTGTTCACATGGAATTGTCCATCCAACTTTTCTTTGGATTGGGGCTGTCACAATATCAGATGTTCACCTTATGGTTACAATGTCCATGAAATATCACAATGAGCATATTATTGTGATGATTTTGGAAAACTTGTGAACAAGGCAATCAGTCCAACTGAGGAAAGGCAGGAGAAATTTGGAGCGGCTCATAAATTCGAACACCGTTAACTTGTATAATGTTCAACATCATCCACATCATGGCCTAGTCTTATATGGAAAAGACATACAGTAGCTCTATAAAATGATTGCTTGTCATGCTTCTACAGCTTATGTTGCGTAACGTCCAGCGTGGTAAGCAGACCAGAACTGAATAAAAACAGGTAAAGAACCTACAATTATGATTCCTATTACTATTTAATTGACCTCTGGGGATCAATAAAGTTCTTCTTATCATATCCTATTGGATCTTATCTTATCTTAGAAACAAGTTTGACTCGTTTGCAACCCGGACAAGCACAAGCACAAGCACACACTTTAAAGTTGTTTTTAGATTCACATTAAATATTAAAATGTCCGGTTTTCAAAAGTGCCGAGTCGTTTCTCAGAGGAAGGCCTGACACAGCTATCTTACTGGCAGCTGCTGCTTCTTTTTTGTCTCTGATGTTTTATGTCTTGTGCCAACCAGCCTTAAGGACTCATAGACTTTATAGAGTCACTACTACCACACTGAACTCTTTGTATATGTTGCACAATATGTCTGTAGCAAACATAGCTAATTCAGTCCTTTTTTATTCATTGTAATTATCATTTGCTTTGGAATGTTTAATTTACAGGAAAATTGTCATTTATTCACAAAAACTCCTGTTGTCATCGCAGTTCCTGATCCCTTTTGTGCTTTTTTCTAGGTCCCAGCAGTCTGTCCTTCAGGAGTCACACCTGTGGAGAACTCAGATCCGATCATGTTGGGGAAAGAGTGACTCTGTGTGGCTGGGTCCAGTACCTCAGGTTTTCTTCTCTTTTTGTTGATTCCGTTCACTAACTGAAAAAGAATATTTATTTAGATTTCAGGTATCAAAAAGACCTTATCCTCAAACTGTGGTTGTGAAAGGTCCTGATAAGTGAGAGTGGAGGCTCCCCAGTAGTGCTAGCAGCTCTGAGATGCTGTATGTGAGATGTGAGATGAGATGAGATATACTTTAATGGAAATTTGTCTTGGGCAAAAGTGCACTTATTCCACAACAAAGGTTTACAAACACAGACAGACCCCACACAATAGCAGCATTGTACAAACATAATAGGTAGACAGACAACCGAGACCCTTCGATTTACACGTCCACATAGCAAGTTTATTGTACACCAGTGTGTTAATATACTCACAGTGACAAACCTCAACATCTGATAGAAGATTTACATCCACTATGTTGGTGGCATCTTAGCAGACCATCAAGTAATTAATTTGAACTGCAAAGAGCAGCTGAGACTGATGGGATGTTGTTAGTCTGCAGGTATTTGGTTGTAAGCCAAATCAACTGTTAGGTTAGTCAAATTTAAACCTGATCCCAGGGCTTGACAAAGTTTAGATAACACCAATAACTTTGAAAGCCAACCAGAGGGGCACATCAGTGAAATCAAACTTATCTTATTGATGTTGGCTTATTTTAGTGTCGGACAAAGTTTGTCCTTGTGTTGGACAGACTGACTGACAGAAAGTCTTACTTGGTCTCTGTTCCTGTGAAATCCTTGATTTCTAAGTCAAGCATATCTTTATCACTCTATATGAAAGAATATCTAAATGTCTAGTGTCATTGAGAGCATTAGTTGATTATTTGAGGAGATTATTATTATTATTATTATTATTATTTGTCCTTAAGCATCACCAGAATGGGGAACTCTTACAAGGTCACATATAGCTCAGTATTTTATTATTGTTTCTGCCTCTAACAGACAAGATCAGTTTGTCATCCTGCGAGATTTCAGCGGCTTGACTCAAGTTTTAATTCCTCAGGAAGACGTAAGGATCATCATTATTCCATTTACAAGTTAATTATCATCATCATTTCATAAAATGATAAAGATTTAAACAGAGTGTGGCACAGAAAAAAACGGTCTAACTTAAGGGTTCTTTTGTTCTCTTTCTGCCTTTAGTCTGCTGGTGATTTGAAAGCTGCTCTGTGTGATCTCACTGTGGAGTCTGTTGTCAAGGTGACAGGGACAGTCAGACGACGACCAGATGGACAGCAGAACAAGGTGTGTGCTTCTGTGTGTTTAATAATCATGAGCCCCTGCTGAAACAACACCCTCTTATTGATGTTAGCAAGTACAGCTGGAGTATAACCCCAAATCCAAAAAAGTTGGGACACCACACTAAACAGTGAAAACAAAATAGTGTAATGTTTGGATTTAAAACCTTAAGTATAAAACAAAAAAGTGCAAAAACAACACAAAGTTTCAAAAGTGAAAAGAAATAATATTGTTTTCTGAAAAATCTGGATTGACTCATTTTAAATCTGAAGGTCTCCCTTGCCATACCTTTTGTTTTATGATGCAGCAGTTGTTTTCAGTGGCTGACAACTCAGAACTCCAGCTGGTACAGTTTAGCACCTGGACTTTTACTACAGAAGACTACTGTTGTAATGCATGCAGAATGTGGATTGCCATTTTCTTGTTGAAATTTTCAAGATCTCCCCTGACAATGGCATGGTCTCGGCGGTAACACATGTTGCTGTTAAAGCTGTATCTGTGTTCAGTGAATCAGAAAGATTTCCTTCAGACCACAAAGGAGAGTGCAGAGAAATTGACTATTTCCAGTAAACCATCTGCATCTCTGTGAAGAATTTAGGGGGTATTTGAAAAACTCTGATAGAGAAACGTCTGCTTACCTCATTAAGTATTTGGTTTTGACTGCTCCATCCTTTTCCTCTGCTGTGTCTGCATAAACAGGCGATGCCAACGGGAGAAATAGAAGTCCAGGCTGAGAGTATAGAGGTTTTTAATTTGAGCCGCAAGCTGCCTTTTGAAATCAAAGACTTTGTCAAAGTGGGTGGAAAATATAAAATCCATTTGCACCATTTCGGAAATGCCTGCAGAATAACTTCAATTGATCACAGTGATAAGCAATTTTTTTCTTGTATCATGACACAGAAATCAGAGGCACTGCGGATGCAGTACCGTTACCTTGACCTGAGGTCCTTTCAGATGCAGCACAACCTCAGACTGAGATCTCAGCTGGTGATGAAGATGAGAGAATATCTCTGTAATGTTCACGGTATAGAGAGTTTGACTATTTTTTTCTTTTAATTCATCCTTTACAAGATAGTAGCAGACGGTGAACTTGACTTGAGCTTGGAAACACCTTTGTGGTACAGTCTTGATGGTAGAGGCACAACTAAGCTCAACACTTTGTTTTTTTTTGCAGGTTTTGTTGATGTAGAAACTCCGACCTTGTTTAAAAGAACTCCAGGGGTAAGAAGTTTTCATCTTTGACTGAATTCAGTTTGAGTGAAAAGTCACCCTACTGAATTGAGCGATCATCATGTTGCATAAACATGAGAAAAGTGCCATCCATCCCTGCATTAGTCCATCCATGTATTCATCTATCCATCCACTCCTCATTAATGCATGCATCCATCTGTCCATCTATCCATATTTATGCATCTGTACATTGATTCTTAACCGTCCATTCGCTCATTTATCTGTATCCATCCATCCATCCATTCATCCATCCATCTATTCATTTATGCGTTTTGATGTTTTTTGATCTTGTTGATGTTCTTTGGGTTTTAGGGAGCAAAAGAGTTTGTGGTCCCATCCAGAGATCCGGGTCGATTTTACTCTCTCCCTCAGAGTCCTCAGCAGTTCAAACAGCTGCTGATGGTGGCCGGTATAGACAGGTGTGTTACGGCTTCAGCAAGGTGAAACTGAATGACTGAAGTTTGCTATTTAATTGAATGGAATTTCCCAGTACTGTGTGCATGTATCTGCACATACCTTATTCTTAGCGCCTACACACAGCTCCATTTTGTTGTTTTCAAAGTAGAAAAAACGATTGGATTGGACATGCTTCAAGCAGCTGAATTTATAATTTCATATAACAACATTTTCAATTGGATGCAAAGTTAAAATGTCAAAGATGATTACTAAAAACACTGAGACAGGCACAGCAGATGATTGGGCGGGAATCATTCTGAGTTGTCAGGACCTTTTTCAAAGATTTCATCAGTGTGATCTTGAAATGGTTGTCAGAATTTAGAGAAACATTTTTTCTTAAATGTTTAATAAATGTAAATATTGATTTACAATATTTTAGATTGTGTAGGCAGCTCTTACATTTTTTGTTGTTCAGCTATCAGTTGATGTTCCAATGTCCCTGCTTTTACTTCTTCATCACAGTTTTGAGTATCACACCTTACTTGGCTCTGTAATAGGAGGATGAATTTAATAATACAATACAAGAACTTATCTCTTCCCAAAGGGGAATTCAATATGGTGTTGAAACAAAGTTTAACCAAGCAAAAGAAAAGTGAAGTATCGAACAGATTAGCTGAGTATGGTGCATACTGTATCTAACCCTAACTTTGTCCATCAAAGAAAGAATACAAGGAGAACACTGAGACGACAGACAGATAAGAGTGAAGGAGTGAACTGTGTCTCTGGATAGGTTCACACTGCAGCTAAAACCTCTCCAAACCTGAGACTTATCTGATGTTTTATTGATCTAGAGCTAATAACTGAGATGCATCTGAAGTCAGCAGCCTTTGTATTTTGCTTTTACCGTTTCAGGTACTTCCAGATGGCCCGGTGCTACAGAGATGAAGGCTCCAAACCAGACCGACAGCCGGAGTTTACCCAGGTAACTCAGCTTTCATTTGACTTTACTTCAAGAGCTTATTTGCAGAGACTGTGAAAACTGAAATTCTTTATTTTTTAATCATCTTTTTATTGACAGAGTGCTTAAAAAGCAAAATAGCACACTTGAAATATAAACTCCATTCAGGTGCATGAACAGCATGACTATACAAACAAAATATTGAAAAATGTAGCACAGTGAATTCCCTTTAACTTATGCAGAGCACAGAGATGTACAGTCATTTTCCCGCCTCAGGCCTTCTGCAGTGTTACAAGGAGCAGAAATGTAGTCACAAAAAAAAAAAAAGACAAAAAGAGAGCGAGAGAAAAGCAAACACAAAAGAAAAACATCCACATTATTGCCAGGCTTTGTAATATTCACAGCTCTAGATATGTTTTGTACAGTATGTTTGTTAACTTAATGTTTTAAGTAAGATGTAGTTTAGTGTTTTTAACAGAAAGAAGGAGAGCAGCAACCACACACATCCTCTATTCCTAAAAGTAGTGTCCATTTTTCCTCATTTTAATATACATGTCTTTTCTTCATCTCAGAAGGGAGATATTTGGTTAGAGATATTTGTCTCTTGTTAAGTCATCTGGCAGGTCACCCTAATAAAGAAAACAAAAGTTAATGGTATTGACAATCCCAGAGTTTGTAACATAATGTTCAGAATATTTAACCAAAACTGTAGTCATTTTGGACAGTTCCAGAAAATATGGCGGTGGTCTGCTTCATCACTCTCACAGTTTTTTCCAACAGGAATTACTTCTAGATGTAGAATATTTTCCCATGCCATGTCACCTCCTTTTAATCATGAATGGTTTTTACCTCACCAGGGGTTTTCTTTTATTCCAAATAACATAGTGTTCTTTTTGAATGTGTTGAAAACTCTTCTTCATAAAGATAGAAAGAGGTTCTTCAATTATATAGCAGAATTGACTGTCATTAGGTCATCATTCATAGCAGTGTGGTCATTACTTTGAATTCAACTAATCTCTCTCAAGACAACAGCCGTGTAGCCGTGGTTTGTGTCAGTTTTAATCTGTGCTCTCTCCATGCTTTTCCTCTTCTCGTCTCTCTCAGGTAGACATAGAGATGTCTTTTGTGGACCAGGCAGGTATCATGTCTTTGGTTGAGGGTTTGATCCAGTACTCCTGGCCCGTAGAGAAAGGTCCCATTGAGGTTCCTTTCCAAACCATGACTTATGAAGAGGCCATGAGGGACTACGGTGTGGACAAGCCTGATACCAGATTCAACATGAAGGTAATATTTGCTATGTGATCGCCTTGGCTTTTCACTTGTCACTTTTTGCCAAAGTCTGGTTGCAATCGTATCAAACTGTTTAAAGTGATCATAAACTCGCAGTAAACCAGACAAGTTTTCACAACTAGTTAAACAAGGTGAGGTTTGTGTGTTATTCATCTGTCTTGGATGGTATCCTCTGAGAGATGTTTAGCATAACATATCTTTTCACTGTTATGCAGACGACACACAGATCTACCTCCCCCTTGAGCCTAATAACTACAACAAACTATGACCTTAATAACTGTCTTCATGACATCAAATCCTGGATGGCTGCAAACTTTCTCCAGCTCAATGAAAACAAAACCAAAGTTATTCTATTTGGACCACAGCATTTGACCAACATTATCACCCCTCTTCTTGGCCCTTTGGCCCCCTCTGTCAAATCACATGGTAAAAATCTTTTTTGTCATCTTTGACTCAGGATTAAAGTTTGACAAACAAATAAATCAGGTCGTAAAATCAAGCTTCATGCAGCGCCGCATCGTCTCAAAAATCAGATCATTTCTTACTACTTCTGACCTGGAAAAAGTCATTCATGCCTTCATATCCTCTCGCCTCGACTATTGTAATGCATTATATTTTGGTATCACTCAGTCTGGTTTATCTCGTCTCCAACTAATTCAAAATGCAGAAGCCAGAGTTTTAACCAGAGCTAAGAAGAGGGAACACATTACTCCCATTCTTGCCTCCCTTCACTGGCTGCCTGTTAGCTAAAGGATTGAGTTTAAAACCCTGATGTTTGTTTACAAAGTGTTGAATGGTCTTGCCCCCTCTTACGTGACAGAACTCTTGTCCCCATATCACACAATGAGAGAACTAAGATCGTCTGACCAAAGACTTCTGTCAGTCCAACGATCCAGGACTAAGTGTTATGGGGACAGGGCTTTCTCTATCGCGGCCCCAAAACTGTGGAATTCTCTTCCTCTCTCCATCAGTTTCTCCCCCACCATTGAAATTTTTAAGACTCAACTTAAAACCCACTTTTGCTCCCTATCAATCAATCAATCAATCAATCAATCAATCAATCAATCAATCAATCAATCAATCAATCAATCAATCAATCAATCAATCAATCAATCAATCAATCAATCAACTTTATTTCTATAGCACATTTAAAAGAACCACGGGGGTAGCCAAAGTGCTGTACATTGTGACATAAAAGCAAAAACTGTCCCTAACTTTTATAGCTCAACCATTCCCCTGTCGGTTGGTAGATTTGTGTTGTCATTATCATTGTTATTATTATTGCTGCTGCTATTGTTATTATTATTATTGTTAATTATTATCACTATCATGAATAATGATGATAGTGATGGTATTGAAAATATATTTTTACTGCTATTGTTATTATTATTACTTTCACTCAGTCTGCTCTTCTTCATCGTCTGTTTGTTCTCTTCTTTTGATTTGTTTTTCCTTTGTGTTGTTGTGAAGCACTTTGGATCAAATGCTATATAAATAAAGTTGAGTTGAGTTGTTATAAACACACCAATTTGTTTTAGTGTGTTGATGCAAAAACAACAAACACAGGAGAATAATAGAATAAAAAAGACAAGTATAACAGTAAGAAACATGTTCACAGCAAATCTGCAGCTGTCAAGATACCTCAAATAGAAAAAAATGAGAATAATTATTGAAACAGTTTTAAACTACATAAATGTTGCCTGAACAAAAGATATGCCGAATGTGACGTTTCACTCGAAGGGCCCAAAAGCAGGAGCGTAGTAGGTTTGATTAAAAAAAAAAAAAACAGAAAGGCTTTACGGAGACAGAGTAACTGAAATGACTAGGAGTGGGAGGGTTGCTGGCTGGCAGTGGAGGCACTGAAGGTAGTGTGGAGAACAATGTACAGACAGGAGACACGGGTTTCGAAAAGCAGAACCCACTTAAAACCTTAAAATCCACTTAAAAAAATGTGTTCAAGCCATAGACTGTATATAAGATGGACAGAGTCTGCCTCCTCGCTGGGTGAAGCCACTCCGAGAACAGCACCCTCTGATGGTGGGCTGCAGTACAGGTCATAAATCCCGCCTCCGCCAGCAAAGCTTATAGGACTGTGGACAAACTTTAGAAATTTATTACACAGAACATAATTTTTTCTCCCCCCTGGTTGTGATGTTGACATGTAGTTATTGTAAGACTGGTTTGTGCCCAAGTCCTTTTTTTTCTGTACAGCTCCGTTTTTAAAAGTTATTAGGGGGTTCATGTTTTCTATGATTGACACCTGGTACAGCCTATGGGCGTTCAGGGATTCCGTAGCTCTTCCGGGGGAATACGCTGTTTGACCCGAGCGTCATCACAGGGACTCTCGGCGACTGCGCGGCCGAATGCGCACAACGCTACTGCACAGCTCTGGTTTCAAGGAAGCGGAGAAAAACACGGAATTACCGAGAGCCGTTTGGCTTCAAATCCGTATACAGGCGGAAGGCGGAACCACGGCGTCCATCTTATATACAGTCTATGGTTCAAGCACACAATATAGAGTCTGGATACCGCTGTGAGACTGGGGCAAACTGGCAGCTTACAGGAGCCTGCGCTGTCCATGATCAGTGGCAGAGTGAAAGCCTCCTGACTAGCCACTGCTGCACTGAATCTAAAAACACTCAAACTCCCCAATACACACACACACACACACACACACACACACACACACACACTGACAAAGGTCTAAGCTTTTTTTTTTTTTTTAATCTTTTCGTAATAGATATTAAACTGAACTTGTACCGAAAGATAACTTCACACTGTGGGGTTAATTATTCCTCTGTTTGACAAAAAAAATTGTATTGGTCAGTGTAATTATCCTTTGCTTTATGTTCTTCACCTCACTAATCAAACCGTAAGCTTTTGTTAATGAGATCTAATGTACAGCTAAAAGTAGAAGTTTTCTGTCAGCTCTCTGTTCAGGAGGGTGTGAACCTGTCTGTAAGCAGCATTTTATTCATTTTATTTTAAAAGCACAAATTTCCTTTACTCTGTCTAAATCTAGATCTTGACCTTCTTATGTTCTGTCTGTCCATCCAGCTGATCGACCTCAGTGAGATTTTCTTATCTACAGAGATTCAATTCCTCAGATCAGCTGTCAGCCAACCAGGAGGCTCTTTTCAGGCCATCTGTGTACCTGACGGAGCGGTTAGAATGAAACTATCTACTACATTTGCCAAAACATTCAGTCCATACATTCCAAAGCCACCTTCACTTGTACAAATGATATTATTTTTTTTATTTTTCTATGGCAGAAGCTGTTGGCAGGAAAAGATCTAGAAAACCTGAAGCAAACAGCAAAGACTCACTTTGGCCAGGTGGGTTTCTCTGTGCTTTTTTCACTCTTGTCCTACACTCACATTTTTTGTGAAATGATTTTTTGTGGAAGATATCTATGTTTTGTATTTTAATACCAATAATCAAAGAGGAGGTTATGAAGACGTGACAGAAAACACAAGAAATCAGGATTGAAGTAAAATGAATGAATGCAAGAAAGAGACTCAATGATCATGAAACATCACAACCTGGGACCATGTGTATTTATTTTTAAGTTGAAGTACAAAAACACATTATCCTGCAAAACTCTGTGGTAGCCCTGTAATAAAAAAAGATCTCACGGAAGCTGGCAATAGCTATATTCCTCAGAAAATCTTTAAGCTTCAAATCTTAAGCATTTCCCTATTGAAGCATCTACCAAACTGACAGATCCTCTTTTGTTATAGTATGAATTGTTTGGATCTTTATTTTCATTGTGTTTAATAGTGTTTGCATGTCTTTGCAGAAGATTTTGAAAAGAAAAATAACCATATTGACAACTGATTTTTGACTGAGCTCATGTTGATGTTACAGAGATACAGTATTTTTCCGACCTCCATCATAAACTGTGTGTCTTTTGTGCTTGATTATCAAAAGGAGCTCACTCTGGTGCTCGTTAAAGCAGATGGGACATTAAAGTCTCCCTTGAAAAAGCTGCTGTCTCCCTCAGACACTGACAGGATCCTTCAGAGGACTGCAGCCAAACCTGGAGACCTGCTGCTGACAGCTGCTGGTTCCTCTCAGACTGTGGTAAAAGACTTTAAATCAAGGGTTTAATGTTTCATACAGAATTCTGGATTTTCCAACCCTTGAATCATACATTACGATGTATATTAAATGAAGTTGATATTAAACGGCACAGTAAAATACAGCAGATTTCAGAACAGTTACAGGCTTCAATTTGATCATGGCCTACTTTCCATGCTAATATTTGTGATGAGTTAACCCTCAGTTCCTGTTAATTTTAAGCTCCATCCAGCCTACTTTGTCCCCAAAACAGACATGCAGATATTTGTTCATAAAATAATCAATTTTTAAACATTTTTCTTACTTTTTTGACCCAAATCTCTTCAACCCCTGACCATTTAAAAAATATTATGAATAAAAAAATTGATGTTGCGCTCTTTTTATGCCAGTCATTGTGCACCATGTCACTGTTATTTTTAATGGTAAAAACACAAAATCGCCATACTTCCAATATAAAATGACCAAGATGATTTTTTTTTTTTGAAAATAGAGTCTGGGCCCTGTCAATGGTGAGTAGTAAAATCAATTTTGGTGTACTTAAATTTTTTTTGTAGTGCCAATTTCAGCATTTTATCTCCATCCAGCCAACTTTGTCCCCAAAACTGACATGCAGATAAGCGTTCATAAGATAATATATGTATATTTTTTTTACATTCTTTCTTACTTTTTTTTTTGACTCGAATCTCTTAAACAATTTTATACCTAACCATTGTAAAATAAATAAAGGATTTTGTTTTACACCCTTTTTATGCCAGTAATTGTGCACCATGTCTTCATTTGTATTTATTGATAAAGTGTGTGTTCTAAACAGCTGAGTCTGTTGAAGCGGAAAAACACACCAATTTTACCTCCTTTTCTTGAGGCTCATCCTCTTCCAAATCAAATGTGAGTGAATTCATTTGTTCATGTTAAATTGATTTTCTATATAGGCATATAAAATCAGAGGATATATGTAAGATAGGAATCATTTACATGTGGTTATCCACCTCTAACCAAAATATGACCGCATTACGCTGATTGTGCGCGTATAAAAAATAACTGCATATTTGAGATGTGATATCTTGTCGCCTAATAATCCTAAGGACCTGTGCATCCTCATGCATGTCCATCCACTTGCTCTTAAGTGAGGGCAAAGTTGAAATTGTCCAAATGTCCCCCTCTCTTTGTCCCACACTGCAGAACTTGGATGTCACATCTTTGACTGTAAAAACTTTATATTATATGCTGGCACAATCTCTTGTATCACTGTCGGAAAGTAAAATTTAGAGCCCTGGTGGTCAGGTGACTGCAAAAAAAAAAAGGTTGCAATATGTTGTTTTGGTGCCAACAAAGTGTACCGCATCAAAAACAAAGCAAAACAGATAAACATGAACAAATGCATATTCCTTGTCTCTCCATCTTATTCTTGCAGCGACCGTTGCTGGGTCACCTCCGCCTGCACTGTGCACAGCTCCTTGAGTCTCGTGGCATTACAGTCCGTGACCCCGCAGCCTTTCATTTTCTGTGGGTTGTGGATTTTCCTCTTTTCTTGCCTAAAGAAGGGGAGCCAGAGCAACTGGAGTCTGCCCATCATCCCTTTACTGCTCCACTGCCAGAGGACATGGAGTTACTGTACACAGAGCCGCAGAAAGTAATTGCAGGGAATCACTTAACACCTTTGTAACATCTTTCTCATCATTGTGATATTAATTCTTATTATGCAGAGTTGGACTTTCTTTGATGTATTCACAGGTGCGTGGTCAGCACTATGACTTAGTGCTGAACGGCTGTGAAATTGGAGGTGGCTCTATCCGCATCCACAAAGCCTCCATACAGCAGTATGTCCTAAACAATATCCTTAAGGTATGTCTGTTTATTATTTTGTCAATGTTTTTCTGAAATCTGGAATCGAATATGATCAACTGCTGACCATGACACTGTCTGACCTGTTTGTGTTGCAGGAGGATCCCAGCCTTCTCTCCCACCTGCTGGAGGCTCTGGATTCAGGAGCGCCTCCACATGGTGGCATTGCTCTGGGTAAGGTGAACTCTGTACTTAACACCAGAATATTTAAGTAAACACAGGGACTGGGACTTGAAAGACTATTTTTTAGTTACCTATTTGTCTCTGATTAAGATCACTTTGGTGAAAGTGTAACACTCTACTCTTGTCTGAGACATACTCTCAGTTTAAAGTCATTGATCGTCAGATGTCAGAAAACAGGCTCTCTCCAGACTAATGCATCCAAATGTAGCTGACTTTGAGAATGTTTCACAACCCACTTCCAAAGAAGTTGGGACAATGTTTGAGATATTGATAAAAATATATATTGGCAGTTTGCAAATTAGTCGACCCTATCATCAGTTTTCAAGAGTGATTAATTTTCTATCTATTTCTGCTACAGAAAACACAGTTCTTGAGCCAAAAGGTAAGAATGGTTTATTACATTTTGAAGAGATCTTGTTTCTCTTCTGTGTTTTTGAAGGTTTGGACCGGCTGGTTTCCATCATGGTTGGAGCGTCCAGTATACGTGATGTTATTGCCTTCCCTAAGTCATTCAGGGGCCACGACCTTATGAGCTGTGCCCCTGATTTTGTACCCGAAGAGGAGCTTAAGTCTTACCATATCTCTGTCAACTGGCTGACAAAACAAAAAGGAGGAGGAGATGCGGGGAATAGAAGTGAGGAGGGAGAAGAAAGCGGAATGAAAACATGTCAGTGAAAGCTGTCATGCCTTCTCAGATCTCTGTAACTAGGACAAGTAGAAACAGACCAAGACTGAGGAGCAGAGTATCAGCAGGCAGTGTGAAGCTTTGAGTCTGTGAAGATGACTACCAGTGGGCCAGCAGATATTAAGAGGAGACTGAGAAAAAGATGATTTGAGGGCAGCATCTTAATCCTGTTTCTTTTAAACAGAGAGACAAAAGGAACAAATAATTGGACAAAATGCTGTCCGGACATTGGACCCAGACATGCTCAGTGAAGATCTTACTGATTGACTTTCTCTGACCTTCTAATGTGTCAAAAGAGTACATAATTAAATATGATTATTTTGTATTGTTTTGTATGTTTTGACAGTCCAAAGTTTGTTCTGGACAAGAATTAAGGACTGGAGTAAAAGTTGAGAACTTTTCTTTTGCTGAAGACCAAAGCAAGCCATCAGATGCTATGTTGGTCTGCCTGTTTCATTTGTTTGAAAACAAAGTTTTTAACCATTACTGATTGAAGATGATTAATCTGAAGGAGCAGATGAGAGTTACCGGCAATTTATTTTCTTTTGCACTAAACCTCTGTTGCTCTAGTGAAACCAAACAATGCACGGAATGATTCAGCCACAGCTTTAGTCTGAGCCCAATGAAGTCTTCATCCGTTCCTTTTCATTGGCGTTATGGAGTAATGAAGTTATTATTTTTGTCTTTCTGTGGTTTTAAGCTTTACCTGTCCTGATTTATCTGCCTCAGATGTTTGCGTAAACTCCAGTACAGTATGTGTAACAGAACTGACCCTGTATTTGACACGTCTGAAGGTGCCTCAGATAGCTGTGCATTCCTGAGTTATCTGTAAACAACTGTATTTACCCATACATCCAAGTATTAATGTTGTTATGTGCTTTTTCTGCATCTCACTGGCCCCCAAGAGATCGAGTTCTGGTGCAACTGAAGGTAAGGGATTTCAATCAGCAACGAGTCAAGAAGTTATTTTAAAAGTTACTTTTCAAAGTAACTCTTCTGTGATTTTTTTCTTGAAGAGGTTGTAATCAAAGACATCATAGGGGGCAACATTTATTCCTGCACAAAGTCTAAATCTTACAGTAATGTTGGGTGGTTTGTGTTTTCGCAAAAGTAGCGTTGGGGGAATTGGAAGCAAGGGGAATTTATTAAATCAGTTATTGTGCTAAGGAAAGGAGTGCTCACAAGGTGTGGTCAAGTCCCATCAACAATTCAATATTGCATGTATGATCAATATTGCACATCCCCAAACATTGCACAAAGCCCATCAAGTAAAATGCCCAGCAAGAAAAGATACAAAATAAGGATATCAATAATTATCAAAGTCAATTAAAATAGCAAAATACTGCTGTTGCTCACAAATTCTATCATAAATGGAAAAGGACAAAACCAGAGGAAAATGATGTCAAAGGGAAACCATCTATGGAGGAAACTAAAACAAGTGTCTATAGCATAGATGTATAGAAAGACTAGATGGATGATGGGACTTTCGCCCGCGTCGTCACCGATCGGCCATCTTACCTAGGGGGACTTCTCCCGCGCACTCTACAGTAGTGGATGGAAGGTGAGCGACCTACACAAACAAAAATACACTTAACTCGCTGAAATCCTGACCGATTTACAAACGTTATGGTTTATTAAAAACCTTATTAACGTGGCTATGATTCAGGCCGCGTGGACATGTTGAAAGTGCAGCTTTTCTTTTCGAAAATCGATTTCATTTTGCCGCATAGTTGTGTCTGTCACAGCTATTTGCAAGGCTGCAATCTGGGATTTTCAGTTATTATATTCGTTTCCTTGAGACCAAAAATAATTTTGTGACAACCACATGTTTTGTCTAAATGACGATTTGTGTGGATGTAGTTGTGTTTATTAGCTAGCAAAGAAACAAGAGGTTGTGAATGTGACATAGTGGTCCACTGGGACTATTACAAAGTAGCCTAGACATAATTCTTTACAGGTGGGAAAGGCAGAATTACTCCTCTGACTATACATTATTTGTTAAAGTTTTAAGTTTAAGTTTAAAATATCATGTGGGTCAACTTACCCATTTATATTTAATATATGTATTAAATAGAACTATGAAATATCTAACTATTAAATGTTTTATATAAAAAACACTGACAATTTAAGTTCACTGTGCGTGTATGTGTGCAGCTATAGCAGGTATTGCTCTACTATCTCCTTTTTTAATTTAATATGAAAGTCTATGGTTATAGTTATCGGTAAATATGCAGAAACATAACTACATTTCTGGCGTTTATAACAAACCAATCTGTTTGAAAATCTGTTGAAATTTGAGCAGGATATGGTCATGGAAACAGTACATGCACCATAGACATTAACGTTATCAGTGGGCCAGCAGCCCCTAGGTAAGATGGCCGCCGTGTGACGACGGCAGTCCCCATTGGCGCATAGCGTAGGTAAGCTATCTAGTCTTTCTATATATCTATGGTCCATAGTAGGAACACAGAAACAGCCAATCAGAAGAGCTGGCGTAAGCAGAGATAACCCGGAAGAAAAGTGGCCAGCCTCTGACCTCTGCTATGTACATAACGTTTCCAAAAGAAAAATGACCGAACAGGGGTGCGATTGTTCAGCTTTCCCTTCGACAGCAGTCTACACTTGGCTCGTTTCAACGACTTGACGAAGACAAGAGCCAGAGTCCAACTGTCCGGCTTTCATGATGCCTTCACAGTCAGAAATGGTCGTCGGTTGTTTGATGGGCTCCGCCGTGAAGCTGTCGTTTAATGCTGGACGGCTGTCTGACTAAGAGAAATTAGCTCTGTGCCAGATCTGTGGCAGTTGTAGTTTCTTAGTCTATCTGCCTTTTTCCGGATGACAGTCGACACATTTCTGTAGATTGGTTCAAAAGCTTTGTATCAGCCGGTGGGCGTCTTAGTTAGGGTTGTGTTAGCGGTGACAGCCACGTCAGCTAACGCTAGCTACAAACTTCTCCTCCACCGTTACTCCTCATTCGCCGTATGCCCCTGGTTTGCGCTCTTTGCTCATTATTAAACACACACCAAGGAGAGATTTTCGGGCAGAAATGGCTCCGATGGGTATCCGATTGTCTCCGCTCGGTGTGGCGGTGTTCTGCCTCCTCGGAGTCGGTGTCATCTACCACCTGTATGCCGGGGTGATCTCCAGCCGCCTGGCCGCCTTCAGATCAGACTCTGGTCTCAGTTTCAGGTAACACCACTTGACCTCTCATTACCATTCCACACTGCATGGACTGATATAAACCCTGACCAGCTATAATCTTAGGAACACTGACATTGGTGTGTGTGTGTGTGTGTGTGTGTGTGTGTGTGTGTGTGTGTGTGTGTGTGTGTGTGTGTGTGTGTGTGTGTGTGTGTGTGTGTGTGTGTGAGAGAGAGAGAGAAACAAATTCCAAGCCTTAGGTTTGTGTTGACATGATCTGACAGGTGAATACTGAACTTTTCAGAATCATATTGTTCATTCAGACGTTCGACATTCAGACAGGTTTTTAATTATATTCTTATAACATATCTTTATCTATTTTGTTTTATATATTTTTATATAAAAAGACAGCAGCCTACTAAAATCGAGTACCAAAACAGGAAAAAAGGAAACTGTACTCCTTCTACTCAGATAGTAACCAGAGGCATATCCGAAACTGAAGACTAGTGGTTGACCAGATGCCGTTTTTCAATGGCCAATGTCAATACCGGTTATGAGAGAGCAGGTTGGCTGATATACAGTATAATGTTGGTATCACAATATGGTCTGTCTTTTATTCCATTTAAATTCTGTTTTACAAAGTCAATCATACCGAACAAATTACAAATATTCTGAACTTCAATTAACATTTGCACAAATAACTATAGATGGAATAATGCTTTCTGGGAGAAATATCACCACACCTAACTTTTGGAATTCTTTCCTCGAATCCGACATTGTTATTCTAGACTTTATAATCAAATTCAAAATGACATTTATCAGCACGATTAATTGGCCAACAGGTTAACTGAGCTGTTTTTATTAAAGAAAAAAAAATAAAACAAACAAAAACGAAAAAAAGGTCATGAAAACATTCCCAAATGAGTCTTAACATAAGGCATGCCAGTGGTTTACCTCCTGAAATCAATTTGTCAGGGTTGTACTATCAGGTCCCTTTCTATAGACTAAGTTTTCATGGTGCACAACAGCCTGTTTCTTCTTTTTGTTTTTCTTTGTCCTTTACATCTTTGTCTTCATGATATTTTTCTTCTTTGTCTATTTCTTGTTTAGCTTCTCTTTCTTCGTCTTTTTCCATATCTTCTCCTTCATGTATTTCTTCCTTTTCTTCTTCATCTTCTTGTTCGTCTTTGTGGTGTATTGTGAAGAGTGGTTCACTTAATGCTTAGTGATACTATGGAAATGTAATGATGAAAGATGCCTGCCAACATGGAAGGGGTTTGAATCTTTATTTAGATATAGAAAGCTCATTACAAAGTACAAAAACTTTTTTTTCATATTCAGATGTATGTACACTAACTTGAAAAGTACTATATTTCATTTCTGCCAAACTTGTACTTCCAAATGCTGCTAAATAGCACACACTTTACCTTTTATACTTGTTTTTTTTTTATTTGAGTTTGTCAATGCAAGCTAGACTATTTGATTTATTTGATCAATTCTAGTTTCTGTCACTTGCATTCCTTGTAGTTCACTATGCTTGCTGTGAAGAAATGTAAAAACTCATATTTGATGTACCCCTTTGATAAAGGAGAACCGTAGACATGAGGGACCTGCTGGCTGTCTCAGTGGAAGCTGCGGTATTAGGTGGCAAAGAGGTGAGATATTCTGCTCAGTTAAATTGGTGTTGAAAAGGTTTAGAGTTTGTTTTGTCAGCGCCTCACAGTGGTCACCTGTTTTTAAAAAAACTTGTACAAAGGAGGGAAGTTTTTTTTATTTTATATCTTGAAGATGTTTTGCTTTAGGTAAAATCAAAACTTTGTATTCCAGACTTCAAATTAAAGTCAAAGAATGATAAAGACACAGCATCTAAGGGAGCTGGATTATGCTTCAATGCTTGCTCCAATTTGGCTGGTTTTGTAGAAAAGAGTAACATAAGGAAGAGGAGGATTAATTTGTAATACATTTTACATGCAAGACTTTATAGACCATTGAAGTAAACTGACTGTTTATGAAACTCTGGAGATAATAATTACAAAAAAAGTTTACAAGTTGTACTGTTGTCACAATCGAAAAAAGGTTGAAAATTGGGAAAACTCAAGGGCCCTCATTTAACAAGCTTGTGTACGGCAGAAAACTTACATAAACCTTGCATACGTAAGATGCGACATGGGGATCGGCATTTTTCAATCTGCATGTGAGCTTACGCTACGACCAAATCTCACGACAGGTCTGAGTCGTCTGACATTGTGTACGCAAGTTTGAGTCAGTGTGTATTTGCGGTGCAGCAAATGTCTGTCTCAAAATAATTGATAAACAAACCTCAAACCTGTCATTAAGCACAAGCAGACAGATTTCCTTAAAGATAAAGACTTAAATTGAAATAGAATAAAATAAATTTGTTATGTCCTTAGTGAATAGGTCTATTTGATAACTCTGCCCAGAGACACTGCCAGGAGTGCCGTTTCAACATTACGCACACACATGCCACTGTGGAGCGCTGCGTTTGACTCCTAAAAGGCAGGTGTCTCTGTCTTGGTCCAACAGCGGGGACATTGTTGTACACTCCTGAAAGGGTGTGGGACATCATTTTCGGCCAGTACAGTTTTGCACAATGTTGCTCTGGTGAATGGAGTGCCGTTGGCTGTGCCGGTGCAACGTGAGGACCCGATGCCCGGAGAACAGTAACGAGGAGAGACTCCTCAAAGGTGCTGTACAGAGGAGACAGGAACTTTTCGATGGATTCTGACATGTAAAGTATAAGTTTAGAAAGTGCTCTTGCTATTTAATCAGTGATAATAGATCCAATAGAAATCCATAAAAATGTGCCTCAGGGGCAGCAACACACCGTTTGGTGACGTTAATAATTTTTGTTGAGCCTCTGTCAGACTCTCCAGTCTGCTCTACATTACAAAGACGCAACAAATTAAAACTAAATACTTTCAGTAATTGGAGCAACGTACCCTATGTCAGGGCAATAAAAAAATATGAGGCATGTATGAGATATTAATTTATCATCATGAGCAACTTATTGACGAATGATTTATTCAAACTTTAGCCACTGTCCGCTATTTTGCGGCAGCGCTGTTCACCGCCACCATAATGCTGCTCCAGACAGGAGTTTTCTGGACTGCTTCTATACCAGTTTTGATGTTTCTAAAGAGCAAATCCTTGTTAGTTTCCACCACAGATGTGAGGATATCCACTTTCAGCTCAGAAAAGTTTCGAATCTCTCTAATATTTCTACTCTGTCATGTTTGACCTCAGTGGGTGAGGCTTCTGAACCACAAATATTTAAGGGCGTGACATGTTAATGACGATTGATTTCAGCCGCCACGTTTATCAAGACCCGATCAAACGTATGCTGGGATTGGTCAGATACAAACCCTTTCATAAAGCTCACGTGTCCTATCGCACGATGAATCCTGCGTTCAGATCTGTGCTCAGTTCTACACAAGATTGATAAATGAGGGCCAGTGTGTTTTTAATGTTGTTTGGAAAGACACTCCAACTGTACATCCCTTGGGGTTTTTGAAAGGTTGGACTGTGTTGGATATGAGTATTTTTTACTTCTTCTCCCAAGGTGAAGACTGTTCGTGAAGAAAACAACCTGAAGGAGAAGTCAAAAGGCAAGACAAGGGAGGGAGCCAGTGAGCCGCTGACCCTGGGCGACCTGCAGTCACACAGAAAAATGTTCAACCTCATAAAAAACACATTCCCTGACATCACGGTGAGCCCACCCACTTACTTAAGACCAAAACCAGTAATGTTACAGAATAAAAGGACTTGTTTGTCTGCTGAAGATGAGCAGTGTTACTTCTCTTAGTTATCCAATCTGTGTTAAACGTACAGTCATCATGAACTGGCATGTAGGTCTCGTCAGAATTCAAAGTTTTTTTCACATTATTATTACATCTTGTCTGGAACCTCCTAGCTTATTGTTTTAGTGCTGGTTTTGTAAAGTGGACATGTGCTGCAGTCGCAGTGCAAGACGTGGATCAAGGCTCACATTAAACACTTTGACTTGGTAGTGCTGGAGTCCCCTTCTTCAGAAAATTAGAAGCATCAGTAAGGATAGAGGAAGCACCTCAATCACTATATACATATCAGCAACATGGGTTTAAATGACGTGAAGGCACACTCTTCTGCGGCAACAGTATGGGTGGTGTTAAATTACACTTTCAGCTTGTACCGAATTGAGCAATACAGTCAGCAGCATCCTGACAAATCAACTGAACCTTCTGTACCATGCTTGCTTGGTCAAGATCTTCTGTTAAGATTTGGAGAATCTGCTGTGAACGAAGGGTTTACTGTACACTGTGTGCACAATTATTAGGCAAGTGAGTATTTTGATCATATCATCATTTTTATGCATATTTTCCAACTCCAAGCTGTATAAACTTGAATGCTTATTGGATATAAGCATATCAGGGAATGTGTATTAGTGTAATGAGGGAGGCTGGGGCCTAAGGAGATCAAAACCCTATATCAAGGTGTGCATAATTATTAGGCAGCTTCTTTTCCTCAGGTAGAATGGGCCAAAAAAGAGATTTAAGTGACTCTGAAAAGTCAAAAAATGTAAAAAGTCTTTCAGAGGGATGCAGCACTCTTGAAATTGCTTAGATTTTTGGGCGTGATCACAGAATCAGCAAACATTTTGATGCAAATAGTCAACAGGGTCGCAAGAAATGTGTTAAGAAAAAAAGAGGCAAATTAACTGCCAAAGATTTGAGAGAACACAAACGTAAAGCTACCAGGAACCCAATATCCTCCAGTGCTGTCATATTCCAGAACTGCAACCTACCTGGACTGCCCAGAGGTACAAGATGATCAGTGCTCAGAGACATGGCCAAAGTAAGGAAGGCTGAAACCTGACCACCACTGAACAAGACACAAGTTGAAACGTCAAGACTGGGCCAAGAAATATCTGAAGAGAGATTTTTCAAAGGTTTAATGGACTGATGGGATGAGAGTGACTCTTGACGAACCAGATGGATGGACCCGTGGCTGGATCAGTAATGGGCACAGTGCTCCACTTCCAATCAGACACCAGCAAGGTGGAGGCGGGGTACTGGTATGGGCTGGTATTATTAAAGATGAGCTAGCTGGACCTTTTGGGTTAAAGATGGACTTAAAATCAACTCCCAAACCCAATGCCAGTTTTGAGAAGACACTTTCTTCAAGCAGCGGTACAGGCAAAAGTCTGCATCTTTCAAGAAAACCATGATTTTTATGCAGGACAATGCTCCATTGCATGCAACAAAGTACTCCACTATGTGGCTCGCCAGTAAAGGCCTTAAAAACGAAAGAATAATGACGTGGCCTCCTTCTTCACCTGACCTAAACCCTGTAGAGAACTTGTGGGCCCTTCTTAAACTGGAAATTTACAGTGAAGGAAGACAGTACACCTCTCTGAACAGTGTCTGGGAGGCTTTGGTTACTGTAACACAAAAAGTTGATCGTCAACAGATCAAGAAACTGAAAGACTCCATGAATGAAAGGCTTATGACTGTTACTGAAAAGAAGGGTGGCTATATTGGTCACAGATTTTTTTTTTTTTTTTAATTTCAACAATTTTTATTTGTAAATTGAGTTGTTTGTTTATCATTCTCACTTTAACAAGTGAAAATAAAAAAGTGAGATGGAAAATTTTTCATTTTTAATTTAGTTGCATAATAATTCTGCACACTATAGCTGCCCCCAATAATTGTGCACACATAGATATTCTCCTAAGGAAGCCAAAATCTCACTTTTACTCCCTTAAATATTAAGGTTTGAGGTTTATTAACATTTTGGATTGACCGAGAGCACTGTAGTTGTTCAAAAATAAAGTTTATCCTCAAAAATACAACTTGCCTAATAATTGTGCACACAGTGTAAAGAAACAGCATTGTGCCATTTTTATATATTTATTTTTTATTTTCATTTATTTTTTTAAAGGGGGGGGGTGTGTGGTTTTTTTTTAGCCGCTATACTTCCTCTCGAATACCCCTTTGATATCTTTACATGATTTTCAGATTTAAAAAAACCTTGTATTTTTCTCTGGTATATTCAAATATCACAATTTCAGCCTCTATCTAAACACTTTGTTTTAGCTGCTGTCTCTTTAAGCTTTTGCCAATATTTGATACACTGATACTGTTAAGCTTCACTCAGGCAGATTAAACATCCTTTATTGGGCTTGGACATGGTTCACTACATATAGGATAGACAGATTTATTCACAAAGTTGATCAGAGCACAAATATCTCTCAAGCCTTGCTCTCTGTTAGGACAGATTTTTGTTACTAGTTCTTAAAATGATTTGACTTTGGAGGTGTAGCTTAAGAGCTGTGAATTCACTTTGAGAGACACAACCAAGTCTTAGAATGCCAGGGAAAAAACTCAGTGTTTGTTTTGGTTTCACTCTGGATAAAATGTAGGTTATTCTCTTATTCAAACTCAACCCTGTGTAAACACAATATGTAACCCAGCAAATAATTGACGTCATCATGAGTATGTACTGCACAATAAGATAATATCAATATGATGAGAGCACTGCTGAAAACCTTGAAATCCTAACTTTTATGTGATGTGAGAAGTGGACGGTCACATCATTCCTGAATTTTTCTCTATTACACTTGAGTAAAGAACTCAAAACTTCAAAAAATTCCTTTCCATTCTGATAAGCCCATAGCTCGGGACTCATATTTTGTCTGCATGTGTCGGCAGGTGAACAGTGAGGAGCATGACAATGTTGTGGACAAAGTAACGTGGAGCCGTGACATCCCAGGAGACATACTGGACAAGATAGTGGGCGGCAAGGAAGTTCCCACTGAGAGTGTCACTGTGTGGATCGATCCTCTGGATGCTACACAGGAATATACAGGTGTGCATGTGCCTGACCTCCAATTATTCTGTTACATACTCTGTTAGACGTACAGTATTAGTTAATGAATGAAATCAGATTTTAAATAAAAGAATCAAATCTTGTGCAGTGTAGCAACTCATAATGTCATAATGCTTATGATGTGATAAAATCATGAATGCACAACATAATAGTGTCTTTGTGTATAATGTAATTATTTAACTATTTATTACATTCTGAATGTTATGACATTTAAGTTATTACATGATTAGCCTTTATTACATTTTGAGTTGCTACATCCTGCTTCTGGAGTAGCACTTATCTTTTCAAGAAATAGGAACAGATTGAAACTTGTAAACAGATGACGTGAAATAGATGATCACCTTTTACAGATTCAACATGCATGAAAAGTTCATGTTTTTCTTTACTTTGACATTGGCTTGCACTTTATAGAGCACTGAATGTGCTTGATACAAAAAGGATGTTGTCTGCACACTCACCTAAAACAGTCACAGTTTAAACATTGTCATCTGACATATATCTGTGACCTCACTAGCTTAGGAGCCCATCCAGAAAGCAACTTCAGGGTTTTCAGTCCTACGAGGATGGTCACCTCTTGCTGGCGTAGGTCACCATGGCAACTTTCATCAAACACCTAACCTGCTCTGGAGCAGGTAATGGTCAGGCTAAGAGATCAGTTTGTGGAAAACTCAGCCTGCTGACCAGCCAAGTTGCTTGATTGAGGAGCTCTGTGATGGTTACAAAGGAGAAAGTGAGGCAGGACATGCATATCTCTGTGTAAAAGTTCTTCAGTCTGTTATTTATTGGGATTTCCACTCTTCAACAGCGACCTAACAGGCAAACATCATAGAAGACAGATTACGTGTGCTTATTGCCTTGAATCATGTTGTGTTATTCATTTGTGTCATCTCCATATCGCTCCTTTTGATACTATCAGGACTACAGGCTAAATATAAAATGTAAAACTGTTATACACACCACAGGAATGAATCACAGTAACAAATTACTTAGTGGCCTACTAAAGGGAAAGGGCCATTCTAAGTCTTAACTTGTGCATTTGCTTCAGGCGTTTTCCATCTGACATTTCTCTTCTCATTTTGCAAGCTCGGCTGTTTGGATTGGAATCTAAATTATGTGTTAAAATTCAATCTTTTTCAGTGATATTATAGTTTGCTCTGTGTTTGGAAAATAGAAGGATTAGGTTTAGTTACTGCACTTGTAGTCTGAGGTATGTTTCTGTATGTTTGTTTAGCCGTTATTGACTGAACACACATTTCCCTCCACTGCAGCAACATTTACATAATAATCTAGTTGATCTCACACACCCGGGAGCATCCCAATTCAGCTCCTGTTGATGCTGTCAGCAAAACAAACATCTCTCTGTCAGTTTGTTTGCTGTGCTTCAATGCTAAATTTGCCAATATGTGGCCAAATTCTGTGCATGAGGGTAAAGTGATGATTGATGTTGCAGAGTGTGTGAGGGTTTGGTGTATCTGTTCTTGCTAAAGAACTAGAGATTAAAGGGATATTCTGGCGTAAATTTAATTTAGGGTCAAACACAGCTCAATGCTCAGAACTGCATCTAACTTCATCAACAGTATAGTATACATATAGGGTCCCAGCCGTAGCACTAGCCACCAAACATCTTTTTAGCTTTGCCTGATTTCTTTAGCGAAGAGACCAAACACAACTCACCTATTCTCTTCCAGCAGACGCTTGTTTGTGGGGGAGCCCTTAGACAAGCATTACTGAGTGCAGCGGGGTGACACAGCAGACCAAGACGCTAAGGCAGAAGAACTACAGAGTCTGCAGTGCACATACAAGATACACAAGAACTCTGATTGCATTTCCATGAAGTGATGATCATAAATGTTCTTCATTGAGCTGCAGAACTCAGCTGCACTTGTTGATATAACTAGAGAAGTTTGTGGAACTAGAGAAGCAAGCAGTCAGCAACATTCATCTCTGGAGAGGATGCCTAACTCAGTGTTATGGTGTGTTTGACCATAACTTAAATTCATGCCAGAATATCCCTTTAAATACTTCCTTTTAAACACCTTTTTATTGTATTTATCATGATTCAGAGTTTAAAGGTCTATAAGAGCATATGTATCCACATACGTACAGCATGGTGTCACAGACTTTGACATCTTTCTGTTCCTGCCCTTATCCTCTTTCTCACCTCTTTCTTTCTCTTTATCTTCAGGGCTGCTTGTTTATGAAAAGCTTCTTTTCCAGTGGACCCACCCTCTTCAACGTCTAAACCCCCCCCCCCTCTCTTTATCTTCAGGGCTGCTTGTTTATGAAAACCTTTTTCCACGAGTATGCCCACCCTCTTCACCATCTCATCTTTCTCTCTCCACAGAGAATCTGGTGAAGTACGTGACAACCATGGTGTGTGTTGCTGTAGATGGCAAACCAGTCATTGGGGTGATACACCAGCCGTTCACTGCATTCACAGGTGTGTGTGTGCGTGCGTGCGTGCGTGCGTGCGTGCGTGCGTGCGTGCGTGCGTGCGTGCGTGCGTGCGTGTGTGTGTGTGAAAGAGATAAAGACGCCTTCATGATTTTGACCTCTGCTGAGTTCGACTCCCAGAGTTGCTCTTTTGAAAAGGAAAAAAAAACAAAAGTTTATTTAAGTTTTGCATTTTCACTTCCGACACTACATACTAATAGATTTTGTTGGTTTTTGATGGAGTAAGGACTTCAAAGTTTTCATCTTTACCACCTTGGTATATATTTACAGTAACCATAATAAAAGTTGTCATGTTGGTCAACAAAACATGTTGATTCCATCCCTCCATGGCCTTCGTCTCTTCCTCTCTCTTTCTCTCGCAGCCTGGGGGTTTGTAGGTCAGGGGTCAAACATTCGGCCACGGTCCTCCTACAGTATCAGTCCTCCTAAGGTGATTGTATCACGGTCACACTCTGGAAAAGTAAAAAATTTTATCCAGGATGCGTTTGGAAATGGCACAACAATCATACCAGCAGGTGGAGCAGGTGGGTGGAGCATGTTTTTCCATTTATTTATTAGGATGAAAAGTTTGAAAGAAGCTAAAAAGAAAGCATATGTGCAATCATGATATCATGTGAAAGCAGGTTGTTCTATAGTTATGCTGCCAGCTATTTGGGTGAATTTTTAATTTTCCCTTGATTTAAGGGGACTGTGTTTCTCAAATAGGGTTCCATGTCAATTCAACCAAGAATCTCCACTCACGTCACAGATTTTGATGAAATTTGGTGTAGTGATTGGCCTTCAGTAGAAACTGTCAGAGCTCAAATATTTTTGTTCAAAGCCATCTAATTAGTGAGAAAGGGGCTAATGAATTTTTGGCTAACTAGCATGACATGCGTTACAAAAGTGTTCATATCTCTGGAAGTATGACACCTAGAGAGCTGATTCGGGTGTCATTTTAAAGCTCTCTTCAAGTTCTATCTCTTTGTTCATAACATTTTTTCCCAAATTGGACCAGAAAAAAAAAAAGACCAAAAACAAATTGGAAATAGCAAAAAACGCTCATCCTTCAATTTTCTTCATATTCACACTAAAGAAAGACTATCATGTCCACTAGCATCCCTGCAAGTTTCAGGATAGGCATTCCATAACTTTTTGAGTAATCAGTCAAAATGTGTGGTACGTTAGTTCGAAAATCACCATATTTGGGGTCGGGAGATTTTTTTTTTTTTTATTATTATCATGTGATTGACTTAATACGCAAACTGAGCACTTCAGAAATCGGCCCTTTTAATGACACTTGGACGGTCAGGAAATCCTCCTGGCTGACGAGAACCAATCAAAGGCCAAACTGCGTTCCATTATTCCAATCATGCGCACACTCTTCACGTGTACTCGGAGTGCTTGGAGAGCCTGTGGTAGCATTGCAAAGCTGCAAGAACCAGAAGCAGGACTTATCCACGCCAGTGTTGTGCCGTAGAATGCACCCCTGCCGTAGAATGCCCCCCCGACGAGAGCGCGGTTAAAAGTACATAACAAGGCGAAATAATCCAAGTTTTCCTTACTGTTGGATGGATTCAAAAGCGTGTGCCTTTAATGATTTCATTCAGGTTATTCAGATAAGCCGAAAACAATAGCCCTCTGATTCAGAATATTTGCTGTCCCGAAAGTATATTTTTCTACCTTGACATCTTGCTGTACAGTTTATATACCCAAGTACACCTCGATATGTGCATTTTTGAGACACATTAAAACAGAACGAAAGTTTGCTAGTAGTCATGATCCAAATACTCGTGTCTTTGTAAAATACGAGATCATTTTCTTCCACTTAAGAAGCTAATGAGTGGACGGGATGCAGGGGTGTATTCTACGGCACAACACCGGGGACAAGGCAGACCAGAGCGTAGCGTACACATTTACCTGCATTTACCAGCAGATTGAATTTGGTGAGTAATGGTTTCAATCGTTTTCATATTTTGTGGTATAACAAAGTTACTGCCGTTCGCTACAGCTTGCGTTGAACACTGCCAGAGCTAGCCAAATCTCCGGTGAAAAAATAGCTCCCGTTTGCTTGATTTTAAGTTAGTGTCAAGCTTGTGTAGTTAACGGTAACATAAAAGAAGAAACACAAGCTTCTTTCGAATATCTCTGTAATTGGTATTTCAGGGACGTGTGAGGATAATATTCACGTGAGGGGATGAAAAGTCTGAAGGTGAAGTGGTAAACTAGTCTAGAACTTGTTGTCCTATGCTTTGGCCCATTCTTGAAGCCTTTTGTGACAAAATAAAAACATGTGAACCCTGGTCTTTTTTACACTCCTTTTCGCCGCTGATGTTATTTATTGATTCATTAAAACATAATGGTTTTGAGCCATCTAAAATAGCGTAAGCGGGCGTCTCACGTTTACTGCTCTGGCTCCATCCATTGACAAGACGGGGCGTCAATTTTTCAGCGCAACATTAACGTGAGAAAAGACAACAGGGAAGAGTGTGTCACGAAAGGCTTGCCGCGTGTTTAGACCAAAAGCTACTAAAGCTGTTGTGTAAATCGCTATGTTGCTATTATTTTTATATGGCTGTCAAGAGACTGGGAGTGCTCAGCAGGCAAAGAAGCAGGCTGCTGAAAGTGAGAAGCACGCAAGGCTGAGGCATGTGGCCACTCAGCGTAAAAGGCCATGGAGGCTCTGGCGGCCCAGGCAAAAAGAAAAAAAAAAAGTGATCAATTGGACTTGGTATTGGATCTGTTGGAATTGCATGTATTGTTCTCCAGTCTTACAGGGCATACATTGATCTAAAGTACAGGATATTAAGTCTTTATTTTTTCTAGTCTGTTTTCTTTTTTTCTCTTTAATTTATTATTGTTCATATGGCCTTGTACAAACAGTTTTGAACACCTCTCTCTGACTCATCTAACTCATTTAGCTTCTGTGAAAGTAAACTTTGTTTCTAAATAAAACATGGCCAGCACAAGGTGTGTGTGTGTGTGTGTGTGTGTGTGTGTGTGTGTGTGTGTGTGTGTGTGTGTGTGTGTGTGTGTGTGTGTGTGTGTGTGTGTGTGTGTGTGTGTGTGTGTGAGAGAGAGTGAGTGAGAGAGAGAGAGTGAGTGAGTGAGACTTGGAGTGTTTTTGGCGCCTCCTGCAGATCACTGAAACACAGTGTGGGTGGACAGAGCTCAATATTTTGTTGGGTTGTACAGTGTACCGGAACGTATTTCCTCTGTACCCTTCTCACCTTTTCAACCCCTGACCCATTTTCATGCCTGTGTATAATGTGCCAAATATGGCGATTTTCGACCTAACGTACCACACATTTTGACTGATTACTCAAAAAGTTATGGAATGCCCATCCTGAAACTTGCAGGGATGCTAGTGGACATGATAGTCTTTCTTTAGTGCGTATATGTAGAAAACTGAAGAACGCGCGTTTTTTGCTATTTCCAATTTAAGTTTTTGGTCTTTTATATTTTTTTCTGGTCCAATTTGGGAAAAAATGTTGAATCAGCTCTCTAGGTGCCATACTTCCAGAGATATGAACACTTTTGTAACGCACGTCATGCTAGTTAGCCAAAAATTTGTTAGCCCCTATCTCACTAATTAGATGGCTTTGAACAAAAATTTTTGAGCTCTGACAGTTTCTCCTGAAGGCCAATCACAAATTTCATCAAAATCTGTGACGTGAGTGGAGATTCTTGGTTGAATTGACATGGAATGACCCAATAGTCTTTCATTATGAGTATAGATGTATCTATATTGCCTTTGGCCAAAATGAGTTTGAAAAATGTTGGCATATCGGCTAAAGGCAAAAATTATATGTCTTGCATCCCCACCATAAATATCCATTCATAGTGGGGATGCACGATTACTAGCTGCACTTGAACATACAAACCCCTTCATGAGTAAAATAGAAAATGGAGATTTCTCTGCTACGCCCCAAAGTCTAATTTTCCTGCCTGCCTTTTGCTTTCTTAAGTGGAGGTTAAATATCAATCAATCACTGAACCAGTGCAGTTTCAGACACTGGCTAAGTTTTCAGACACATATTCACAAAAAGCACCTACCAGTTTTACACTGGATATACAGAGCACCTCAGTACCACAGGAAGGAGGAAAACCAGCTGAGTTCTTAAAACCCTGATGGGTAAAAGAGCAACTGAATACTCTAAGTGATGGGCTGCATGGAGGTTTATGTATATATGATCTCTGTGATGAAGCATTTTATAGCCCAGTGTCTGTGAGAGGGAATCACAATCTGACCTTCTGTCTTTCTTTCTCTAAGGTTATAAAGTTCTGTCTCTCTTGGAGATGCCTGCCAGTGAAACAGCCTCTACAGACCAGGCAGATGTTTACATTCACATCACCTTTATTAAGAAATGGGACATCTGTGCTGGTGCAGCACTCCTGAAAACACTGGGTAAATTAGAATCCATATTATTCAATTATTCAATACACTTTTTCCCCAGATATTCTTGTTGGTCAAGTGTAAAGTGTGGAGCTTCTGATCAGTTCTAAAGAAGACTCAACCTGAATTTGATGCATCTAAATGAGCTAACAAAGCTCCTGTTTCTAAACATAAAAAAGGTCTTCTGGCTTTTATTTCTAAAGTGGATTTTTAATTGTTGTTGTACACTGTGACAACTTGCTATGCCCATAATCACAGGAGGCCAAATGACAACCCTTAAAGGAGAAGACATTGACTACAGTGACACACCACTGAACAAAGGAGGACTGGTGGCCAGTGTTGGTGTGGACCATAAGGCTGTTCTGGAGAGATTACCAAACTGGGACCCTGAAAAGCACTGAGGAATCCAAACACACAGCCACTGAGGGAGGGATCAAGTTGTAGTGGAGGTAATGTGTGGCAGACCTGTGAAGCTGCAGAGGAAACAAGACGCATGAATTCATCATCGAGGGACACCAAACATCTGCACTTTAGATGGATCTGTGTCACTGACATTGTGACAGGCCACAGAGCAGGATTGTGGGGTCAACATGGCTACAACTGCTGATACAATGGCTCTGAACACACTCCCAGCTCCCAGACATGCATACATTGATGGAACTGGGAGACATGTCACGATTAACAGAAACACATAAACACATGCCCACACATGCCCCCTCATCTTAAGACAACAGGATAAGTCCACTGTGAAAATAATTGAAGGAGCACAATGTTAAATGTACAGAAAAGTCATGAAGTGATGAACTTTGACCTCATCCTCAATCTGACTTCATCACATGTACTTCCTATGAAAACAAAAGAGCAAGGTACTCAGAGTGTTTGAGATAGCCATTGTATCATTACAGCAAACATCTGTATACAGACACAGTGACAAGACCGCCGACCATCAGTGGGACTAAACACTCACATGACAGGAGACAATGACTCCCATGAGCCTGGGCAGCCAATAAATCCATGGTCAAACAAAGACCATGTTTACTGTTACAGATACAATTTCACAGGTTTCCCCCTATCTTGAAGTGATTTGCTGTGTCCCATTTTGGATGTAGGGTGGCTGAAAGAGTTCCACATAGTTTTTAGTTTACTGTAGGGGTGAAAGGGTACATTTATTTAGTTCAGTGCTGCTATGAGTTTAGCACATTTTTGGTTCAGTGATGAGCAATAAAATTTGGGTGGGGGGAGGTGTCAGACTAATCAATTTACTATGCTGTTGATAAATTCATAATGTTCCACACCAAAAGTAATCATTGGAAAAAATCATTTTGCTGTTTAAAGAAAAAAAGGATAAGATTTTTTTTTTTTATGGAAGACTAATTACACAAGCAAGTCAAAATCAGCTAGCAACAACTTGAACAACAGGGGGCACCAGAATCAACTTCACCTTGCAGGAGCAATGATGCAGGGCCTGATAGTAACAGCCAAGTGTGGGCAGATTTCTGTTTGTTGAGTAAATTCAAATAAGGGCTCAACTGACTGCCTAACAGATAAATATTTTACTAAAATAGTCAAGAAATCAAGAATAACAATGCTTTGTTTTAACATGTTGGTGAAGCTGCAGCTCTTCTACTGTCTGGATGTCAGAGCTTTGCAGAAACAGACTGACATACACAGAAACACGCACACACAGAAATGCCATGCACAGCTGTTTACTAGAGTGATGGTCAGCTGCCCTGCTGAAACCAGGATTCTGAGGTCCAGACTTAGTCACAGAGCTACCAACCAAACGCCCATTTTAGTTATGTTGTCTGTGACCACATAAGGCTCAATGTGTGTTTTTACTCGAGTCATGAAATGATCTATGCTCAATTGATAAGAGCACTCTCTACTTCCCCTGCTGCTCCTGCTCCTCTGTGTAATGGGCACACTTGCTGATGGTCACAGGTGACCACTGCTCAAGTTCACAGCACAAAGCTGATCATTTGAAGAAGAATTGAAAGTCATTGGCCTAGTTTCCTGTAGAGGGATTAAGCCTAGTTCTAGATTTATTCACATTTTAATCCAGGATTTATTGAAATAGCTTTCTTAGATTTGGATTAACATAGCCTCAGACTAGTCCTAGTCTTGAGTTAAATAATCTCCTGTTTTAAGGAAAGACTAGAGCTAATCCAGGTCTAAATTAAGACTTAAATTAAACCTGGGCCAGGTTTAACTTCAGAGTAAAGGCTGAGCGCTTCACTGTCTATGGTGAAAATGGATTACCTTGACTCCACTCTGTTCTGGCTCCTCCAAAACCTAATTCAAACTTATGTCATCTTTTTGAGAAAAATATTCAAATATTAGACATAAGATTTCAATAGTAGAGGCCATGACAGTATTTTTTTTTAATCAGAGTGCAACAGACAGTACTATTAAGATTACCTGCTCAGGAAAATTACATACATTATATCAGATGAGTATTCAAGTGTTTCCCCACCTAAACTGTCCAGATGATCATCATCCGGTAATGTTTTTCCACAGCACCTTTACAAGGCAATATATGAACATGTGTGTGTGTGTGCCTTATATGAGAAGACATACATTTCATAGTGAGTGATAAGTAAAATCAAGCTGACATAGAATTAAATCTTACCTGAAGTTGTTAAAGGGTCCTGTTGGTAAATTTTTCATTTAAATTGTATTCATTTATAATCGCAGTCCATGCATTTCATTTTTTTTCATTTCTGCTGCTGAATCATGATTTTTATCTTCGATTGCGGGGTACTTTGAAATTATTTCCTTCAAAAGCATCTTATCACTTTCACGTAAGTTTTTGGAATGCTTTATTTTCCCTTTCTCCATGCTTGATCATTGGTCAAACTCCTGTTCCACAAACACACACACACACACACACACACAGCTAAAATTTATACTACAGCACAGTCTCACCTCTGCGAAGGACAATGTATAAAAGTCAAGTTTTTTTCAGCGTGTACACTTCACTCATGGCATCAAAACACACCAGACTGTCAATGGGCATCACAGAAGAGAAGGACTAGTTTTTTTGAAGTGTCCAATAGCCAATGTTACAACAGAAATGTGAAAAATGTCATGATAAGGACTGTATCTGCAGTGAAACCTACCTGAGCTTGTCAGCTCTTTCCTGACCTGTTTCAAAACCATTTCTATGACTTAGTACTGTCCTGTGCTTCATCCAGATTCAGAGATGCAAGCGGGAAACCTCAGTGTCAGTCATTTTTGATGGAGAGTGGTCAGCAGACAGTGTTTCAGTGTACATGGACTTGCATGATTTAGAATTTAGAATTTATTTTTGCTTCTCTGACATGCCTCCATATACTGAAAATATTGAAGATTGCTGTCTGTCTTCAAATTCATCTCCTCAGCCAACGGTTGTCATGTGTATAACAACCGTTGGGTTTTTCTCCTTAATGTGAAACAATGTGAAATGGTAAAAAAAAAAAAATGCCAGCAAAATGTGAGCTTTTGTCAACCTCTTAAAGAAGATAGAGTGACAATGAATCTGTTTTATGTTTGGTTTAACTCAGCAGCTTTTGTATAACTGATATCTGTGTACAGAAGTAAGAAACGTATGAGGTGTCTGATGTATATGGGGCACAGCCTGGCTCATAGAAACTCCACTTAACAACTCACATGGACCATGGCACATGGTTGGACCTCCATATACTGAGTTTTGATTTTATGATCTGCACAAGAAAACATTGTCGGTTGAGTGAAAAATCTCAGCACTCTGACAGCAGGAGTTCTGCTATGGTAACAGTTATTGCTATGCAAGGATAATGCTGAAATTGCATTTTGAATGGGATGGGGCAGTAACATCGGCACTACTGTTTTGTTGTGTTAACAGATCAGATGATCAAAGTTGAGAGTGGCCATTTTAAACATTCATGTCTGTTTACAAGGGAGTACTAATGCATGTGTGACAAAGCTGTATAAAATATTTTGTTTCTCAACAGTAAGCAGTGTGAAGTCTGGTGAATTTACTGAGAGTGCTCCTCTGTGAGAAAGGAAAGACCAGAGTTTATGGTTACATGACTTATTACAGTCAAACGATGAGGTTGTTTGACACCATGTTCATATCAAACATTAAGTCTGATGTGATGATTATTTCGACGTGATCATTTTTTAAAACCGACACAACTTTGATAGAACAGTACAACAGTGGCTGTGTGTTTGGATTCCTTTGTTTGATAGAACAGTACAACAAATTGCCATATTTTACTATTTTACCATATTTTGTCATTTTGACAACAGAAACACTAATAAATTACGTTATAGCATGACAATGGTGGAGGAGGGTTCTAGAGTGCTTTAAAGTCCATTTAAAAGATGGTAGCTGCAATAAAGTTGTTAGACAGGTTAAAATGACTTCTCAGACACCAATCTGAGGTGAGTTAAGATTTTTTTAATATACACTCACCGGCCACTTTATTAGGTACACCATGCTAGTAACGGGTTGGACCCCCTTTTCCCTTCAGAACTGCCTCAATTCTTCGTGGCATAGATTCAACAAGGTGCTGGAAGCATTCCTCAGAGAGCTTGGTCCATATTGACATGATGGCATCACACAGTTGCCGCAGATTTGTCGGCTGCACATCCATGATGCGAATCTCCCGTTCCACCACATCCCAAAGATGCTCTATTGGATTGAGATCTAGTGACTGTGGAGGCCATTTGAGTACAGTGAACTCATTGTCATGTTCAAGAAACCAGTCTGAGATGATTCAAGCTTTATGACATGGCGCATTATCCTGCTGAAAGTAGCCATCAAAAGTTGGGTACATTGTGGTCATAAAGGGATGGACATGGTCAGCAACAATACTCATGTAGGCTGTGGCGTTGCAACGATGCTCAATTGGTACCAAGGGGCCCAAAGAGTGCCAAGAAAATATTCCCCACACCATGACACCACCACCACCAGCCTGAACCGTTGATACAAGGCAGGATGGATCCATGCTTTCATGTTGTTGACGCCAAATTCTGACCCTACCATCCGAATGTCGCAGCAGAAATCGAGACTCATCAGACCAGGCAACGTTTTTCCAATCTTCTATTGTCCAATTTCGATGAGCTTGTGCAAATTGTAGCCTCAGTTTCCTGTTCTTAGCTGAAAGGAGTGGCACCCGGTGTGGTCTTCTGCTGCTGTAGCCCATCTGCCTCAAAGTTCGACGTACTGTGCGTTCAGAGATGCTCTTCTGCCTACCTTGGTTGTAACGGGTGGTTATTTGAGTCACTGTTGCCTTTCTATCAGCTCGAACCAGTCTGGCCATTCTCCTCTGACCTCTGGCATCAACAAGGCATTTCCGCCCACAGAACTGCCGCTCACTGGATATTTTTTCTTTTTCGGACCATTCTCTGTAAACCCTAGAGATGGTTGTGCGTGAAA